TGTATGATTCCTGTATGTTCATGTATAACTCAGTAATACTATGTATGCCAGATAATCCATTTGAGCATCGCTATATCCAAAAAAGACATGCTAACTACTGAACTATATTCATCATGTCCATGTACCCATTGTGTGAATATCAAGTGTGGTCATTTCCATAAATATTATGAAGCATGTAAATTTGAGATTTTAGAGATAAAGTATGTAAAGGTATTATTACCACATGCAATTCAACACTTATGGATTTTCATTTAGGTGCGGAAACTGACTTTTATCAATAAGTGAAAATATATAATTTCTTTGTTACCAGCCAGCCTGAAAAAATATATAATAAATAAAAGTGATAGTTTTGATAAAAGTTAAATTACCAAAATTAGCAATAGATTTGATAATTATCAATTGTTTTTATAAATTATCAGATAATGCTAATTTCACACGGGCCCTTTTCCATGAAACATTTGCTAGAAATAGTTACCAATAAAAGTGATAGTTTTGATGTAACTAAAATTATAACTGTTAGTTATAGTTTTGATAATTATTAATATTATCTGATATTATCAGATGAACATTTTTCCCATCCTTGCTGCAAGGGTATTTTACAAGTATATACCCTTGCTTCTCTCTATTCAATTGTTGGGCTTGAGCAAACAAACTGGACATTAAACAATATTAGCCTACACAACATACCTTAAGAGAACTACTACACACAGTGTACAAGGGTAATTAAAATCCAGTTGAACAGTCTACAAAGCTGTCTTTATATTACAGCAGTATGCCCTTACATATCTTATGACTTAGAAGTTTGTTATATGTAACAAAAAATCATAGGATTATACAAATATTAGCTTAAGAATAAAACATCATCCGTAGAACATTCTATAGTATGTCCAAAATTAAAATATTTAACCATTTCACGAAAAAGAAAAAGAATACTGCAGAAATATGGTGGTTTGAAGAGATACAAATGGTAAGATTATTCATAAGTTCCAGGAAAGGAGACATGTAATTGGACAATTTGCACAACGCATTTTCTGCGTTGACCACTAGGAAACTCATCTTATATAAGGCCCCAAGAATGAAACTACCTGGGCTTGAGTGAAGGGCTGAATTTAGGCATAAATGAAGTCCTTTGAAGAAGGATGATTTTTCCTAACTTTCTTGATTTAGTGAAAATATGACAATTAGTACCTACCGGACCTACCTCCATATCTCCCTGCCATTAAGAGTCGACCCTTTTAAAGGAATGATAAATATTTCTGATATAGTTACAAAACAAAAAAATGAATGGTTTTATATTGGTCATTTTACAAAAATATAACTTAACACTACGCCATGTTTTTTTCATTTTCATAAAATATATACTGAAGGATTTAAACTACTGACTGCAAACTTCTATGATATTTTCAGTAAGGGAACATTTTATATCAATTGGAATTCACATCTGTCCTTACAAATTGATAATAAGTAAATTTAATCAATTGTTTTACCATTTTACCCCCCCTCCCTCTCCAAATTAAATTGAGTTAAGGTTGGTTGTCCAGCCCCTGGGTTCAACATTATAACATGAGTAGCTTCACTTTTCAAAATATATAGTCAACATTTGTCAGGGAAACAACAAAGATATTTGGGTGGGGTGCAGATGAGTGTTAGGTAGATTGTCGGCTAGATTGTCCCCATTGAAAAGAATGTGAAGGATAATTTAAGTTTGACAAATTATGCAAATTTTTTACAAGTGTGGTCATACTAAAATTATAAAGCATGTCAATTTTAGATTTTAGAGATGAAGTATGAGAGCCTTGTAATTCAGCTCTTCCAGATTTACTCTGCCTTAAACTTACAATGGAATGCTATTGATTCTGATATATTTACAAAAAATGACGTAACTTCATAATTTTCATCAACAATAGAATTCAACTATATCTAGTTCTTTTATTTTTTTGCAAATCACAGCTTAAAACTAATGTTTGCAAACTCCTCCAACATAATCATTTAATAGGGTAAATTCTATATCAATTGGGATACACATATACCCTTACCAACTGCAAGTTGCGGAAAAGTTTGCAATTAATTTTTTTAGCATTGATTACCCCCACCTCTCAACATTGAGCTGTCTCGAGGCTGTTTTGGGGTCATGTAAAGTTATGAAATCAGAGCTTCATTGTTTGTGATAATTGTTACAATGACAAAATGATATCAAATTTTTAAGGGATACTAAGATACAATAGTTGATGGTGTCAGGTACAGATTGTATCACTTGATAAGGTTTTATGATTCTATTAGGCATGCATCTTGGGTGGGTTGGATCACTCAGTACCATCCTTTTACTTAACCCTTTATACTCCAGTTTGAAGCCACTTTTTAGTCATTCTTTTATCAAAATACCTAAACAGTGGCCTTTGTATCAGTCCACCTTTTAGTCATTTTAACCACACAATGACTAAACAATGGATAAGGCCACAGAGTCCACTAAATCGGAGCCAGCACACCTTTTAGAACATGCCATGCAGATGAGTGTTAGGTAGATTGTTGGCTAGATTGTCCCCATTGAAAAGAATGTGAAGGATAATTTAAGTTTGACAAATTATGCAAATATTATACAAGTGTGGTCATACTAAAATTATAAAGCATGTCAATTTTAGATTTTAGAGATAAAGTATGAGAGCCTTGTAATTCAGCTCTTCCAGATTTACTCTGCCTTATACTTACAATGGAATGCTATTGATTCTGATATATTTACAAAAAATGACGTAACTTCATAATTTTCATCAACAATAGAATTCAACTATATCTAGTTCTTTTATTTTTTGCAAATCACAGCTTAAAACTAATGATTGCAAACTCCTCCAACATAATCATTTAATAGGGAAAATTCAATTGGGATACACATATACCCTTACCAACAGCAAGTTGTGGAAAAGTTTGTAATTAATTTTTTTAGCATTGTTTACCCCCACCTCTCAACATTAAGCTGTCTCGAGGCTGTTTTTGGGTCATGTAAAGTTATGAAATCAGAGCTTCGTTGTTTGTGATAATTGTTACTTTGACAAAATTATATAAAATTTTAAAGGGATACTAAGATACAATAGTTGATGGTGTCAGGTACAGATTGTATCACTTGATAAGGTTTTACGATTCTATTAGGCATGCATCTTTGGTGGGTTGGATCACTCAGTACCATCCTTTTACTTAACCCTTTATACTCCAGTTTGAAGCCACTTTTTAGTCAATCTTCTATCAAATACCTAAACAGTGGCCTTTGTATCAGTCCACCTTTTAGTCATTTTAACTACACAATGACTAAACGATGGATAAGGCCACAGAGTCCACTAAATTGGAGCCAGCACATCTTTTAGAACATGCCTCTTGAATATCTTAATCATGGCATTACGATAGTATTTCATTGTTGGCAGTACATTACATTTCATTGTCATAAGTCAATGAATTCCGAATATCTTGTATATTAAAACAGTTAATGAACTCAGTTTATTATTTCATCATTTTGTGTATGGTAATACTAAACGGAATGCGATGAGAGTTCATTGATTATTTTTGTCACGCTGCAAGCCCTTGGAATTAAGGTTGGTGGTCTGTGCAAATATTTATCTGATAATCCACTCCCTTATATTTGTTACGGCAGATAAAAGTAATTAGAATATCACAAAGTTTCATCATGCATATTTTCACGATTTCTGCACATCAATACCAAAAAACACTCTTTCGAAGGACGGAGATATTGGCCTAGCGTGGCATATGTATTATTAATTTGGAAATACAATGTTTATTTTGCCGAATTCCACAAAATTAAAGATTTTCCCGAGGTTACAGGGTGTTCCACCATCTGCACATTCGTATATCACGGCTTATAACCAAAGTCAACCAAAGAATATCGCTGTTTGTGCTTTGCATGCACTACTGGGGTTCGCAAGCCCACCTCGATGGCACTAATCTCCAACTGGTCTACGTTTATTGTACGGTTATTGATGTATATGTACAGGGTGTCCCGAAAGTATGCCCCCCCCCCAGGCAGACATATACCAATGTCTCCATATATATGTGTCATATATCATTTTAAAGCTTATCCAAAGTTACATTGATTTCCCAAGTATCATAGTCTTACAAATGGTAAAAGGTTACAGGCATTTCAAAACTTAGTGTTTGGTAATTTAATTTGAGTATCCTGGACACAGCCCTGACCTGAATGTGACCGAAAATTCGGGTGCTATTGTCGAATATAGGGTGGATATTGAGTTCTAAAAAGAGGACGTTGAGGGTAGATGCTCCAAGAAACTCTTCTAAAATGCCTTAAAAGGTTTTATGAGAATTACAAAATGTCACATCCCTATTTGAAGCGCATTTAAGGTCATACATGGAAAGCACGTTGTAACGTTTTCCCATTTTGTGAGTTGAACCATAATACTTGGCAAATCAATATAGCTTTAAATGAACTTTAAAATGATATATGACACATACTATGGAGACATTGGTATATGTCTGCCTAGGGGGGGGGGCATACTTTCGGGACACCCTGTATACTCTATTCGTCAAGCTATTTTTGTCAACAATGAAAATAAGTGTCTCATTTTTGGAATATGCCAACGCAGGACTCGATTTTATTTAATTGTAGCGTCTTCATTTATATTTTTGCAATTGCATTGATCAAGCAACAAAAGCCTTACTCAACCCTAGATTGAGTTAAATTTTTTCTCATCCTTTTAATAAGAATATTATTGACTTGCTCTCTTATCTTTAACTATTTCTATTCTAAACTATACTCGTGTACATGGACGCCTTGCCATTATCAATGTTCAAGCACATATTTTGTAATTTATTTCATATCTTGAACTTTGTTATAAATAAATGTATTTGTTCAATTAGGACACTGGGTTTTCCAGCAACAATCAATTCCCAGCAATACACATTTGATTTGATGGGACAACCGTATCAGTGTTACGGCAACACTTCTCATTTCGCCTGTCATATGTGCGGGAGCCGCAACAACTCTGGTACGAGGACTGTTTCGGATGGATGCATCTGCAGCAACACATATGAGTGTTTCTGTTAAACGTCTTCAGTCCACAGCATCTGAAATACAAGACACGCAGTGATCGCAACTGAAGAGTAATATTGCAGCTTTATAGATAACCAAATATACGCAGACCCTTGTCACTAATAACACTTCACATCTTACAGGATCCTTTGCTGTCAATCCTTATGAATCAAGGCGTCTGGATTCACATGGATACATTCGCGATGTGCCAATCCTGTATGAATCCTGTGACTGTATTCGCATGGATACATACTGGATTTATACGAACTGTACTCTCAGTGTGCAAATATTGAATGAATCGTGTAAATATATGCACATGGATACACACAAAATGTGAATCCTGTATGAATCCTGTAAATGAATTCACATGAATACACAAAAATGTGAATCTAATATGATTTCTTTCAATGGATTCACATTGATGCACAGAAATATGAATCCTGTACGAATCCTGTCAACGAATTCACATGGATACACACAAATGTGAATCCTGTATAAATTCTGTTAATGGATTCACATGGATACACACAAATGTGAATCCTGTATGAATCTTGTCAATGGATTCATATGGATACACACAAACGTGAATCCTGTATGAATCTTGTCAATGGATTCACATGGATACACACAAACGTGAATCCTGTTTGAATCCTGTCAATGGATACACACAAATGTGAATCCTGTACGAATCCTGCCAACGGATTCACATGGATACACACAAATGTGAATCCTGTATAAATCCTGTCAATGGATTCACATGGATACACAAAAGGTGAATCCTGTATGAATTTTGTCAATGGATTCACATGGATACACACACACGTGAATCCTGTATGAATCTTGTCAATGGGTTCACATGGATACACGCAAACGTGAATCCTGTTTGAATCCTGTCAATGGATACACACAAATGTGAATCCTGTACGAATCCTGCCAACGGATTCACATGGATACACACAAATGTGAATCCTGTATAAATTCTGTGAATGGATTCATATGGATACACACAACTGTGAATCCTGTATGAATCCTGTCCAAGGAATCACATGGATACACACAAACATGAATCCTGTTTGAATCAATGGATACACACAAATGTGAATCCTGTCAATGGATTTACATGGATACACACAAATGTGAATCCTGTATGAATCATTTTAATTGATTCACATGGATACACAAATATGTGAATTCAGAATGCATTTTTCTGATTTAGTTCTAAGATACTATAGATTAATACTAGATATTGTAAACATAATTAATATCATATAACAAATATTATATCATTCGATGTGTGTCATTACACCGTAACGGAGATACCACAAACTTCTTATAACTCACCTTGCATCATTGCCTCCACCGCTGACTTTCATGCCATTACAGCAACTCCAACGTGGTTTATAAAATGGTTCATTGCCGCAACATCCATAAAGCGTGCCGTCCCACGCTCTGTTCCCGCAGCATATATGATTGTTTCCACCGGGGACCACAATGCCATTACAGCACTTGTGTGTCTTGTAGTTGTATAGTTCGTATCCACAACACGAGCGTTTGTCATCTGTTATTCGCAGAACCTATATCATCAAGTGATACTAATATTTCAATCAGTATACATATTTTAAGCTTTGAAGGAAGAAATGACATCTTAACTGCACTCACTAGAGATACTTTTGCAAGATCTCTTGATATAGATTTTTGATATAAATCTCCCATATCATATTTGGTATGAAAACCGTTATTAGCAAGAATATATGCAACGGCAATTCGTCTACCTGGTTGTAACAACATGTGTTTTCACGGTAGTTATACGGCTCTGTTCCACAGCAAGTTGTTGTCGTTGCGCTCACTCTTTTTCTCACTTGTCCATTGCAGCATATGTAATATCTTCTATCGTAACGTGCAGTGTTACAGCATCTGTCGTATGGCCCAAACTTATCAAATACATTGCCATTACAGCAGGAATGTTGCGATGGATCTATAAGTCGGCATGTCGGATAGTTGTGATGGTAATAGTATGGCCTGGGAAAGTAATAGTAATACGGGAAGTACGGGCAGTATCGATTGAAGTAATAGTATTTATAGTTGCAACAACATCTTGTGTAGCTGGGGTTGGGCATTGTGTAAACGCGACAGCCGCAGCAACGACTTTTGGCGTAGTTGTAAATCTTTGCAATGTATTTCCCATTCATGTAGCAGCTACAACATTTCGTGCCAATGCCGAATATTTTACGATACACTCTGCTCCCGCAGCACAAAAAGTTTCTACTATCGTACGGACGACTACCGACTCCATTAGGAGGATTCCAGCAACACGAATTGTATCTGCTCTTGGGATACGCCTTTCCCCCACAGCATATTTCCGTTGAAGGCTTGTATATACCTTCCCCACAGCACTCCTCCCCTGAAACCAATTTTGTTGCACAATTTCCGCAGCATTTTTCAGTTTGGGGATTGTAAGCGTTGTTCCCGCAGCACGACATTGGAGTGTTCCCTCTACGCGGTATAAGTATATCATTACAACACAAGCCGTTTGTCTTACTGTACGCTTTACTGCCGCAGCATTGCAAACTACATCCATATTCATTGTTGTACAGTTTTCCACCACAGCACATCTGCTTGCCTTTGTTGTAAGCTTGGCCGTTACAGCAACCAATATAGCCTGGTCGACCAATCTTTTCGATCGAGTACACCTTATCTTTACAGCAAAATGATATTTGCGAATTGTACGGCGTTCCGCAGCAACATGCGTCGACATACGGCACACTGCTGTACCAATAATAACGATAAAAGAAAGTTTTCCAGTAGAGTTTACCGGAACAGCAAAAGTAGCGTATGGGGTCGAATAATTGACCAGCACATCGAACTGGTGCTGGGGGATAGTACCAATACTTTTTTGTGAATGAATTTGATCGACCGACCATCAGAGCATCCTCGTTCTTGTTTTCGCTTGGTGTATCAGATTTTTCAATTTTGTCCGCTGTTAGTCCATCACCAACATCTATTGAAGGAATCGTGAAATCAAAGTATCAGCGGGACCATGTTGAAAAAGAATAGATAAATTTGAAGAAATCATGAAATTAAAATATTAGCGGAACCATATTGAAGAGAATGTATTGCATAGTACTATGTTAAATAATTATGTATTCCTTATTGTTAATTTTATGTTTGTTATCAAGAGAGGAGCTCATCTCAATTGTAACGATTGACCATTTCCATATAGAAGTTCCTATTACAGTAAAAAGACGTCGTGAACACGGGTAAATTAGCATACACATGTAGGGCCAATGATTTGGACATATTTCCCCCTTAATTGAATCAACTACTGGTGGTGGTCATTTTAAATTCAAATTGCAGTTTATTCTTCTATAGATCGGAAAATATAATCAAGAAATTAGACTAGTAAATCGTTTAGAAATGGAGAAATGTTACCACCCCACACATACATTATATCTCATAACAACCACATTCTCAAATGAAATGATCGAAAAACTCAATGGTAAATCTTTATAAATATATGAGAACGGGTATTGGGTAATCACTGGCTATTACTTAATGTACATGGTTCTCACAAAGAAGTTCATAAAAGAATATAAATATTGTATAGCAAATTCTATACTCGAGCATCTCTCATAAAAAGACACAGACTTTGTTCGGTATTTTTCAGACACTTTTACTAACCTATTCTGATTTATCACATTGTGAATTTATGTGATTTATGTGTTAACATCTAATATTTAATCCTTCCAAAATATATGTGCATTCTTCGCCCTCAATAGACATGTCAAAGCGACTAAACAGTAACCTACCAATTGTATTGCCTTCCAAAACGGCTTTCTCGGAAATCGTTTTTTCCTCATCGGACAACGATTTTAGTTCCGCTGGAGTGTCGTCAGCTTTGGAATCCGACCCGTCATATCCAGGAGGAGGTAAATTATTTGTTGCTCTCTCGGCCGATGCAATGCCATCTTCTTCAGCTCCACTCGAAACTAAAAAAAATACTTCGATTAAGTTTATCTTCAAATAAGAGGGGTTTCACACAACGTATTTAGCTCAACGTATCTGAAATCAGTAAAGTAATAATGCTTTTTTATTTTATTTCCGTTTCATTTGGCAAACATTAACATAAGAATAATGCAAAATTAACAAACAATATTCACCTAAATCATTTGGTAGAGGAGCCTCCTCAGATGCTGTTTTGTCCTCCACTGGATTAGTAATTTTGAGTCCGTTTTCGTCAACATCACTAACAGGTTTTTCAGTTGTAGTAGTAGTACTATTTGTAGTACATGTTATATTGAGTTCATACCCGGTTGGACAAATGTCATTTCCTTCGCCAGAAATCCCACCGCCGAATGGGTCAAAATCCACATGTACAGGAACACAACACTCGGGAATTTTGAGATTATACCCGGGTGGGCAATAGCCTGAAAAATCAGGAACATCACTAGGAACACACTCGGGAATTTCTAATCCAGAACGAAGGCCATTTGATGTGGTTGTGGTTAATGGCGTATTCTTGGGACGTTTGGGTTTGCGTGCCTTAGTCTTATTTTTTTTATTCTTATTCCTATTCTTATTCTTATTCTTTCCAAGATCATTTGATGTGGTCGTGGCTATTATTGTCGGTGTTGTGACGTTATTGCCATCTGATGTGGTTGTGTTTATTGTTGTCGTTTTCGTAGTTTCCGGGGGTTCGGTTCTGCGTAGTTTCTTTGTAGGCTTGGTCCTATTATTTTTCTTTCCAGCGGATATATAGTGTACCAAGCACAAGCTACAATACGTGAATAATAAGATTCAATACACTAGTATACACAATTAGTTCAAAGTTAACTGACATATCTGTCAGTGAAATGTACTAGGTGACGGAAGTTGACATGCCGTTATTACAATTTCAGTGTATATGGGTTCGACAAACTCAAATTTAGATGTATACATATCAATGTGATTTACTTAAGTATTATGAAAAAAACGAGCAACATAAACAAGTATAATATTTCTCTGAAAATAGTCAAACTCAAAATATGATAACAACCTACTAATTTGTAATGATTCATAGTGAAATAAGCACTACTAAAAAACATATATTACGTACCTTATAAAACCTATTAGAAGAATTCTCTTTAATCCAAGCATTCTAGTCTTATCGTTGGGAGGCACTTGTCAACTATGATGTAATTTGTTATTTCTGCGATTTTATACATTATCGCCCACATCATTGTTTTACAATTTGAAACGTTTTCAACATTTTTATGAATGCTATCAGTTGTTCAATAGTAAATGCGAACATGTTAAAAATTAAACAAAAAGTTGAATAGGTAATTTACCAATCATCCATTGCCGGCAGAATTCTAAGCCAACGAGGTATAAACATAAAGTTGTATAGCATATAGTCAATAATCATCTCGTCTGATTGTTTATGCAACAAAAACGATGGGTTTTATGGGATTCTGGTCTTTTGAATATGTTTTGTGAATATGTGTAATTTGCCTTCATTGTCATGAAGTTGAAAATAATTGAATTTTCTGAACATCGATTGTCGAATAAAATTATGTAGAGTGATTGCTCGTAACGAAACTGACAGGAAACCAGTTAAAAAAGCAGGTTCATGTTTTTTTCAAACATTACTTATTAAGAATGTAGCAAATGATAAAGACGGGTAGGGAGTTACTTCATTTCTAGACAATGTTAAAATGATCGTCCACACGACACTTTTCTGTCTTTCATTATAAGGTCTTGATAACTCGGGTTATATTGTCAATAATTTTGAAAAAGTAGATCCTTTTAATTCTAGCGAAACTTGACTGACCTGTATTCTAAATTGTCATAATTTAATCAGATATCTAATTGTCAGAAATAAAAGTAAGGATTGAAATGGAAAAATAGTGGCATCCGATTTCATTGACGCCAACATTTTACTCTCGCTATCCTTTGAATTCGCCATTTGAATAAACTTTTTAAATTCCATTCCTGATCCTAGATATTCAGGTAACCATATGTTTGGACAGTCATTGGTATGTCATTATACCTATCATACGCGTATTTGTATCGCACCCTTGGGTTCCATATTTAGATCAGTTTGCTTGGCGGGCGTCAACTTAATTTTGTCTAGGCGTCTCCAAACTATATGACGGATTGATTTCAAATTTTCAGTTATTTTGGATTTCCGGTCTAAAATCTTGTCTGTAGTCTTATTTATATATCTACGTGTTTATACACGAATCTTTTGACGGATTGATTTCAAATTTTCAGGTATGTTTCTTTGCATGGTCACTCTGGGTAAAGGTAAAGACGGCAAGACGGCCGTTTTGGATTTTCCGTCCAAAAATCTTGTCTGTAAAGTCTTGTCGACACGTTTCAAACAAACCCGATTTATGGATTCATCTGAAATTTCTAGATTTGTAAAGCGTAGTCTTGTCTATACGTTTAAAGTCAAATCGTTTGATGGATTGATTTAAAATCTTTTAAGGAATATATGTGTCGTGGTATGAAAACTATGAATTGATTTAGTTTTTAGTCATTCTAGTTTCGTTGAGTTAACGATGCCAATTTGAATTTTCCGTCCAGAAAACTGTCTGTTCTATTCAAGGGAGGGATACTGCTCACCCCCTGTCTTGTTTACTTTCTTGGAATTGATATTTGCTAATTTAAGATGACCAAAATCGATTAAGGTGTAGGTTTTCCATTTATGTTAACTCAATTTTAATTTATAAAGTGCACCCGGTCTTTCCTAAAGTTCTTCAATTATTTTATCACTTGCCGTCAAGACCGTCTTGCTTATTTGCACGGAAGACGTAGGTTGCTTGTTTCATCTGCCGTCAGTCATTGCCTTGGAACTTTATTGATAAGCCCAGAAGGTGAGTAACAATGATTTGTTTTCCAAAGACATCAAAATAATCTCTGGAGGTTGGTTGTTGAGAGAATGCATATTCGTAAAATACATTAGCTAAGCAACCTTATAGTAACGGAAAGTAATTATTGCAGTACATTTTCTGTTTATTTGAATTGTTGGAACTATTTACATGCATGTTGTTGTTATTAAATATGTGATGGTTCAACAGACACAGTTCAATTCAGCAACACTTAACTCCCCGCAATACACATTTGATTTGATGGGACAACCGTATCAGTGTTACGGCAACACTTCTCATTTCGCCTGTCATATGTGCGTGAACCACAACAACTCTGGTACGAAGACTGTTTCGGATGGATGCATCTGCAGCAACATAAATGTGTGTTTCTGTTATACGTCTTCAGCCCACAGCACCTGCAATTAGTAACCATATTAATTATGTCAATCTACACATTAATGAAACAAGTAAACATATCTAGGGCCCAGAGATGTTGTCAGGTATAATCAACAGGGGAAGATAGACGTTATGATGATAACCTTTGAAAACACAATTACGAGCAGTATGATTATATTTATGAATAGTTTATTTGGCATGTGTTTCTGAGATGTTGCTTCATGTGTTACCTCTCAATAAGGTACCCCAGATAGTTATTTTGTGCTTGTGAGGCTCGCACACGTTTTATTATCATGAATGATTTATTCCTTTAATTCGGTTTAGTAAAATAACAAAATATTGATCCTTAAATCATGTTTAACATTTTCATTATAGGTGGGGGTTGAACCATAACAAACATATTAAAGTCGTATTCTCACATATGTATGCATAACGACCTTCCCTTTGGCAGTTGCAAAGCTAGCCACCCCTCTGTCATTTAAGCGTAGAGACTAAGCCAATACACCATACGTATTTTGCATTTGATTTTTTAAATTCTGTTTTACTTACCTTGCATCATTGCCTCCGCCTTTGACTTTCATGCCATTACAGCAACTCCAACGTGGTTTATAAAATGGTTCATTGCCGCAACATACATAAAGCGTGCCGTCCCACGCTCTGTTCCCGCAGCATATATAGTTGTTCCCACCGGGTACCACAATACCATTACAGCATTTGTGTGTCTTGTAGTTGTATAGTTCGTATCCACAACATGAGCGTTTGCCATCAGTTATTCGGAGAACCTATATGTATCATCGAGTCATTACTTAATATTTCAACCAGTAATACATAATTTTAAGCTTTGAAGGAAGAAATGGTGTTTTTACTCAAGGATGAAGAAATAAAAATATATGCAACGGCAATTCGTCTACCTGGTTGTAACAACATGTGTTTTCACGGTAGTTATACGGCTCTGTTCCACAGCAGGTTGTTGTCGTTGGGCTCACTCTCTTTCTCACTTGTCCATTACAGCAGATGTAATATCTTCTATCGTAGCGTACAGTGTTACAGCATCTGTCGTATGGCCCAAACTTATTAAATACATTGCCATTACAGCAGGAATGTTGAGATGGATCTATAAGTCTACATGTCGGATAGTTGTGATGGTAATAGTATGGCCTGGGGAAGTAATAGTAATACGGGAAGTACGGGCAGTAGCGATTGAAGTAATAGTATTTATAGTTGCAACAACAACTTGTGTAACTGGAGTTGGGCATAGTGTAAACGCGACACCCGCAACATCGACTTTTGGCGTTGTTGTAAATCTTTGCAATGTATTTCCCATTCATGTAGCAGCTACAACATTTCGTGCCAATGCCGTATATTTTACGATACACTCTGCTCCCGCAGCATAAATAGTTTCGACTATCGTACGGACGACTACCGACTCCATTAGGAGGATTCCAGCAACACGAATTGTATCTGCTCTTGGGATACGCCTTTCCCCCACAGCATATCTCCGTTGCAGGCTTGTATATACCTTCCCCACAGCACTCCTCCCCTGAAATCAATTTTGTCGCACAATTTCCGCAGCATTTTTCAGTTTGGGGATTGTAAACGCTGTTCCCGCAGCACGACATTGGAGTGTTCCCTCTACGCGGTATGAGTATATCATTACAACACAAGCCGTTTGTCTTACTGTACGCCTTACTACCGCAGCATTGCAAACTACATCCATATTCATTGTTGTACAGTTTTCCACCACAGCACAACTGCTTGTCTTTGTTGTATGCTTGGCCGTTACAGCAACCAATATAGCCTGGTCGACCAATCTTTTCGATCGAGTACACCTTATCTTTACAGCAAAATGATATTTGCGAATTGAACGGCGTTCCGCAGCAACATGCGTCGACATACGGCACACTGCTGTACCAATAATAACGATAAAAGAAAGTTTTCCAGTAGAGTTTACCGGAACAGCAAAAGTAGCGTATGGGGTCGAATAATTGGCCAGCACATCGAACTGGTGCGGGGGGATAGTACCAATACTTTTTTGTGAATGAATTTGATCGACCGACCATCGAAGCATCCTCGTTCTTGTTTTCGCTTGGTGTATCAGATTTTTCAATTTTGTCCGCTGTTAGCCCATCACCAATATCTATTGAAGGAATCGTGAAATCAAAGTATCAGCGGGACCATGTTGAAAAAGAATAGATAAATTTGAAGAAATCATGAAATTAAAATATTAGCGGAACCATATTGAAGAGAATGTATTGCATAGTACTATGTTAAATAATTATGTATTCCTTATTGTTAATTTTATGTTTGTTATCAAGAGAGGAGCTCATCTCAATTGTAACGATTGACCATTTCCATATAGAAGTTCCTATTACAGTAAAAAGACGTCGTGAACACGGGTAAATTAGCATACACATGTAGGGCCAATGATTTGGACATATTTCCCCCTTAATTGAATCAACTACTGGTGGTGGTCATTTTAAATTCAAATTGCAGTTTATTCTTCTATAGATCATAATGTGTATCACTTGGTTCCATTTGAGCTTTAAGGTGATATCGGAAAATATAATCAAGAAATTAGACTAGTAAATCGTTTAGAAATGGAGAAATGTTACCACCCCACACATACATCACAGCGAAAAATGGCATAGTATCCAATAGTTTTTATAGATATCCCAAATCCCGGATATTTGTCGTATTCTGGAATATCCTAAAATATACCGATACTTCAAATATCCAGAAATATATTTAAAAGGATATTTCTGGATACTCAAAGTTTCCAAATTTCAACATATCCGAATTAAGGATATTCCAGGATACTTGACTTCCATAGTATTCAGAAATATTTTTGAGTATCCGGAATAATTAATATAGTTAACGTTCAATTTACAACTTGAGTGTATTTAAAACGTTTGTTTGGCGTTTCACCAAATATAGAATGTGAAATATATTGTATCTTCTGCTGAAACAACATTCTCTTCGTGATATCTAAACCACTCAAAACGATGGCTGCCATCGAAAAACTTGTGGTAGTTTGGGAAATTCAATCGACGATTACATCAACAATAAGCCGCTCTATGATGAAAAATTTGCTTCTAAGCACGGAAGATGTATTAAAGTTAAAAAGGACTCGAGTAGAAATACCATTTCCTTCATGTCGACTGATTTATTTGAATAATACTGTGAATCCGTCGAATTTTAGTGTGTGCATTTCGTAGTTTTCTCATTTTATCTGGCTTCAGTCGAACTTTCAAGATATAAACGTGAATTCATCTTGTAGGGGATGTTATGCACTTTACTAACAAGCTTTTGTTGACTACATTTTGATATTCGAAGACATTGAAAAATGGCTTCGAATTAAGGAAACAAACACAAATATTAGTCGCCATTGCATACTTCCTGGCTGAGCCGATTAAACCGGAAGCTTGTTCTCTGACGTCGGCGCGATATCAATAAATTGAGAAGAAATATCGACACAGCTCAGAACGTTATTTTGGACTCCTAGGATAAACTTCGAAGCATTTTCAAAGTTGAAATATTTAGTATTAGTATGCAATGACCGCTTAAAGCGAAAAAGGTCGTCAATACTGTACAAAGTTATTAAATCTCTTTGTGTTTAGTTTGTCGGGCTTTGAGAGCTTTTCACATATTAATGCTCGATATATATCAATGTATTCTCAGCTTGGACATGTTATGTATGCAAATAGCTCTCCGAGTTTTAGAGTCAATGTGAACGAAAATATCCTTGCTGTATGTAAAGAATCCCGACCGTATTTATTAATATTCCAAAAGTATCCCTAAATATCCCGAAAATATAATTGAATATTCAACCGTATTTCTGAGTATCCGAATGATATAACAGTTGAATCCTGAAGTATCCGTGAATAAACGAGACATATATCAGTAGTTTCCAGAACTACGGATATTTCTGGATATTAGTGTTCCGTCTCTCAATAATATCCATGCATCTCCGAAATCGTGATACTTAGAGTATTTATCACGGATTCTTAAGGATGTGTTCCATATTCATATAATATCCCGAAAGTATCCAGGCAGGATACTTTATCATTTTTCGCTGTGCATTATATCTCATAACAACCACATTCTCAAATGAAATGATCGAAAAACTCAATGGTAAATCTTTATAAATATATGAGAACGGGTATTGGGTAATCACTGGCTATTACTTAATGTACATGGTTCTCACAAAGAAGTTCATAAAAGAATATAAATATTGTATAGCAAATTCTATACTCGAGCATCTCTCATAAAAAGACACAGACTTTGTTCGGTATTTTTCAGACACTTTTACTAACCTATTCTGATTTATCACATTGTGAATTTATGTGATTTATGTGTTAACATCTAATATTTAATCCTTCCAAAATATATGTGCATTCTTCGCCCTCAATAGACATGTCAAAGCGACTAAACAGTAACCTACCAATTGTATTGCCTTCCAAAACGGCTTTCTCGGAAATCGTTTTTTCCTCATCGGACAACGATTTTAGTTCCGCTGGAGTGTCGTCAGCTTTGGAATCCGACCCGTCATATCCAGGAGGAGGTAAATTATTTGTTGCTCTCTCGGCCGATGCAATGCCATCTTCTTCAGCTCCACTCGAAACTAAAAAAAATACTTCGATTAAGTTTATCTTCAAATAAGAGGGGTTTCACACAACGTATTTAGCTCAACGTATCTGAAATCAGTAAAGTAATAATGCTTTTTTATTTTCTTTTATTTCCGTTTCATTTGGCAAACATTAACATAAGAATAATGCAAAATTAACAAACAATATTCACCTAAATCATTTGGTAGAGGAGCCTCCTCAGATGTTGTTTTGTCCTCCACTGGATTAGTAATTTTGAGTCCGTTTTCGTCAACATCACTAACAGGTTTTTCAGTTGTAGTAGTAGTACTATTTGTAGTACATGTTATATTGAGTTCATACCCGGTTGGACAAATGTCATTTCCTTCGCCAGAAATCCCACCCCCGAATGGGTCAAAATCCACATGTACAGGAACACAACACTCGGGAATTTTGAGATTATACCCGGGTGGGCAATAGCCTGAAAAATCAGGGACATCACTAGGAACACACTCGGGAATTTCTAATCCAGAACGAAGGCCATTTGATGTGGTTGTGGTTAATGGCGTATTCTTGGGACGTTTGGGTTTGCGTGCCTTAGTCTTATTTTTTTTATTCTTATTCCTATTCTTATTCTTATTCTTTCCAAGATCATTTGATGTGGTCGTGGTTATTATTGTCGGTGTTGTGACGTTATTGCCATCTGATGTGGTTGTGTTTATTGTTGTCGTTTTCGTAGTTTCCGGGGGTTCGGTTCTGCGTAGTTTCTTTGTAGGCTTGGTCCTATTCTTTTTCTGTCCAGCGGATATATAGTGTACCAAGCACAAACTACAATACGTGAATGATAAGACTGAACACACTAGTATACACAATTAGTTCAAAGTTAACTGACATATCTGTCAGTGAAATGTACTAGGTGACGGAAGTTGACATCCCTTAATTACAATTTCAGTGTATATGGGTTCGACAAACTCGAATTCAGATGTATACATATCAATGTGATTTACTTAAGTATTATGAAAAAAAGAGCAACATAAACAAGTATAATATTTCGCTGAAAATAGTCAAACTCAAAATATGATAACAACCTACTAATTTGTAATGATTCATAGTGAAATAAGCACTTACTAAAATAACATATATTACGTACCTTATAAAACCTATTAGAAAAATTCTCTTTAATCCAAGCATTCTAGTCTTAGCGTTGGGAGGCACTTGTCAACTATGATGTAATTTGTTATTTCTGCGATTTTATACATTATCGCCCACATCATTGTTTTACAATTTGAAACGTTTTCAACATTTTTATGGATGCTATCAGTTGTTCAATAGTAAATGCGAACATGTTAAAAATTAAACAAAAAGTTGAATAGGTAATTTACTAATCATCCATTGCCGGCAGAATTCTAAGCCAACGAGATATAAACATAAAGTTGTATAGCATATAGTCAATAATCATCTCGTCTGATTGTTTATGCAACAAAAACGATGGGTTTTATGGGATTCTGGTCTTTTGAATATGTTTTGTGAATATGTGTAATTTGCCTTCATTGTCACGAAGTTAAAAATAATGGAATTTTCTGAACATCGATTGTCGAATAAAATTATGTAGAGTGATTGCTCGTAAAATGATCGTCCACTCTTAAAAATGATTACTTGGATTTCCTTATACTGAGAAATTGTACTACTCATTTTAAGTCAAAAATTACTTAAATAATCTTGAACTACTGAATAATTTTTAAGTAATTTTTAAGTAATTCATTTATGGTGAATTTACTAATACAAGGAAATAAATTGAAATACTTACTGTAGTAATTGTAATACTCATTTACATAATTAAGCAATTAAAAAACTCAAAATGACAATATAAGTTAACCCTAAGTAAAATGAAGTAAACCTAAGTATTTAACTTTAAGTAATTTTTATACTTGGGGAATACTTGGGAAATACTCAAGTAATTCATTTTTAAGAGTGTCTACACGACACTTTTCTGTCTTTCATCATAAGGTCTTGATAACTCGGGTTATATTGTCAATAATTTTGAAAAAGTAGATCCTTTTAATTCTAGTGAAACTTGACTGACCTGTATTCTAAATTGTCATAATTTAATCAGATATCTAATTGTCAGAAATAAAAGTAAGGATTGAAATGGAAAAATAGTGGCATCCGATTTCATTGACGCCAACATTTTACTCTCGCTATCCTTTGAATTCGCCATTTGAATAAACTTTTTAAATTCCATTCCTGATCCTAGATATTCAGGAAACCATATGTTTGGACAGTCATTGGTATGTCATTATACCTATCATACGCGTATTTGTATCGCACCCTTGGGTTCCATATTTAGATCAGTTTGCTTGGCGGGCGTCAACTTAATTTTGTCAAGGCGTCTCCAAACTATATGACGGATTGATTTAAATTTTCAGTTATTTTGGATTTCCGGTCTAAAATCTTGTCTGTAGTCTTGTTTATATATCTACGTGTTTATACACGAACCTTTTGACGGATTGATTTCAAATTTTCAGGTATGTTTCTTTGCATGGTCACTCTGGGTAAAGGTAAAGACGGCAAGACGGCCGTTTTGGATTTTCCGTCCAAAAATCTTGTCTGTAAAGTCTTGTCGACACGTTTCAAACAAACCCGATTTATGGATTCATCTGAAATTTCTAGATTTGTAAAGCGTAGTCTTGTCTATACGTTTAATCGTTTGATGAGTTGATTTTAAATCTTTTAAGGAATATATGTGTCGTGGTATGAAAACTATGAGTTGATTTAGTTCTTTAGTCATTTCGTTCGAGTTAACGATGCCAATTTGAATTTTCCGTCCGGAAAACTGTCTGTTCTATGCAAGGGAGGGATACTGTTCACCCCCTGTCTTGTTTACTTTCTTGGAATTGATATTTGCTAAGATGACCAAAATCGATTAAGGTTTGGGTTTTCCATTTATGTTAACTCAATTTTAATTTATAAAGTGCACCCGGTCTTTCCTAAAGCTCCTTCAATTAATTTATCACTTGCCGTCAAGACCGTCTTGCTTATTTGCACGGAAGACGTAGGTTGCTTGTTTCATCTGCCGTCAGTCATTGCCTTGGAACTTTATTGATAAGCCCAGAAGGTGAGTAACAATGATTTGTTTTCCAAAGACATCAAAATAATCCCTGGAGGTTGGTTGTTGAGAGAATGCATATTCGTAAAATACATTAGCTAAGCAACCTTATTGTAACGGAAAGTAATTATTGCAGTACATTTACTGTTTATTTGAATTGGAACTATTTACATGCATGTTGTTGTTAAATATGTGATGGTTCAACAGACACAGTTCAATTCAGCAACAATTAACTCCCCGCAATACACATTTGATTTGATGGGACAACCGTATCAGTGTTACGGCAACACTTCTCATTTCGCCTGTCATATGTGCGGGAGCCGCAACAACTCTGGTCCGAAGACTGTTTCGGATGGATGCATCTGCAGCAACATAAATGTGTGTTTATGTTATACGTCTTCAGCCCACAGCACCTGCAATTAGTAACCATATTAATTATGTCAATCTACACATTAATGAAACAAGTAAACATATCTAGGGCCCAGAGATGTTGTCAGGTATAATCAACAGGGGAAGATAGACGTTATGATGATAACCTTTGAAAACACAATTACGAGCAGTATGATTATATTTATGAATAGTTTATTTGGCATGTGTTTCTGAGATGTTGCTTCATGTGTTACCTCTCAATAAGGTACCCCAGATGGTCATTTTGTGCTTGTGAGGCTCGCACACGTTTTACTATCATGAATGATTTATTCCTTTAATTCGGTTTAGTAAAATAACAAAATATTGATCCTTAAATCATGTTTGACATTTTCATTATAGGTGGGGGTTGAACCATAACAAACATATTAAAGTCGTATTCTCACATATGTATGCATAACGACCTTCCCTTTGGCAGTTGCAAAGCTAGCCACCCCTCTGTCATTTAAGCGTAGAGACTAAGCCGATACACCATACGTATTTTGCATTTGATTTTTTAAATTCTGTTTTACTTACCTTGCATCATTGCCTCCGCCTTTGACTTTCATGCCATTACAGCAACTCCAACGTGGTTTATAAAATGGTTCATTGCCGCAACATCCATAAAGCGTGCCGTCCCACGCTCTGTTCCCGCAGCATATATAGTTGTTCCCACCGGGTATCACAATACCATTACAGCATTTGTGTGTCTTGTAGTTGTATAGTTCGTATCCACAACATGAGCGTTTGCCATCAGTTATTCGGAGAACCTATATGTATCATCATTACTTAATATTCCAACCAGTAATACATAATTTTAAGCTTTGAAGAAAGAAATGGTATTTTTACTCTAGGATGAAGAAATAAAAATATATGCAACGGCAATTCGTCTACCTGGTTGTAACAACATGTGTTTTCACGGTAGTTATACGGCTCTGTTCCACAGCAGGTTGTTGTCGTTGGGCTCACTCTCTTTCTCACTTGTCCATTGCAGCAGATGTAATATCTTCTATCGTAGCGTACAGTGTTACAGCATCTGTCGTATGGCCCAAACTTATCAAATACATTGCCATTACAGCAGGAATGTTGAGATGGATCTATAAGTCTACATGTCGGATAGTTGTGATGGTAATAGTATGGCCTGGGGAAGTAATAGTAATACGGGAAGTACGGGCAGTATCGATTGAAGTAATAGTATTTATAGTTGCAACAACAACTTGTGTAACTGGGGTTGGGCATAGTGTAAACGCGACACCCGCAACATCGACTTTTGGCGTTGTTATAAATCTTTGCAATGTATTTCCCATTCATGTAGCAGCTACAACATTTCGTGCCAATGCCGTATATTTTACGATACACTCTGCTCCCGCAGCATAAATAGTTTCGACTATCGTACGGACGACTACCGACTCCATTAGGAGGATTCCAGCAACACGAATTGTATCTGCTCTTGGGATACGCCTTTCCCCCACAGCATATCTCCGTTGCAGGCTTGTATATACCTTCCCCACAGCACTCCTCCCCTGAAACCAATTTTGTCGCACAATTTCCGCAGCATTTTTCAGTTTGGGGATTGTAAACGCTGTTCCCGCAGCACGACATTGGAGTGTTCCCTCTACGCGGTATGAGTATATCATTACAACACAAGCCGTTTGTCTTACTGTACGCCTTACTACCGCAGCATTGCAAACTACATCCATATTCATTGTTGTACAGTTTTCCACCACAGCACAACTGCTTGTCTTTGTTGTATGCTTGGCCGTTACAGCAACCAATATAGCCTGGTCGACCAATCTTTTCGATCGAGTACACCCTATCTTTACAGCAAAATGATATTTGCGAATTGTACGGCGTTCCGCAGCAACATGCGTCTACATACGGCACACTGCTGTACCAATAATAACGATAAAAGAAAGTTTTCCAGTAGAGTTTACCGGAACAGCAAAAGTAGCGTATGGGGTCGAATAATTGGCCAGCACATCGAACTGGTGCGGGGGGATAGTACCAATACTTTTTTGTGAATGAATTTGATCGACCGACCATCGAAGCATCCTCGTTCTTGTTTTCGCTTGGTGTATCAGATTTTTCAATTTTGTCCGCTGTTAGCCCATCACCAATATCTATTGAAGGAATCGTGAAATCAAAGTATCAGCGGGACCATGTTGAAAAAGAATAGATAAATTTAATTTTTTGACAATACCTCAATTATTAGATAATAAATAATACAATCATTTTGGATTATTCAATATTTTCATGAAAATAAATAGATGTTCAATTAATCAATTGCTGATTTAAACAAGAACACAAATGTGTACAAAATGTGCCCACCTATGGGTGATCCCGTCAAATGGTTATCCTAAAAATGAGTAGACAAGACTTTACCGACACAATTTGAGGACGGAAAATCCAAAATGGCCACCTTAAAATTTACCCAGAATGCCCAAAAATTAGTCAGTTCTAGATTTTCATACTAAAAACCACCCCTGAAAATTTGAAATTGATCCGTCACACAGTAAACCAGAAAACATGTAAACAAGACTTTACAGACAAGATTTGAGGACAGAAAATCCAAAATGGCTGCCTTGACATTTATCCAGAATGCACTGAGAATCATCCCTGAAAATTTGAAATTGATCTACCAAACGGTTCACCTGAAAATGCGTAGACAAGATTTTAGGACGGAAAATCCAAAATGGCTGCCTTGACATTTACCCAGAATGCCCAAAAACTAATCAGATCTAGATTCTCATACTAAAAATCATCCCTGAAAATTTGAAATTAATCTACCAAACGGTTCACCTGAAAACGCGTAGACAAGACTTTACAGACAAGATTTTAGGACGGAAAAATCCAAAATGGCCGACAATAAAAAAGTGATTATGAGTTTTTGCTGATTTCTTTTTACAAAATTATCACATATAACTACTGTTAACAATAACATAGGCTTTTACAACAAGGTACACCTGATATTATTTATAAAGCTACTAAATAGTTAAAGTATGAAAACTGAAAAACACCATTCAATATGATACAAAAGTATTATCGTGCTGTAACTTTTCTTAAAACATTCAAAATGGCTGACATGATTGAGCTAACAGGTCCAAAACCTAATCAGATCTAGAATGAAGTGAGCTGAACAAGATGATAAAGTTTTAAAAGCAACTGTGAAGCCGTTTTTCTTAAAGTTTGCAGACAAAGAATTTAGCATTTGACTTCAAAATGGCCGACAGGAAGTAGGTATCGAGTAGGTACCACATCTGTATGCACTCATAAGTTATCCCTGAAAATTTGAAGGTGATATCTGTAGCGGTTTTTGAGAAAACTGCCGGACGTACGGACGGACAGACAGACGGACAGACAGACAGACAGACGGACAGACGGACGGACGCGCCTAGGCCGACAATATGGCCCCACACTATGTGGTGGGGACATAAAAAGTGTTTCAACCGAATATATTATCACATTTGCATGGTGTAATGCATCGATCTGTCGAATGCATATTTTATATATCTAGGTGTTGGTATGTGTTGTCATATTGTTTTAAATATCATATTGTCGTATATCATCTCTCTTCTATAGTATATTGTAGTTAAGTTATTTCAATTTCATTACTATTCCATAACTGCTTACTTTGACGTTGTGTCAAATTAGCAAAATGGAGGAACTTTGGTTTGGTTATAATACTACTATGTTTATTGTAACTGTTTCTGATTTATTGTTAAATGAAGCTTAACTACCCTCTTCTTGTTACATTGACCTACCACGTCAAATCAACATTTGTAATATTAAATGAAGCTACACTACCCCCTTCTTGTTACATTGACCTACCACGTCAAAGCAACATTCATAATATTAAATTATGTTATAATCGTTATCAAATGTTCCATGATGTGTATTGTTCATTTGCAGACGCTCAAAGCTGAATGCATCACATTGAAACAGGAAATGATCCATTGTTTCAGGTTCCTTTTTACCACTAAGAGTACACTGTAGGTTATAATTTGACCTATTCCATTTCTTACAAGAGTTCAAATTGAATATATATATGCAATTGGAGAGGTCATTCGTATACAAGCAATTTTAAATTCCATAACTGTCATTCTAAAAATCATCACCAGTTTGTATATATTAGCCATTGGCAGGTTTTGGAGCATCCATATAAACATTAATTAACTCTGTATTCCATTCCCCACCAATCGAGGGGTTCGTATGCAACGGGCACTCTGCAAAAGCGGAATCCTCCTTCCTACCTTACGCTGTACAGTTTCCATCTGTGATATCGCATTTGACGAATATGGAATTACATTAGTGTGTCATGGAAGGAATTGCAAATGTTTCATACAATTTTGCAGATGTTATTGCTGCACCAATTGTAATTCAATTATTATGAAGACTTACCGATCGAATTTCTTTCCAAAACATTATTCTCAGTTATTGTTTTCACATCATTAGTTAAAGATTTCATTTCAGCTGGAGCATCGTCAGCCTTGCTATCCGACCCGTCAAACCCAGGAGGAGGGATGGAGTAAACTTTTGCACTCTGGGCTGATGTAATGCCATCTTCTTCAGGTCCAATCGAAACTACAATGGCAAAGAATTGGTGACACACAGATATAGCTACTGTAGATCAATAAGTAATAAAGGCATATAGTTATCCTGCCTCCATATTTTGTATGAGTCCTGCTGACGCTTTGTATTTAGGCTTAGATATAAAGCGATATGTTAACATGTACGAGAAAGGGACTGTCACCCCTGGGAAACCATGCCTGGACATGTCGCTCTGGCCTACACGTTAGGAGTATACCAGTAACACAAGATGCTTACATTCATCTAAAGTCCGAGGAGCTTCCTCCGATGATGTGGTGTCCTCCTTTGGATCAGGAATTGGCAGCCCTTGTTCATCAACATCACTAACATTGGGTCGTTGGGTAGTTGTTGTAATACTTGTGTCAGATCCGCAACCACCAGCTCCACATCCGTCACTTCCCCTGCCGTCGCCATCAAAGTCTGGATTGAATCCGCCGCCGTATTCCCCACCTCCTCCAGGGTATCCCCCGAATCCTCCTCGGAAGCCTGTATCATCACCATCACCGGGTGCCTCGGTTGTTGTTGTTTTGTTGCGATTTTTTTTATTTCTATTCTTTTTCCTACCTCCAGCCGATATGTGTTGTACCAAACACAAGCTATCAAATGTAAATGTGTATATGATAATTACAGTACCTGTATTTAACTATTTAACCTAATGCAATCGACACAATTTAATCCCCGTCCTTTTTGTTGCGGCACCCATTCTGTCATTGGAGAGGTTAAGCTTTGCATATATAATCGAAACTAAACCTGTACGTATCACTTGACCATATACAAATTCATGTAGCCTTCTCATATAAATAGCCGTTCAAATCCAGTGTTTGTTTAGACTACACCATAGCGTGTAATGATTCTATAGTATGTCATTGATGCGGTTTTATAGCTGGTTTTCTAATACATATTTTAAACGAGCTCGTTTCGTAAGATTTTTGGCGCTAAATCATGCATGACATACATCATCGTGTTCAGCAAGAATTCAACTGTGCATCGAAATCAAAATTGACAGCATAGTGTTCAATAGACACGAGTAAAATGGTTCCCGTTGACCCAACGTCAAATTTCAAATTATCCCGTTCTAAACCCGAAACTCTGATGCTGAAAGAGTATCTGAAGTAGACTAAGCGCGCATGAAACTATGAGCGCTCGATACATTCCTTTGTTAATTTTTGTACTTTGCGTTCACGGTTACGTTGTGAAAAACATCGTTAGCTTAACCTCTCCATTATTGGCTACTCTGAACCGGAGATTAAATTGTCGAAACTTTGAGATGCAGTTCAATTAATCCAGAACCTATGTAGGTATAAGTGTCAAAGGGGGAAGAAAAAAGCACTACAAAACACAGTTGGTAAAAAATCTGGCGTTACCAATCAGAAGAAAAACAAGGCTCCAATATCCCATTGACAAACAGAAAACCAAAAGTCTATTTTAATTTCATACTCGCTTCATTACAATACTACAGTAAAAGAGTAAAAGATCAAAAGCGGCCTAGTTCTCTTGACATATCAAACTGTCTAATCACGTACTATTTTTTATAAAACATATTTACCATTCGGTCCCGATGGATGTGTTAGGCGAAAACTTGTTTCACCACATTTAAAAACGCCATTAAAACAAAGTCAAAAGTCAAAATAATTATCAAACAAAGTAATTATTATTTTAACGTATAATGCCATGAAATTCGACTACATAATTTCTCAAATTGCAATCACATATGATTTCCTTCAATTTCAATATTCTACGAATACTAAAAAATACTCGACCCCCCCCCCCCCTCCCCTGGGTTTACCTAATCAAGTTTTGACCTCATTTGAACTTTTGAATTCCCGTTTCTTCAGTCTTGATGGTCTAATTGCGAGCCGTTCGAAACAATCAGAATATGACATATTTGATATTGCATTAACCATGTTATAATATAAATAAGTCCAATAGAAAGATGTGTTTCCTACTAAAGCAACAATTATGAATGTTAAAAATATTTATATGTGCTTATAAGAGCCATTAACTGAGCCTAGTAAACCCGGCATCTCAATTAAAATTAAACTAACGATATCACATACCCCAAAAGGCTTAGTAAAAGAAGTTTCCTCATGCTAAGTATCGTGGCCCGAGCGTCCTGAGACACGTGTAGTAATGAGGCAATACATGTGTTTTATTTCACTTTTATACATTATCGTCCACAATACTGTTTAACAATTAAAATTATTTCAAAACAGTTATTTAAATGATCACGGCATTGTTAACTACAACAGTAATTAGTACGGATATACAGTTGTATATATATTATCATTAGTAGAATGCCTCAGTAATTAACTGATCAGATCGTATACACATGTTGGTAGTTCATGAAATCCTAAGCCAACAATAAGTATAAAGGTTTTTATTGAATTGCAAATTTCGCATAAAGTCAATATGAAATTCACCCGATTGTTGTCATTCTTTTTTAAACAAAAAAACTGTAGTTTAATGGGACTCATGTCATTAAACACCGTTTTATGCGTTTGTGTACATTTCGTTTCATTGTAACGAATTTGTAAATAGACATACAAAAAGCTAGTATACAAAATACCAGTGACAAGTGTATAATAAATTCTTCATTGGCGTAATTTCTTATTTTCTGACGAACGTATACGTAGTTGGGAATTGAGAACATAGTATTCGAAAAAATAATAATTTGATGACATAAATATATATCACGATGGGGAATCAAAACGAGGGCACATCCGCGGACTATGAATCGCGTAATTCAAAACGAGGTTACAAAGCATTCTTGCATGTACACTGGCGGTAAGTCCGAACTTAATTTGGAGAGTCCGGAGTTAAACAAAGGAAATATATATATTTAAAACATCAAATAAGGAAATATGTTTAAAATTAAAAAATCTAAAATCAAAGCAATTTTTCAAAAACATCAAATAAGGAATAAGGAAAAAAATTCAAAGTAAATGTTGATAACTTCAAATTAGAAAAACATATATACATTTTTCTTATGGTCTTTGATGTTTAATTTTCCCTTTTCCAAGCTGTTTTTCGCAGTTTGATAGACGTGTAATTGCTCATTTAGAATATCAATCAAATACTAAAGATTTATTTTTAAACAACACCACTAAAACTGAATAAAAACTTTGAATTAAAAAGTGTAATATCAAACAAGAAATATTGATTGTCAAACATAGAATTGAAAAAATGGTTGACAAGAAAATTGAAATTTCAAACATGAAATTAAAAATATGAAAAAGACGCTAAAAATGCCATCTAGAAATGTTTAAAAACTTTGAACATTTAATTCTTTCGAAAATGTGACTATGTAGTTCTTGTTGATTCCCCATTGCAAAATCACAAAAAGTTACGGGTTATAAAAAAACGAAAAAATTAATGACAAGTTTTGATTCGGTAGAACTCTCCTTACTTTTTGTACCATTAGGATGCATGTTCAATTGACAAAGTTCAAATTAGAATTTCTCAAATCGCAGCCCATCGATTTTCAAAGAATTTCAGAGAAATACAGCGACATCTCACCTTCATGTCAAAAGATTTCAACAAGAATATCCCACAAAAATCAGAAGTTCTGCTCTCTTACATAGTAGGAGTACCAAAACGTCATCATATTTGTGTACATTGACCAATTCACCACTTCCAAGGTCATTCATCAGCAGAAAATAATTTCAAAGATTTTACCGTTCACTGTTATGCTCACATGTTTCCAAGTTATTCATATATGCCTGCAAATTAGAGTATTCTATCCAAAGATGGTGCTGTAGTATACCATTGAAGTCCCCAAACAGGTTTTTAATAGAACTACTTTCGTCATACCACGAAATAAACAAAAGAGTAAGGATAGTACACTCTTAAACTTGACAGAGGACATACTCGGGTATGATGGCATGATATCAAAACATGTCCACAAATCTTAGTTTTCTCTGGAAGACAGATCGTTTGTATGGGAATACGCATGTTATAGCATTTAGTTGTGTTATCCCCGAACTAGAAGTCACATTTAAAAAATATCAAAGTTGATAAACAATTTTCGAAACCATATTTCTATACTTGTGGTATGGAGGTAGACTTTTGGAGACCATGTTAGTTACATCCTAAAGAGTATTTCTATTCGCATCTTGTATATTCACAAGTTATAATTATAACGTTATAGCTATATAAGTTATGCTTTCGTGTATGAACGAAATCTCTACATATTATTTGATTAACTTGCAAATATGAATTTTGAAAAGAAAACAGTCGAATGTGAGAAGATTTTAACACAGTCCAAACTCCATTCCAAAAATATAAATAAGTCGAGAATAACGGGACGAATGCTCAAACCTTAAACATAACATAAATATACCCATTCGTGAAATTTCCATTTTTCTGCTGCAATAATTAATATTATTATATCATTGCTAGAATTTGTGTCCTTTGATTGGCTGATTCAGTACCATGTGATCAAAAATACCAAAGCGTATTTCACAGCTCCCTTAATTTTGGAATTATAAAAGACGTATTGCCCGGCGTATTGCCCGCCCGGGAATTCTGAATCGTCCCGTTTCGTCCAGTACAGTTGTGACGTGCATCGAAATGGCAGACGGAAAAAGATTTAAAAGTCTGAATTCCGATGAAAAGAACGACATCTTGAGGGATGTGCATTCTAAAAACACCATTATATCAACGGAATGACATCTAATGTCTTAGAACATTTTCAAGTGTTATGTGGACGAAATACACGTTAAATCTATCGATAAAATCGTTCTGGATGGAATTTTAGAGGATTTTTTGGGGAACTGCGAACGAAGGATGGGGAATATTACAAGAGTGCCAGTCTGCAAAGTAAGCGAATGTCTAGCAATGATATAATAAAACAAATATTTCATTCTATGTTCGGGCAATACCTGTTGCACTTTCAATGATTTTTGCAGCATGTATTTCCCTCGCCCTCCGGGCTGCGGGCAATACATGCTGCAAAAATCATTGAAAGATGAACAGGTATTGCCCTCCATAGAATGAAATAGTTGCTTAGTATTTTATGAAAATAATAGCATTGCCTGACCAAACTTCTGAATTTAATATTTATAATTCAAAATAATGACCCCACGTCTGTTTCTTACTCTAATCGAAACTCTACATTTCGAAAATTGATATATGATACATATTGCAATTCATGTAGAGGTAAATGGTTTCTGCAAGGTCGGCAATGAAGCTTGCCAAAGTCCTCGCATAAACAACACGCTGAATAAACCAGATGCAATCCAAATGAGATATGCTAAAAGTGGGATGCCCCTTTTTAGTATATTGAGAAGACGTCACATAGTTATAAAAACAATTCATACACTTAATCTTTGATATTTTTTCATATGTTACATCATTTTAATAGGGCAAAAGAAAATCAATAATGACATGTATACATCCTCCGAACACAATGCTACTGAACTTGTTACTCGTACGAAGATCTGAAGATATTCTGGATTTTGGAGCCATAGGCCTGTGTTCTGAGGATGCATTGTAATAAAAGGCTGTACAAGATAAATTTCCCCATACTCACTAATACTGGTTGTTTCTTAGGAGTCGGTACAAATCAAGGAACATACTTGACATCATAAAAAGTGATCAAACATGGAGGACAGGTGCATGCAAGGAATATCATTCAACCGACGTTTCAAAGTTAAGTGCAGTTTGTATGAGATTTTGATGGTGAATCAAAAAGGTATAGCCAGTTTGCGATGCATATGTTTATTTCTAAAGAGAAGCCAGACAACAACGCTTGGCTTTACGCATCGTGAACCTTAAGCCACTAAATAAATGTTCATTTATACAGCACCGCATATAGGACCACTCATAAGTACAAGGTCGCGGTCACCATTTGTGAACAATACTTGCTAGTTTAAAACGGATTTTACTGACAAACTTGCTCTTAGTTTGTCAATCAATACAACTCAACAAATGTTTCAAGGAAGTCCAAACTCCGACTAGGCACAGACCCTAAAACTTCTGTTCTGCATTTTACCTTCTGCAACTGCCGCATTGGCCGACAATACAGTTTGGGAGTATGAGAGCCCTTGAGTAATCAAAGCGATTATATTGCACCTCGATAAACATAAACACGTATGAAACACAGAGATAATTTTAGGAAACTTCTTGTAGATGCGCTAACTTGAGGATGTTATCTGCAACTTGTAGATTGAACCAAGTCTAGGACACTTTCGGATAATTTGAACAACAATTTAATGATTTTTCAGGTCAAACTCTGCATACATCTAGAGTTGGCAATATTAAATCAAGCAGCTGATTTACTTACAAATGTTAATAAACATAACACGAACCATTGGCCTATAGCGTTGACATGTTTCGACCATGACAGATTAAGGCTCTTATAAAAACAGCTTAATATGACCTGAAAAGCATTCCTCATTAAAAGCCTAAAAACGTAAATCTAGTTGGGAGAGACTGGTGCGAAGAATTGAATCATTTACATCCGAATCCTTATGCAAAGAGAAGAAATTGACAGACTTTGTTATTGTTTTAATGAGCTTATATGTGGATAAACAATGGTAAGTATATTTATTAGAAAACCAGCAGTCATTAAGTAGTTTGTCGTTTAAAAAGTATTTATTCATATTTGCAAAGGCTTTGATCAAAACCAGTGATATCATTAACGAATACTTTTTCATTGCAATATCTAATAATCATCATCAGTTTAGGAACCTATTACTTGAGTTTGCAAAAATTTTCAAAATGAATACCATACACTGTGCCATAATTTCACTCATAACCCATATGTCAGCCTATGATCTTAAACTAAAAACTGGAGTGTATTTTTACAAACAGCAGGTTTCAATCATTTCAATCTGACGTGCTCCGATTTATATGAATATCAAATACATGATTCACGTTGGCATTTTGTATGATTTTTTTCTTAAATTTAGCCTTACTTTGAATCATTTTAGTCTGTTAAAATATTAATGAAAATGATTGCTCCAGTAGTTCTGTTAAGAGTGTTGACAACAATTCATACAACACACTCGGTCCTTTGTTTGTTTACCACCTGTTTAATATTTTCAAGCACGATCGCCGGGGCATGTTTTGACTACATTCTATTGTTTCAGGAAAGCGAAGTACAAATGCGTCACACTCATCTTGCAACCAGCCCATCACGAAACAAAAACTATGGTTTCACAGAAAAACGAATGAGTGGTGAGGATACAAGCTAGTGCAGTACAAAAGAGGAATTCAATTGTATTGCTCCGTGTTGAAGCCCGAATGATATACATATTATATAATTTAAGTAATAACGGGAATCATACATTTGAAGTCGAATGATACTTCGGGTCCGAATGAAGCATTGAAATACAGGGTGGTCAAAAAAACGGCAACCCTAGTTTTTACTATTATCTTTGTCATTCTTAAAAATAACTCCCTGATATTTTACGCATTTGTACATCATTTAATTTCCTACCAACCTACCATATTTCATGACCATCGGACTGATAGTCACAATATTTCTGCATTCCAAGCAACATGCCACAGATGGCCACTTTCGGGCTGTTTGAGCTGGTCTGTTATTCAAATGAAGTCCATTTCGAACTTGACGCACTGGTAAACTCTAACAATTATGTATTCTTGGGGAACCAAGCACTTGATGAAGTAGTGGAGAGGCACCTTCACACAGACAGATGCACAGTTTAGTGTGTTCTCAGAAGATAGGGTCCTTTACCTTTACAAAATTGTAAAATCTTAAGACTTGGGTCATAATTTTTCTCCCGGCGGTGGATACTTTGGCCCAAAATTCAAATTTCTTGAGTATCATGGCAATAAATTATAATAGAAAAAAATTAATTACACTAACAAACGTTTTTTCCACAGGAGGGTTGATTTCTAGGGGTGAGGCTTACCCCTCAAAAATAAATTTGTATGGTTCCGTGAAAGCATTACTCAGGTATTTTGTCGAAGCCAAAGGCATCCCTCTAAATGAAAATACTATAAAAGTGGGAAGACATCATTTATTCATCTATTAAGGATTTCCCCTTCCGTTCCTAGAGTAACACAAATTACACAGATTCCTGATTTGATTATAATATCGCTCAACTATGCATTAAAGGTTAATCATTTCCATTGCTATCATCCTCATAGTATTAAACCTGGGTAAATATTATGAACTCGGCTTGCATTCTCCGTATATTCATTAGGCCAGATTACTACCAGATTCAGGATACAAAATTCTAAAAATTTAGTAAGGTTCGTGGTCTTTTACTGGTGTTTATTGCTGTTTTTTGTTAACTATTTTGACATGTGTTGCATTTAACATGAGTGTACCTACAGTTCACGTATCGTGACATAGTCGGCTATTACAATGAAAACGAGCTTTAATTGAAACTAACCATGTTATATAATTGAAACTAGGCCTACTCATGTTATATAATGGAATTGGTTCTTCGGGAAAGTCTTCACTTCCAATAATTACAACAGTATTATATAAGGCAGAAATATTAGGCAAATATTATATTCTATGTTTGGGCAATACCCTTTCATCTTTCAATGATTTTTGCAGTATGTATTGCCCACAACCTACAGCCTACAGTCGAGGGAAATACATGCTGCAAAAACTATTGAAAGTGCAATAGGTATTGCCCGAACATAGAATGAAATATTTGTTTTATTATATCATTGCTAGACATCCTCTACGATCACTTTGCATTTCATAGAAATATAGAAAAAACTGTTTTAACATGTGAACATTTATTTCAATCAATCATTATAAAAAACATACAAGTATCATTGTAAAAGTTTTTCGTCCAGTGCAGCTGTCAGAATTCCCAGCCGGGCGAGAACGCCGAGCAATACGTCTTTTATTCCCAAAATTAGGGGAGCTGTGAAATGCGCCATGGTATTTTTGATAACATGGTACTGAATTAGCCAATCAAATCACCCGTTTTATGGTTATGATATAATAAAGTAAAATATGCCCTATTTGATTACAATACTTTTTATTTTCTGATTTCTAGAATGATTCAATGTTTGATGATAGCCTGTCAATATATGGTTGATCTGAGCAGTTATTTCTAATTTAGGTTTTCAATAAATATTCAATATCTTTGAACTGGACAGTCACTTATTTTTGATTTATTATTCGTAAGCATTAAGTATGTTTTTGATTTGGGCACTTAATTATTTTTCATTTAGAGTTCCAAGAAGCATTCAGCGTATTTGATCTTAACAGTGATGGCGAGATTTGCGAAGATGAGCTGACCCGCATTATGATGGCTTTGGGGCTGAGGCCTACCCCTCGCGAGATCAAGGCTCTCATTAAATCAGTAGATACAGATAGTAAGTTGATATCAGACCTGACAACCTACCGTATTTTTACGGGAATCTAAATTAATGACGATGTGATATATTTATGTTTACCTTAATGATACCACGTGTGTATGCTTTATAAATTGTAGTTCCGACTCATACCATAAAGTATCAATCTAACGCATTTTCACTTAAAAGTATATCCTCGGAATATGTTATTATATTGACGAATATCGTATACTAATTTTCCCTGAAACGTTTCAAAAGGTTTTAAAAACTTCATCGAAAAACTTCTTAAAATTGAATAATTGTGTCAAAACGTTTCGTTAAATGCTTTTGCAATTTTGATATTACAACTTCAAGGCATATTGAACTAATATTGAATTCGAATATTGAAATGAATGGTGAATTCATTGACATTTAATCCCTGTTACTTCAGCAACATAATATTATAATATGTGTCCATGTCGATAACTAGTCTGGGTTAATAGGTCTTTGTGCTCCACCTTGTTTTAAACTCTGTTCTTTATAAACTTTGTGTTTTATTCTAGAAAATGGAAGGATAGATTTTGATGAATTCGTCACCCTGATGGCTAACCGGATGACAAAAGATCCCGAGATAGAATTACAGGAAGTCTTCACCGTTTTTGATCAGAATAAAGATGGATATATCTCGAAGGAGGAGTTATACGATGTCCTCTGTAAATTAGGAGAACACATTTCAGAGGTACGTTAATAATCAGTGAACTGTAACGTCATACGGAAGCAAGGCAGCTCTTTTTAAATTATTATACACATTCAAGCGCGAGTTCTATCTTAAACATGTAGCTCTTTTGATATCACATTTGATATAAGGAAGAACTATAATACATTGATACAAGAAGCAATTGTATGCTTTGTGGGGGTCTGCGTTTGTCGTACTCTAACGAACTTCTATAATTGCAGAATGATGTGGTAGAGATGATTAAAGAAGCAGACCTTAACAAAGATGGCAAAGTAGATTTTGAAGGTGGGAAACATAACAGCATGATGTGCTAGTATTTTTATGTATCTAATAGATATAGAAATTAAAATATGCCCAGTCAAAGAAAATATTATCTGTCCAATACAAGAAAAGATATTTCACATTTTGTGGTTTATAACATGGGGTCTATGGGAATCTCCCGAACTAGAAATCACATTTCATAAAAAATTTAATTTTCAAAGTTGATAAACAATTTTCGAAACCACATTATTTCTAGATTTACTTTTACACACTGTGGCTAGTCGAAATTTGTGGATACAGTAAAAGTAGTTATTAGTTTTTTGTAGTTTTCAATGGAAGAATTTTGCACTTTATCATACTTAAATGATTTACCAAACCAAAGCTACGCTATAAACACATATTTGGTAATATTTTACGGAGATTAGATAACTCAAACGAGTTCTCTTGACCAATTTTTCATCTTGTTCACAGCTGTCCGAAGGTATGTATGATTTGCCAAAGGTTTACTTTATTTTTAAATTTACTGAAAATTTGTAGAAAGTAGCCCAAGAGTATCCCTAGCAAGGTATAAAAATATGAAGAAGATCAGGTAAATTTTATGTGAGTACTAAGAAATTCGACATGGCATGTTAAAATATCCCATACCGGAGCAGCGCAATGATGTTTGTACCAAAAATGGGAAGCAATTTGACAAGTAATTTCTCAGCAATGAATGAGCCAAATTCTTTAATAACTTTACTTGAGGTACTTTAGGATATCTCCTGCTAGTGTTATGAACACGTTAGAGATTGGTCTCATATTATATATGTACTTTTAAATTAAAGACAACTATGTTAAAATAACAATTTTCATTGTAAAAGTCACTTATTAATCAATTTCCAAGCAAAAATACTTCTCCATATCTATTCTAACAATATCACCTCCAATGAATTTTGAGAATGAATGGATTTTGTATATTGGTAAGAATGAAAGAATTAATTAGACATGACACACAGGCAAGCTATTCTGACTGATTGACAGATACTATCACCTGGTAGCTGGGACAAGCACAAAAGAGGTCTCATTGTAGAGCTCTGGTATGTGAATTTTTGACACGCTATTTTGAAGTCACAGAATATTTACTTGATCTTTTATATATTTTTACAACTTGCTAATGATACTCTAAGGCAACTTTGCAATTTTTTAATGAATTTGGACCATCAGTTGCTGAGAAAATACTTGTCATTTTTTGGGACACCTGATATATGTTGCAATAAATCTAGTATCCAAGGTGTCCAAAAACAATAACAATGCTACATTCATTTGGTCATTAGAAAGATTCCACTTACCACTATTTCAAAAAATGGAAATCGATAATATTATAATTCTTGAAATTGAATCATTTGTTTTAAGGAATCTGTTCCTTAAAAGGCTCGTTCAGCTGAGCTTACAAATTCATCGAGATTTACGGATGGTCCATCTGTTGATTGCTCATCGTCACTGTCAAGGAATGTTAATGGCTCTGAAACTCGATTTTTGGGCAAAACAGTCGGTTGATGAGTTTTGGACTCTGGATTCTCTTGATTGTTATACCTGTTTCATCGTCATCATTACATAATATGGACCCATTTTTCAAGTTCACAGTATGAGAGATGACACCATAGTTTTTCTCTTCTGTAATAGCATTTTCCAGTGATGGATTTATATCTAGTCTATCAATTTTCAATTCTTCATGAGGGTGTCTTGGAATGGTGTGGTCATTTGCTTCAGAGAATGGGGAATGTTTATCCAAGCAATAGATACACAGGAAATACTGTTCAAATATCTTCTCTATAACAGGAATGTAGTAGCTGAAACGTTCCTATATTGTTAGTTCAGCAAGGGTGTATTGACTTGACATTGGATGTTCTCCATTGACTTAACATGTGGATATCATCAGATTACAATGGAGGTCATTGGTTTCTATTCATTTTCACAAAAATACCTAAAATACACTATGACCTGAATCGATTGCAAATTAAATAATTTCACAATATGACACAAATGGTATATCACATCAGATGTGCAAATATGAAGTTTGCAATCGATTCAGGTCATACTTCAAATGAAAAGATTATACATTTTTTCATCATTTTTTCCTAATAATGGCTATAGAAAAATGCCAAAGCAACGTTTACACTTATGAAATGCCATACAACTTTGTAAATCCAAAGATTATACTGTTATGTTTTATGAATCAATAACATATTTGGATAAGATGTAAGGATGCCTAGGATGCAAATGGATTTTGACAGACACAAAAAGACTTCCTGGTTTGTCATCTCTACACCTGTACACTTTGTGATTGAATATTGGCCCTAATAAGTGGTCCATTCATCAATACAGTGCTAAATATAGGTCAACAAGATACTAGTTTACATGTAAATGTAATAATAAAAGCAGTAAAATCATTTTGAAAAATCAGATGAATTAATTTTTGTTCATGGGGAGATCAGGATGGAGAGCGCACTTGATCCTTTATCGAGGTCTCCTTCGCATAACGTGCATAAATCATAAATGTTGATATCAGCAATGGCAAAGATCTTCATTGAGCGGATGTATAGCCTTTAAAGTAGTGGTAGAATATATGACATTGAACATTATGTATACTTTTACTGTTTTCTGTTCTAGCAAATCAAATGCATACATGTATCTCAATAAATATATTTTTAGCAATAAAAACTTTTTTGTAGTATGTTTGATTATTTGAAGAAAACATCATCAGCAGGACTGTTGCTGATGATATAAAAAGCAGTTATAAAATACTCCTCATTCAATGTTTGTTTGTTTGCTGATGCAAATCATATGTTACACTATATATGCATTATTAAATTACACATTGTATATCTTTATGTTATACATAGTATTGTTATCCGTGCATTCGGAATTATCAGAGCCCCTGTTTATCTAATGCTTGAGAGGGTATTCCAAGGGATATAGCAAAGGCTATGGATCCAAGAATGAGTGTTAACTGACATAATGAATCTTTAACACCGCAAATGTTTTTTATAGTGTTGTGTATTACACAGTGTGTACATATTACATATTGTAAACTTTTATTCAGTACATGTTGAATAATCGTATGCAGTGGTTTTAGAATTTTGTTTTGTAACATCTGTACATTGTATAGTTAACTAGTTAATACAGTGCATACATACGTATTGTATGACTTATTGCATCATAGTACATCATAATTGGAGAAAATGTCCATGAGTTTAATTGCTCATGAAATTTTGCATATTTTTTACCTGACAGTGTTTTAAGTGTTGTGTTGTTCACATTGAAGACTACTACTTACTTTCCACACATAATATTGTATAATTTTATGCATATTTTAAACACAAGTACGCAGTTCATATTATTTAAGTCTTTACCCATGTAGTACCTATCGCAATTGCACTATAAAGTACTCATAGCATTAAGCTCTCACAATTAACTGACACATTTTATCACTTTGTGTAGAATTTACATATTGCAAAACCTTATGAAGGACTCGATCATAAGATAATCTTGATTTATATACTCAGGCCTGTAGCCAGCTTCTTTTCAAAAATTTCCAGGGGTTTCCTTTTTGACAATTTTGGCCCAAAAATTGCTAAAATCAATTGATAAGTGAAAAACTGGTAGAAAAACTGGTGAAAACTGGTAGAAAAACTGGTAAAAAACTGCATGATATTTTAAGATTTTTTGGCTAAACCCCCGACCCCTATTACTAAGGCAATTGAATTTCTAAACTGAACTTTCCTGCGAGTGGTCGCCATTTTTCTTGTTTTGGTCCGTCTGTTTACCATTTGAATCACTCTTAGTCTCGTTTGAGTCACTTTTTCTCTGTTTTGAGTCGCCCTTCTTTTTCTTTGAGTCGCTCTTCTTTTCCTTTGAGTTATGTCTAAACTTTTTTGTAAGGGTTTCTACTGTGTTATAATTATTCATTAAAACAGCTAAATCTAAAGGAGTCCTGCCATAATTGTCTGTGGAATCGGGATGAGCACCTTTCTTAATCAACAGTAAAGCCACTTCTGTGAACCCATGGCTGCAAGCTTTGTGTAATGGCGTTTGGCCCCACCTGTCCCGAGAGTCTATTTCACTGTTTTCCTTTATAAGATAGTCAACCATTGTAACAAGTCCTCCGACGGACGCTGCGTGCAAGGCAATCCTATTCCTCGTGTCCCTTGTGTTCACGTCAATTTCTAATTTAAGAAATATTCTTACTATATCCTTGTGTCCGAGATAAGCTGCGGCATGTAGCGCCGTACCATCGCCAAAGTTGTGGATGTACACGAATGTTAGAATAATTCCTTTTGCCAATTCTTTATTTGCCCGTAGAATAGAGGTCACTTCGAAAGTTTCATCAATTTGTATCGCATGTAGGAGCCGCTTGGAGAGGTCTTTTAACGGTTTGCAGGTTGAAAATAAACTAAAATGTTCTCTTTCCCGTTTCAACATTTCGGCTTTATTCCGAAGCACTGTAAAATAGGAGGGTTTCATTTTATGCTCACCGATAGAAATCACAGTTATACAATTGTTTTAAGCGAAGCTTTTTTATTGTAACAAAATTATATTCAGTTTATTTTTCAATTAATCAACACTACTATTGATGATTCAATGAGATATTAATTACACTTAGTTGAATAAAATGAAAATATTGATATTATTTATTAAAACTAACAGGTGTCCTTACGTACGTAGTTATTAATTATTAATATGATTGTTCGGCATTCCTTTGCTTACTTATACATTATCTTTGATATTGATTATGTAACAATGTGTGGTCTGTTACATGCCAAATGATGATACGCTCCTCTCTAGAAGTATGAAAAAACAATAAAACCCCAATACGTATGATGTATTTAATCCGGTTATGTCTGGCAACATTATGAAATGTCATAAATGCCCAATATGATATTTTAGTAGAAAACATTAAATGTAAATTTAAACAGGCTTGAATAGGCCATCCAAAGAAGAGGCAAGATTCTGAAATTTTTGAAAGGAAGTGTACCCTTACCTTTAATTGTTATGTTAGTTTACTTGACTCAACTAGAGAACCACTCCGTCTGATCTTTTAATACCCGAACTGGAATGTACATACATTTCTGTGACCTCCACGAACTTGTTTCGAACATCGGTTTCTTTGCAATTCAAATGCTGTTCATACACTCGTCCTTCACATGACTGAAACATTTATAAAACATATTTTTTAAAAGGACAACGCATAAACATTCTTTACATGTGGTAATTGCTGGTGTTACAAATAATTCACCTATCACAGAGTACGCGTATAAGATTGTGTACTTGAACTAAGACATTGAACTCTATCCCCGGACAAGCAGGCTTTGTTTGTCAGCTGGCTAAATAACAGAAGTGAGAAGATGGAGAGAGAAAATGTGTGAGAGAGGGGGGAGAATGAGAGATAGAAGACGGAATGGTGGGTGGAACCGAAATTGATGAGATAGCGCGACCGCTGAGAGAGGAAATGAGGAGGGATTGGGGAAGGCATGGCAGAGGGATGATGATGGAGTGGCGTGGCAAGGGGGATGGACCGAGGGAGGAAATGAGGGATTGGGGAAGGCATGGCAGAGGGATGATGATGGAGTGGCGTGGCAAGGGGGATGGACCGAGGGAGGAAATGAGAGATTGGGGAAGGCATGGCAGAGGGATGATGATGGAGTGGCGTGGCAAGGGGGATGGACCGAGGGAGGAAATGAGGGATTGGGGAAGGCATGGGAACGAGATGATGATGGAGTGACGTGTCAAGGGGGAGGGAGCGAGGGAGGAAATGAGAGATTGGGGAAGGCATGGGAACGAGATGATGATGGAGTGACGTGTCAAGGGGGAGGGACCGAGGGAGAAAATGAGAGATTGGGGAAGGCATGGGAACGAAATGATGATGGAGTGGCGTGTCAAGGGGGATGGACCGAAGGAGAAAATGGGGGATTTGGGAAGGCATGGGAACGAGATGATGATGGAGTGGCGTGTCAAGGGGGAGGGACCGAGGGAGGAAATGAGAGATTGGGGAAGGCATGGGAACGAAATGATGATGGAGTGGCGTGACAAGGGGGATGGACCGAGGGAGAAAATGGGGGATTGGGGAAGGCATGGGAAAGAGATGATGATGGAGTTACGTGTCAAGGGGGAGGGAGCGAGGGAGCGAGGGAGGAAATGAGGGGGAGATTTGGGAAGGCATGGGAACGAGATGATGATGGAGTGACCTGTCAAGGAAGAGGGGCCGAGGGAGAAATGAGGGGGAGATTGGGAAAGGCATGGGAAAGGCATGGGAAAGAGATGATGATGGATTGACGTGTCAAGGGAGGGGGACCAAAGGAGGAAATGAGGGGGCGATTGGGGAAGGCATGGGAAGAGATGATGATGGATTGACGTGTCAAGGGAGGAACAAGGGAGGAAATGGGGAGGAGATTGGGGAAGGCATCGGAAAGAGATGATGATGGAGTGACGTGTCAAGGGGGAGGGAGCGAGGGAGGGAATGATGAGGGATTGAGAAAGGCATGGAAACGAGATGATGATGGAGTGACGTGTCAAGGGAGAGGGACCGAGGGAGGAAATGAGGGGGAGATTGGGAAAGGCATGGGAAAGAGATGATGATTGAGTGACGTGTCAAGGGAGGGGGACCGAGGGAGGAAATGAGGGGGAGATTGGGGAAGGCATGCGAAAGAGATGAGATTGAGTGACGTGTCAAGGGAGGGGGACCGAGGGAGGAAATGAGGGGGAGATTGGGGAAGGCATGCGAAAGAGATGATGATGGAGTGACGTGTCAAGGGAGGGGGACCGAGGGAGGAAATGAGGGGGCGATTGGGGAAGGCATGGGAAGAGATGATGATGGAGTGACATGTCAAGGGAGGGGGCCAAGGGAGGAAATGAGGGGGAGATAGGGGAAGGCATGGGAAGAGATGATGATGGAGTGACGTGTCGAGGGAGGGGGGCCAAGGGAGGAAATGAGGGGGAGATTGGGGAAGGCATGGGAACGAGATGATGATGGAGTGACGTGTCAAGGGAGAGGGACCGAGGAGTGGGAAACAAGAGTGATAGGTGGGAGGGGTACAGAGGGGCTGCTCTTTTTCACCTTGGACTATTAAGATATGTTTAATTGATGGAGTACATGTACATTGTCAGATAATTCATAATTCATTTCGATTTACCTTGCTGTTCATCTGGGATTGTATTCATCCCACAGCAGATACTCGTAAATTAATAAGATAAACATTATAAAAAAGACATTAACACCTCCATACTTGAATGGTGTTATTGAATTTAAAATGATATGTGCTAGTATGTATTGATATTGTAAACATACAATCGCATATTGCGATGATTGCAAAAGCTATTTAAATTGTGATCCCTTTTATCTACTTGCAACGATATTTCATTAGTTTTTTTAAATCAACAATTGTATATTTAATACAATAAGAGAAAATAAAGGATACATATTGAGTCGTCGAGTCCATTTTTAAACAAAATGCTAGATGTTTAAAGTCAGGTGCCTATTGATATTTAGTATTTTTGCAAAACTTCATTCCACTCACCTTTGTTGAATTCTATTGGAGGCCTTTGTGATCCCAAGGTGTGTTGTTTCGTTGTTTGACATCGATTTTAGTCCTCCAAAGTCATATATATATTTGGAGTGAAATAGTCTTAGACATACTGTATATAGGCCTCTCGTTGGCGTAGTTGTCGTTGTAAACGTATTTTTATATCGTTAAATATCTCGGGATTGAAATTAACACTGCTTCCACCGAATTCTTTATTCGAGTTGCATCGAAACAGTTTTTTGTCTATTCAACCTTATTCATCCGTTTCAAATTTGGTTTAACGGTTATAAAACAACAAATGAGAATAATGTCATTAGATATAAACTCAAGTACAAACCACTAGTACAGTACTCATTTTATAGGCCATTAATCGAGATAAAAACTGGAGTTTTAAATGCAGTTCTATCAATTGAGGTCCTTATATTTGATTCAAGTGTACTACTATATTTTTTTCAATGTGTACATTGGACTTCAATGGCTTGGGTAAACGTGTCTATTTTATCTTAGGCCCGTACACCAGGTACACATTAAAGTTCCATTTATCTAGTGCAGCGGTGATGTCTAAATAATCTTCCCCCTCGTCAAACTTTAAATCTTGCATTTTATGATTTGATCATTTGGCAGATACTTCTGTGTTTTAGAGTGAAAATGGGGGGAAACGTGTTAACCTACCGCAACTTCATTGAAATATACGAGGGTTGATCACAAAATTCCCATTATCTCTCTAATTTCTTTAATTTCGATATATTCCGATGAAATTTTCATTAATTGTTTAGCGCATATCTAGCAGATAGTCTTGCTACAGCCCTTCTGACCCCCCCCCCCCTATTACACATCTCTCTAATAAGGACTTGTTTGTTTTTATTTCCACTCATTTTTGCAGGTTTTGAGGTAAGTATGCTATCTTTCTCAAGGTATTCATTCCTAAGGTCCATTTCAATGGATCTTATCTCCTTTTGGAGATATTATGTGCCACATTGTTATAAGTGCAAAATGGGAAACAATTTAGGCCCACCTTGTCATATCGTTTGGGTAGGCAGCAGAGCCAATCAGATTATATAATTTTAACCATGTGACTAATAGTCACATGATCATAACTAATAGTTATAACAATGTGGAAATAATGGGACGATCGCTTACTAGTGTACTTTGCAGGTAATTAACAAAGGACATCATAACCCATGGCATATACATGTAGTGCAAACAAAAAAGCAGATTTGACATTATTTGTCACCAAATAAAAGTTCTTTCAGTGAACTCATGGTCTTTCAATTATATTAGTGTTGAAAGCCATTTCAATTAGAGTTGAACGCCCATGGTGAACCAATTACTGACCGTTTATACTCTTACCAGTCAAAATTGAACATGAGTCATATTCTGTATAATTAGATGGGCAGAATAAGGCAATGAGACAAAAACAAAATGGAAGTGTATAAAAATTTAGTTTTCATGGTTATTTTGACAAACAAGGAACCATAATAAAATGTGTTTTAGTTATTGTTCATCAGCGATTTTCGCTCTGCAAGGCCTATACGTATCCATATGATTACCCATACGAAAAACAAGTTCTTAAAAATCACTACTCAAAAGTTATATGTAGACCCAAATCTGCAACCTCTGATTTCTCAACATCAGCTAAAATGCAATCGTAACAATACAATCTGGAAATAATGGGACGACATGGTGCAAAATGACTGACCAGGGATCCTGGGAGGGAAAAATAAATTGCTGATCATGATAAAACATGTTTGGGTTTCGGAAATCCTTTGCCCATACTAAAACTGATTAAAACTGATTAATAACAACAATATTACAAAAATGTCAATGAAATCACACACCGTGTGCAAAGCAGCCACAAGGTCTTATATCATTGCAAATGAAGCATGACAAACATCTCTTGTGACATCATACTTTAATTTTCACATGACCATTTAATTAATTGAAAAAATGAAAATTTCAGTGTGTTTGATAGCTCATTTGAGAACTGATCATAAAGCAGGGTTAATGGGGATCATCCTTTCAAGTTTTTTGTCCTCTTATTTTTGGTTACTTTGGCAACCATTTCTAATTGGATATTTCTGGTGCATACTTAATATTTTTCTGGATCAGAAGGTTATTTTATGTTGCATTTCGTATTCCGTGAAATTATCAATACGATACCTTAAAGAATACATAGTATTAAATGTATATTATGAGAACTTTATGATCAATCCTCGTATATATAATCCTCTCGACACAGAGTTAAGATATGAGAAACTAACAAAATATACGATACGGAGACGACTGTGAATATTTAATATTATACTTGCCTAAAGTATATATAGATAAGTGATTATAAATAGAATGCGAATGTTAGTATCTATTCACTACCGCCATCTTTCTGAATAAACTATCTTTATGAAAAACTATCAATTTCAGCATTAAGAAGTGTAAATTCAGTTCAAAGCTCCTATAAAGGGAGTCCCACTTAAAGAATTTTAAGATCCGCCACGTTTCAAGAGGAATATCAGCAGAAATAATGTTCATCCAGGGGGTTTCTTTGTAGATAATGAAAATATATGTTAGTCTTGATGAAATATCCAAACTTAAATATACTTTGACACTGTTCGATGATCGTTGAATGGCCACTCTGCACTAATTGTTGCATGTACGAGGGTTGTCCCAGAAGAAATGCACTATGTGCTCTAACTTTCTTCAATACTCTTCACTTCAGCTGAAATTTGGTATATATAACAATTGAGGTTTTATATGTTATATCCTGAAGAGTTTCAGCATCATACGTTGATATTAAGTCTTAAAATGGTTGCTATAGCAACACGGGGGTAGGGGTAGGCGGGGCAGGTACCAATTTTTCTAATTATGAAAAGCTCCAACCTGTTATTTTATGAATATTTTTTCTTTTAAATGAACAAAATGTTTGAGAAATTGTTCAATTTATTCAGCATGATGTTCATTAAAGTAATTTAGAACGGATGAAATGTTAGTTCAACCTATATATGAATAAGAAAATCTGAATCCCAAAGCACATTGGTACATATAAACATCGTTTTTATATATATACTGACCTTGGTTGTGTTTTGACTTCACTGTGAGCTATTCAAATTGAGAGGTTAGGAGAATTTTTTCATATTCTAGGTTCCACTTATTTCTGACAATCACTCAATCTATTTCTTGCAAAATAATAATCATTATATCAGGAACACATAATTAAGAAAACATTGTGTAATCACTACGTACAGAACACGAAAATTACTCATTTCAAAAGTAGGTCAAATTTTCTCCCAAGTTTTATATGCAAGAAAATATGGAAACAAACATACTTTGGTGACGTCATCAACTTGTGCGCATAATAACGCAGATGCGAGTAGGTAGTTACCAGATTCACCACCAGGTGGCTCGTTCGGGTCAGATAGCCTGGCGGGTATAGGAGAAAGTTCCCTTAAACTTAAATCACATCTGTTTTAATGATTCAATTTTCATATAACCCTTATGTATCTAATAGTTATGCAAACTGAAATATGTCCAGTAAAGGAAAATGTTATCTATCCAATACAAGAAAAGATATTTCACTTTTTGTGATTTTGTATCATGGGGTCTATGGGGAATCAACCCGAACAAGAAGTCACATTTTCAAAAAAAATAAATTTTCAAAGTTGATAAACAATTTTCGAAACCATATTTCTAGATGTACTTTTACATGCAGATTTCAAATATGACATCACCTTGACTGAATTTTGAATATTTAATGACGTAAATCAAGATTATTTCTACTCGCACCTAGTCTATTCGAACTGGACGATGTGAAATCAAATTCAATGTACCCACTTCAAAATGAGAAATCTCCGATATCCTTCAGTTATATGGGTTGAATATATCCTAGTATCAAGGTAAGACAGTGTTCTTCAGATAATATGAAATATTTTTTGCTAAAATTGCCTTAAATTCATTCTATATTACTTTAAGTACAAATTATGATATTTAGCACTGTGATGTCATAATACCACAGTTCAATAGTCACAAATTCAAATTCAGTCACGGTCAAAAATTGCAAAAAATGGCTGCAATTCTCACCTGATAACAGAAGGCCTTGCGTTTGGTGGCCCAATTTCATACTTTACATGGACTCACGGCCACACAACCTTATGCTACCATGAAGAAAGTATAAAAGGAGTATACACCAGATAGAACTACAATTATGGGGTGACAGAAGAGCTTTAAAAGTGATGACTGGACCCCGGATGACAACTCCAAACATGGGAGACAAAAGCTCCACAAGTCATGATTGAAGAAATTGCTAAGAGTGTTCGACCTGACAGGCATCGAAAGTACGTAACATGCAAAAGGCAATATTTTGAGAACATGTGAAATGGTACACTGTGCAATATACATCCATTAAGTCTAGGATGTGCACCTAATAGTATCTTAAAATCTTAGTATCTTAAAATGTATTTTTGAGCATACTTCTTATCGCTACACATAATGGTATTTGTTGATTAATTATTTCATATTTTCAATTTTCTATTCCTTTTGGCGTGACTGTATAACCTGCCCAACCCTACCCAAACTCACCAACTTGATTTGTTATAACTTCAACATAGTATCATCAGTCAAATTTGTAGAATAATTAAAATATCTCTAAGGAACATTTACTGAAACTTTCATGGAAAAATATCAATTATTGACAAAGTTAGAGCAAATAGTGCATTACTTCTGGGACAACCCTCGTATACCCTGGCTTAGAAGTGAAAGCACCTAATAATTTTGTGCGGATGGCTTATCTTTGGCTCAGACTAGATGACAAATTGTTGGGCATTGGGTGGGAGTACCACATATATTTCATACTGATTATAAATGAATGGATTTTGTAGCAATATATAGTTCATGTTTTATGTCAATATGCTGTTCAAACGTGAAGTTGTTAAATATCGTGATCACAAATTGAAAGGCGTTGTAAAGTATTGAAATCAGCTGATGAATTAATAATGGATATTTATTGAAATCATATTTTTATGGGAAATACAAATACATTGTTATTAATCGGTTATTATGACCCATGTTCGTACTTTTATCATTGTCATGGGTCTAGTACATATGAAACGTCTGACATCATAAATATTTCATGTATTGGATTAACGTAGTTCATTACGATTTTCAATAGAACATTGGAAGTTCAAATAGAGAGTAAAGTAGATACCTATTATAAAGTATCAAATTTCAAAAACAGACCTTATATTCAAAATAGTTTGTGGTATAAATACAACCCATGGTGAGATTTCATTGACGGACTATATTCGCTGTGCACTGACTCTATGACACTCTGTGACGGGACGGGCCCTTTCCGCATCAAAATGGACGCATATTCACCGACAGATTTTCCCTCTCTACTGCTTGTGAAACTGTTAGCTTGTGGTCTCTGTGCTTAAAACTTTGCAATTGTATTATGATCATTTTAAATGTACGTGGTTAATCATTTCATGTCCGAACAAAGGTTTCGCTGAAATTTTACTCCACGGGGGAAAGTCTACCAACCTATATACAACCTACCGCCGAGCAAAGACCCGAAGATGGATCTAAGGAATAAGTGATTCATTTTAGATAAAGTGGAAAACAATATTTCCCATGTTATTTTCCGATAGGGAAAATCATTGCTTTCAGCTAAGTTTGGTCATCCGTTGCGCTAACTCCCCTCCTCCTTTATGATTTTGCTCTTGCAATTGTTTGGCAAATGAATAACTTTAAATTCCAGCAAACTGACAAAAAAATAAAATGGACCAAAATTAAGCAAAGGATTGGTATCAATATGGTGAACTGAATTTAACCGTGTATTTCTCTTAAACCAATTACTGAAAACATTCTGTAAAAAACACGGTCCTTTATGTAATTTTGACTGATTGACAACAATCTAATGCGAAAAATATTCATATGTATCTTATATAACAGTTTTTGTAAAAAGTTTTTGTTTTTAGTGCAATTGTTTTTTGTTCCTTTTTACCAATTCTTGAGAATGAAATAAAATATCTTACCGAAGTTTGTTGGAACAAAATAGCAGTCTTTGACCTCTAAATATTATAATTATAGTTATATAAAGAAAATTTTGGTTGATTTTACAAAAAGTATTCAAAAAATTAAAACAAAAACCCCCAAACTAGCTAAAAATTAAGATAAACCTTTTATTTCATTAACAAAATATTTTATCAACCAAACTTTTGAATAATTACAATATTGAGAGACCTGAACACGTTGTGTTTATGACATTTTGTTCCAATGAGGATCGGATAGATGTTTCATTCCATTCCGAATATATGATACCAAGAAAAAAAGAATTCGAAGGGTCTGGTGTTTTTCTAAAACAATATAGAGAAAAGCATGTATATATTTATTTCAAATTATATTGTTACCATTCAAAAGATGACCATTAAATTGACGATGTGAAGAAACGCCCGAGGCAATTGTGGATTAAATTGACGATATGTAAAATTTTCAGAATGTTTTGATGACTGGTTTAAGAGAAACCTGTGTTCAAAAAGTTGACCATGCATATCGATACCCATCCTTTGACAAAATTATAAGCAAATTTGACAAAGCTTAAGCAAATTTGGCAAAATTTAATCAAATTAAGTAGAGATTATTTGAAAACATTTTCACCAAATTCACCATTAGATGCCTCCAACAAATTGCCGATAATATTCGAACCACCTCCTTTCAAATCCTTGCTGCGCTGCTGAGGGGAAGGATGCATTTCGATGCTGATTTCATTCACAATGCACTTCATTGACAATAAACAAGTCCATTGTGAAGAAACGCCCGAGGCAATTGTGGATCGACTTCATAAAATATCTAGTCGTTAAACCGGTAATTGTCCAGAAGTCAAGGGTTCTAAGATCCACTTGACTTCGCAATTGTCGATAAACGCATTGAATGGATCTACGGGAAAGTTTTGACTGAAGAATATTTAGAGACAACAACATGGCGTTCATGTGCAGCCTTCATGAATAGTAAATAAATAACAAATTATTTTTAACAAACAACAACATTTGCTTTTTGTTGCATTGTGTATACACTTTTTACGAATTATCAAATCAATGGTTGATATATCTGTTTATGTTTTTGACGTCGTTTCATAACATACGTCTATATTTGCGTGTTTCGTTTTCTATTGAAAACCTGTTGTGTAAATAATAGTTTGTTACATTTCAAAATATAAACTGATGGAATATAGCTTGTTTGCATTTTTGTTGATTCTAGTACTGGGCCACATGACACAGGGGCGTCAGGAACAAAATACCTTTGTCATTATGAAATTATTCTGAAAAACTGCCCATTCAAAGTATCAGGCGCAACCACATTGTATCATGTTTCTTTTTTGTTATTGAATCCAATAAATATTTGGTCTTTTTAAACGAAGTTCTACTTCATGGCAAATATTGAATTAGTGTTGTTCAGATTCTTAAGCCGTATCTGTCGAATGAAAAATTGATACACTTAAAAACGATCATTATATTTTTTAGAATTTTGACTACATTAACGTCTCCTATTAGTGAATTGGCATTGTTGTTCTGAATTCAAACATATCCATGTCTTGTTTAGACCTTTGAAATGACCTCTAACTCCAGGCTTCTCATTCAAGTGAATTTAAATGTTATAAAAATGTGAACTTTGTTATAATTTTTATTTTTGAAATTCGAAAAAGCTTTTGACGTTATAACATTTGCCTTTCGTCATTTCAAATCTAAAACACGAAAACGTGAACATATTTTTATTTTTAGGGTACCAGGTTGAAGAGTTCTAAGCTTTCGGACAACATGTCTCTGAGGTGTTGAAACGTTAAAGGATATTTTAAATGTATTTTGAAAGTATTCTCACTGCCAACAGTTGCTTCGCTACAATGAAAATTTTGAATTTTGTGATTGAAAAATTTTGAAAAACATATATACAGTTCTACTGTAGAATGAAATAAAAAATTAGAACTTGATCTGTATTTTTGTGTGCATGCTATTAGTTTGCAGAATTGCGTTTGTAAAAATCTTAATTATTAATTTGCTAGAATGTTCATTATACGTTCACCTTGAATGATGTAAACGACCGCTCGATCTGACACGACAAGTTATCCAGGGACAAGCAAAATGATCGTTTCTCTCAATTGATTGTTTTCTAATTTTCTTTTCATATTGATGTTCTCAATGGGTATTGCATTATAATAAATGTCCTATGCGTAAAATACTAGAATCGCGTATGCCCGCCTAGAAAGAGCCTATGTCATGGCCCCGTAAAATTCGCCCTATTTTAAATACATGGACTGGACGACGTAAATGCCTAAAATTGGGAAGCGAATATGCTATCCCCGAGGCTATTTTAAACGGGGTGATGAATTTTGTTCTGCTAAAGCCCCACGAAAGAAAGGGGGTTTATCTTTTGTTCACTCAAATTATACGTATATGCTGTACAAAGCTTTTTAATTCAATTGTTTTATACATAAATTTATTCCTTTAGTTAACAATAATGGACATGCAATTGATTCCCAAAGTTTTATGAAAAACGTTAGCGGCAATTTTAGACAATATGAATAGGAATACATTAACATTTAAAAATAAAAGTAATGTTATAACTCATATAAGAAACTATAATCCCACGGGCCAGGGATGAGTTAACACATGCATGCAAAAATTAGCCAAACCGAAACCAAACTTTGATTCACAAAATGACTCATTAGTTCTATTAATTTTCATTTAATGAATTATCCAAATCTTCATCACCATACAAAAGAAGCTGAATTTTGTCAACTGTGTTCAAACTCCGAACCAAAAGATGACGATCTGAAGTTCGCAGTCCTGCAAATAAAGTTTCACGCTCGTTTACAAGCAGAGGACATTTTACATTTACAAAAGGGGTCACTAACACTGGTGAAATTATGAGCATATAGCTGCTATTTTAAAAGAAGACCCACTCTGAGTTTGTTAAAAGCACATTTAACATATCTAAAGTCGATGGTAAGTGGTGTTACGCGGTATATGGCATACATTCATGGTTGCGCGGTATTCGTGATACGGGTGAATATGCCATACTCACCTGCGGTATATGGCATATTCCGCAGGTGAGTATGCGATATTCCGCAGTGAATATGCGATACATTGATTTCAGTAAATACCCGATACTCACCTGCAGAATATGTCATACTCACTTGCGGAATATGCCGTATACTGCAGGTGAATATGACATATACCGCAGGTGAAAACGTGATACAGAAAGCCTTGATTTGATTGGTTGCGCAAATCGACTCTAAATGTAAAACTACGCTGGATTACCAATATAGTCAGTGCGTCGAGTACTAATATATGAATCCTGGTTTGATTGAGAAAGTTTATTACGCGAGATTGGTGACTGATGCTTCTGCTAAGTTAATATATTCGATACACAGTACTGTTGATTCAGTAATCATTATAATAATTTATAACGTTTTACTTGTTCGTTCAATCGATGTAATTGACAATTGCGTACTTCCGTATCGCGTTCATATTGGTTAGTATGTATGCCATATACCGCAGGTGAATCTGCCATACACCGCAAGTGAATATGCCATATTCGTTGCGGAATATGACATATTTTTGTATCGTGTTTACAGCGTAACAAGTGGCATAAAATGCAGAAGGAACATATTCGATGTTGGCCAAGAATAAGACAGTGGTCCGTTGTTGGCACATTCATGTGCGTTTATATAAAGAAGCTCGATATCATATCATGGAATAGTTATGAAGCCTACCTCGCGTTTTCAGCGGGACCTTACTTGTGATTTCTTTTTTTGGGGGGGGGGGGCTTCGTTAAATATGAGATTATTAGTAAGGTGCTTTATTTGTACAGTAACGCAATAATTTTAAAATTGACTTTTCAGTGACCAGGTGTTTTACTTTTTATTTTCATTAGATTTTTATTTTGTTGGTGAACAGTTTTAAGCTCTATGAATATCCATTTTTATTACTCGTTTAAGCATTTAAGGAAACTAATCTTCTTGTTGAATACATCAGCGCCTGGGAAAATGTTACAGGGAACGAACTAGATCCCCGTCTCATGAGGTTTTGTTTGCTACGACCAAAATATAAAGGCAACCTGGAGACATTTTGATCATATATCGCTAATAAAATGATTTTTATCGATCCTTGCTTTTCAATATGTATTAGCTTAAAACGCATTTGACTGAACTTATAAACATTAAAAAGGTTGATTTTCGGAAATACACGTAAAGACTATCGGTGCATTTTGTTTTATTCTTAATTTGTTGAATCTTAATGTCTAATTTGTTTTTATTGCGCAAAGTCTGCGCACGTCCTCACCCTGGCGTATGGCCCATAAAATCGAGTTCACGTGAGGCATATTTCTACAACTATTGTTATAAACTGTTACAATGAAATACTTTTCGAAATTATTAGGTATTCAGGTTTAAAACGTCAACTCGGGTAAAGAGGAAACAGAATGGCAAAGGCTTCAGTTGACAGGCAAGAAGCCAGAATTGCTTATAATATATATAGAATAACACACTTTGCTCATTTTACCGTATAATAACATGTAATGACTATGAGTAAGCGATATTTTAGCCCCGGGTGAAATACATTTCTCTTGGCTCAATGGATTAACTACTTAGTAAGAAGTAAAAAAACTACAAGTGACGACTTGTATATTTATGTAAACAGTTTCCAGGGTCGACACCCCGATTGACAATACCCCCGATCGATAACCTGACAAAAGTTTGGCAACTGTTGATAAAAAAAAGCTGCGTAGAGTTGGTACAAGTCGAGAAAATATAATTTGATTGATAGCTCGGCCGCACAAAATGTCCGAGAATCCCGCTGAGAATGGTGACATACGCTGAAAGGGAACTTAAATTATTTATCCATTCACGCTGGGTGTCTGGCTATAAGTAAAAATTATATTTGATAGAGTTTCTGGATTACCCTGGGAGTTCCATGAAGACGAATTCAATTAAAAATAAAAAAAACTACACAAAGATACAAGGACACTGGGTTGACTTATAGGGACATTGTTTAAAATACAAACAATAAAGCTTCCCCTCATAATAGCAATTCGTGATGCAGTTAATTGGTTAGAATGGTTGCTATTCTAAAACGGAGAAGAAACAAAAGAATGAATTACCTCTGATCGTTCGGAGCCAAGAAACAATAGCATTAACTAATAATCGAAGAATATGTCTACAGTAACTCATTTAAGAGGCGTGGTCTCTTTCTGTCATAAAAAAAGTATGGACTTTGTTGAATTTAGTCATTTTTCGTCCGAGGAGTTGTGAAGAGCGATTGGATAGGAGCGACGTACTATAGGAACTATTTTTGTGGACCTTTGACAATTGCTTCGTGCCAATCTTATGGGTTTACACCCAAAGTATCAATTGAAAATGCGTCAATGAAAACTGCAATTATGATCAACAAACATTATTGAAAAGACGAAGAACATATAAAAGGACCGTTTTAAAAATCTTAAAGACATATATGAACTTGAAATTAGATGGTGACGAGACAGCCAGGGAAACAGATACATTAACTTTGAATCAACAAATTTGATAATTAGAGATATGAATAATTTTGAACTGTTGCAACAGTTACGTTTGTGGATGCCAATATTAGCATTTCTTCAATTCCATCATGCTCTAGCAAATCATGAAGAAGCACCGGTGTCGATGAAATCGAACGCTAATGTCGGCTTAGATCAAATGGTTAAGAGATCACCAAGACAGAAAAGGAACGCTCAAGGAACTGGCTTTACAGAAGCCCAGATACAACGAGTTCTCGATGAACATAATACCAAGAGAAGATCGGAACCGAGAGTTCCTTCTAATATGTACCTTCTGGTAAGTATATTGTCCGCCAATGCACATTTCACAACTTGTCCAGCATATGTCAGTTCTAGTTTCAACATTTGAAAATTCTTACTAGCTAAGCAATTTTGATTGAAATTGCAATTAAAACAAAAATGGGATCATAATTTCAATTGTTTTTTTTTTACAATTAAATATTTATTCTCGGTAATAATGATTTTTTTTAGAAATGCATTCCGTGATTCTATAAAACTATTTTAATGAATTTTTTTTTAATAAAATACGATTGACATTAATTTCTTTCGAAATAATGCATTCCGTGATTCTATAAAATTATTTTAATGAAATTATTTTAATAAAATACGATTGGCATCAATTTCTTTCGAAAAAATAGGTATATGTAAAGTAGATGTTACCGGAATTAGACCGGAATCAAAACAAACTATATTTTTATAACGTAAAGTAATTTTCAAAAACATCATTTTAATATGCATTTCTCACTTGTGTGAAAGTTTAAGATTTTAAAATAGTTGTTTAGAATAGGTGAAATACTTCCAAAATATAATGATGATGAACACGTTAATATCAGCATTTAAATGTTTTAGAAATCACTTTGGAATATGAATAAATAAAGACAAGCGTAAACAGTACACTGAACTCAGGGGTCGAAATCGCTTGATGCGTGAAAAGATTAGAAGTTTGGACGATTCTAAAATACAGGAACGACACGATTATATTGCAAATGCGAGATATAAATTGGAAGTCGATTCCAATTTAGACTATATTTATATTTCGGTGAAAAACTCAAGATCAATTTTGAAAAATAATGTATATTCATGTAAGTTGATATTTTCTTTTTTGTGGAGTAGAAAATAAAAAATGAGATATAAAATTGTTAGTAGTAAATCCAATGCATTATCGTGTGTAGTTTTTTTCTATGTATCCAATATAAGTTTTTTCAAATCCAAAAGCCCTTGAATACTCGTATATGGAAAATGTTCCTTAAAGCTTTGGAGCAATGGCTTTCGAGATATGGGATGGAGGAATCGATAAAGCGTGCACATGTTTTTCACACAGCTAGCCCTAATTTTGATTTCTGAAAAAAAGACTTGAAATGCAACTATCGTGACAAAATGTAGCATTTGTATCAATTATCAAAGCCTTTATATAGTATGATGATTTAAAAACATTAATCGGAGCGTCAAACTTTGAACTAGTGTAATTAACTAAGGAACACATTTGAGATTCAGTCTCTGAGAGGCTTTGGATATGCTATCCATTAAAAATTTGGGTTGCCAACTTTGAATTTGAGGGGAGTGTAAATATGTTTGTTTCTTATATAAGCTCAAACATTGCATCGATACTTCATATTGAACAGTGCATTATTATATTAATGTAAGCTTAAACGGTTTTATTTGATCAGTGTGATATGTTTTTTTGTTTTGTTGGGGAAATATAAGCACATGCAATAACTATCGACACCCCCTCGGATGAATTTGGCAATCTGATTCATTGGATAGCTGTTAAGGCCACTAAATCTGCCTTTAATCTGTTCATGTCTTCCTTAGATAGATTGGGTCAATATTCCAAATTTAATGTTTTTATCGCAAAATATGACCACGCTCCGAAGAGGACTTTCTATTAAAAAATGGAGGGGAATGTACTTTAGCTTTTATCGGAGAAAATGTTACGCGGTAAGACGTTGGAAATTATTGTGAACTATGACCCGCCTTTTATACGAGTCACCAATGTTCATTGATTTTGCATAACGTAGTTTGTATACACCGTTCCTAATATACTCCTTAATATAGAAATATGTCCAATATATACACACCCGGTGATCGTACACAAAAAATGGAGGGGGGATTAGGCGATTTCTGCAAGAAAACTCAACCAATTTGGAAGATTTATTTTTTCAAGAGAAAATTTACAACTGAATTGCCAAATGAATAGGCGCAGTGCATGGCAAATATGTTAGGTCATCTCGTATTTTTTTGAACTGATACCTTTCTAAGATATGAGATCTATTAAAAAAGGCACATCATCACTAACGTGCAAAAGTCAATGTTTTTGATATAAATCGGGCAACAATGGTCTACACGACCTGTAATAAATAGGTATAAGGGACGTTATTATCACAATACTAATGACATTGCTCACTTTTTAAAGTTAGTTTCCATGCGTTATACAAAAAAAATCGAAATAAATTAATTTGGGATAGAGGGGGGTCGGATGGAGGGGGATCACGTGTATATAAGACATGATAAGACATGCTACTTGAATTTATTCTTATGACTCCAAATTTTCCCATTTTTCATTCTCCTGAAACATTTGTCGATTTCTTTCTTTCAATGTGGCCTATAATTCGAATGGAACTTTTTAAATATTTTTGCAATAGATTTGCGACATCAATATTCATATACATGGGATGGTCTTTTCTTCAATCAAACGTTCCAAACGTCTAATCTGAATTGGATAGTTACTAAAATACTCGTTTTGAGTCACTCGGGCAAAAGTCCGTTAATCATTGAATATGGTATAAAGTATTCTGACTTTTCTGTGGAACCCATCGCAGTGTTCAATGTTTTCCTGATTCTGCTCAAATAAGGGATCATCTTACTCCCCATGTAATCATCATTCTTGATTAACTTCTTGATCAAGTCGCCAATAAAAACAAATGGTAGACTTTTTTTAATTTTGACACTACAAATGGAAAAAGATGAGGATTCACTATTATAAAAACAACTGGCTAGACCCAATTCAAAGACATGTTTGAAATGCTTTGAATTAAATTCAATTAACGTTGTATCGAAGTTTAAATTGATAATAACCGAGTTCAATTACCTCTTTGAATGAATGTTTGGAATCGAGATGCTATAAGATCCGACTATCAAATTACTACACGTTTCGCAAATTGGTTATCGACGTCCTCAAAATGTCAACGTAAATATTAAAAAAGATTCGATTTTAAGGAAGGCCATTCAAATAACAGGTTGTTTGCAATAAAATCATTTGTCGTAACCATGGATACAATGATGTCATCGTTAGAAAAAAATCTAGTTAAGAATTCTTAACTTCACAAAGTCCCTCTTCAAGACACCCTGCTTTGTTACATAATACGTCTTAACCCCTAATTTGGCCCTTCATAGGCATTTTTACATTCGTGTCTTAATCTTGCATTTATCCATTTAGATAGTAAGATATTTATGATAATCAGAAGATCAGACATTATTATATAGACCCCTTAGAAAGCTTTCCCGCATTGTTTTTAACAATTGAAAGTATTGTATATCCGGGAAGTTGGAACCGGTTGTCTAAGTAAAAAGGTTTCCTACATGAATACGTCATGTTTGTTAAATAATTAGTATGGTCAATATCTAAGAATAGTGATAAGGGAAGTAAACGACATGAAGTGTGCTTCATGGTTTGTATAATCTATATCTTTATCTATAGAAGCCGGTCTGGTCAAAGTGTATTCAATAGGCCTAATAGATGGACTGTTATTTTAAAGGTCAATGCATTTTGTAGTTGATTCTTGTCATAACATACTGAAGGAAATATCACATCGACCGAGGTACTATCTACTAAATATAGTAATATATAAAAGCCATATTCAATCCCGACCAGGAAATAAGCGTTTTGTAACATGCTACTGAATGAGTTTTTTCACTATTATCCATGGGGGTAATCAGATTTCAAAAGATGATCTATATAAAATAATGAACTACACGCGAATTTTTTTTATTGAAAATGATAACATTAAAATTAACATTCGATTTCTTTCATTTTTCTAAAAACGCCAAACTAAAATACAGAGATGCTCAGGTAAAAAGTAATTAATTAACGCCTACACGGGCGTAATTAACGCCTACACGGGCGTAAATTACGTCTGCACGGGTGTAATTTCACGTCTGCACGGGCGTAATTAACGCCTATACACCCGTAAACAACGAGGGTAGGTTGGCAAAATACAGTCGTAAACTAATGGCGTTAAAATGTTCAATAGCGTGCGTTAAGACATTATTTAACACGTGGTGAGAAACATCTATTCGCCCGTCGAGTTCATTTTAGCGCCGTAAATTATTAACCGAATCATCATCTTGCTTACATAATGATACAATGCATTCTAGCTAAAAATGCAACTCCAAGATCCTTGTGTAAGTTAATAACATACTCACGATTGTGCCAGAAACAACTATTGCAATTGATGGCATATGAAATATTATTTCTTTTCTGGGTATCTTGGTGCACTATTTGTGCAAATGTGAAAGATATACGTACTTGGTGTCCCGAAAGTATGGGGCCCCCCTAGGCAGACATATACCAGTGTCGTCATAGTTAGTGTCGTATATCATTTTAAATCCAAAGTAACATTGATTCACCAAGTATCATGGTTCAACTCTCCAATGTGAAAAATTACAGGCATTTCAAAATTTAGTGTTTGGTCGAAATTAAGTTCAATTTTACGCCAAATCACTAGTCAATGTGTCCTCCCGGGCCATTTTAACAGCAGCAATTCTTTTCGGGTCGGATGGATATTGAGTTGGAAAAAGAGACTCTCGAGGGTAGAAACTCCAAGGAAACTCTTCTAAAGTCCCTCAACAGGTTTTAGAGGGTTATAAAATTCCACACTCCTATTTGAAGGGCTTTAAAGGTCATATCTGAAAATAATTGCCGCTCTTAACATGGCCAAAGGGGGACACATTTACTAGTAATGTTGTGTAAAATTGAACTTTATTTTGACAAAACACTAACTTTTAAAATGACTGTAACTTTTTCCCACTTGGGAGTTAAACCATGATACTTGGCAAATCAATGTAACTTTGGACAAGCTTTAAAATGATATATGACACATACTATGAGGACAGTGGAATATGTCTGCCTTAAATGAGTTAATATATATTCCTGAAAATAACATGTGACTCCAAAGAGGACTGAATAAAGATACTATAATTCTAGTATCTGAACACATCCTTTAGAAGGATACATTAGCGATCTGACTGCATATAGTGCTTTGTAAGCTGCAATGCGTGTGAACTTAAGTCCCTGCCTCAGAAGCCGACGCCTAGACTCTTACGGAGAATTATCCGAAAAAATCATCGTATTTAGACACCATACATTGGGCGGGTAAGCCAACCATAGATCGCATGTCGTCATCTCTCTTCCTACGAGTACGTCAACAAGTAACAATAAATACAATGAGTACAATAAATACAATAAGAACAATAAATACAGATGAAAATATTTTTTTCATCGTGGTCTTCTTATTTTATTTAGATTTTGGAATATGAGTCGTCGAAAAACGTTCCCACTAATTTAAGGTTGAGGTCACTGTTTTTTTCCAAAAATATCTCGCATAAAAATTCAACAAAATAGATTTGCACTGTAAATAGTTTGTAGGAAACGCTAACCTATGTGCCAAGTTATGATGCAAATAAACAAATAATTTATGTGAGTAATTAATCAACATACCTTCTGTAAAGAATAAAAGGTGCATGGTCCTTTATCAGTCATAACATTTTCAAAATTTGTATAATAATACTAAAATCTTGAAGGCACATGGCATATTTATTGTGAATGACTTGTAGAAATTTTAGAAAATTAGATGAAAATTTAAAAAAGTTAGCAATGGTTAAAAAGCAACACAAAATCACTAATGTGACCATTTCCCTTAATTCAACTTTTTACCATATTTACAAAAATTCTTTGATTTTCTCCATTTGGTCAAAGTATTTATACATTATACCTCTGACAGTTTGGTATGATAATAACGAAAAATAAAAAAGATATGATTGGTAAAGGACAATGCACATTTTTTCTTTACAGAAGGTTATTAATTTCAATTATTATTCCTGTATATAATATACTTTAATCTTTGGAGCTTTTAGCGATTACTTATACAATTATTAAGATAAGTTAGAATAAAATGGTCTTCGGGAATAGCGTCTATAATTCTAGACATTTATTTACAAGATTGATTGAAACACCAAACATTTGAATTAAAATTAATAACTCTTGTTATAGAATCTTTGAAAGTAAAGAATTATCAGAATTTGAAGAGGATTTGGATATTAATTTGATGTATTTAAGTTATAGCAATATACATTTACATCATGGGATGGAACCAAAGGGAAACATTTGAAAAACAGCTCATTGTCGACCCAGTCGTTGACCTCGAGTCTGGTAAGCTTAGAGACTCAGAAATTTACATGAAAATTGAAACGTTTGATATTTTTCAATTGAGTTGAAAAAAAAGAAAACACTTTTTTATATATGAATAACTCCTTCGATCACTTCTGGCATTGTCTCGTGTATGAACCAATGCCTGTCCTCTTTGTTGTCTTTGTCGGACTTCAAATAATAATGCACAATTGAAAATACTGCAAACGTGACAGCATTTACGGGGAACGCTCGAACAAGAGTCGGCGTAATGCCTTTTGTGAACACAATTAAACCATCGGCGTTGTAAGACTTCTTCGTACAATCTATAGCGCCTTTATAAATTCTTTCTGTCATCCCATCAGCCTGTATACGAGTTTTTACAACATCGATTGGGTAGCAGGGGATCCACGATATGACTCCAGCTAACCCTCCAGCCACTAGGAGCCCAGGTATGCCCATTTCACCCTGGGAACCCCCTGCCTCCCTTTTAGCAAATAATCCACATAGTATTTCATATGAAACAAAGTACAGTCCAAATCCTGGGCAATCTCTTATTGCGGTCAATAAGAACCCTCGTCGCAATCCTTTTAGACCTTCGTACTTATAAATCTGTTTAACGCAATGAATCGAGGATTTGTAAAATCGGCTTGATTTATGACTATATCTTTTACCAGATCCTTGAATTTGCATTCTGGTTTTTATAAGCTCCATTGGGCTCGTGACAATAGTTTGGACGAGTCCCGCTGCGCAGCCAGATATCCAATGAGAGGTGAGAGAATCAGGTTGGTCCATCTGACGTTGGAGGTTGCCCTGGACGCCAAAAACAATGGCATTCATGAAGCTAAGTCCAATCAATGGACTGGTAATGCCTCGCATCATTGCCATCGCCGATTCATGTTTAACGACAGAACGAATACATTGTATTGTCCCAGTATAGCGTTGCGGACCACTTTGGCATTGCAGACGAACCTTTACTGTGTCAAATGGGTGGCCAACCAGTACCCCAGCACAGCCACCGACACATCCCGCAAAGAAATCAGCAGCCATTCCAATCGTAAACAAACTTCTTTGCCAAAACGCGCATCACGTCCATCTTGAAATGGAGTCCGTCGCCTTTGAAGATCGGTGAAGTTAAGGTCACTATTGGTTTCCATGCATTTTGCAAAATACGCTGTTACGTCATGACAATTGAGGGAAACCCAAGGATTTCTAGTATTTTGCCTTACATTTTGGAGAGACTACTTTTTCATCCCTCCATGCTAGACAAACGCTTATTTGTAATTGTAATCGTTTAAAAGTAATACTTTTGAGAGAGAACACTATTTAGCATTTTTAACAATAATTAAGATTTCATGAACATCCTTTCAGACGTGGAACTCGTTTATCGCTGACATGGCACAGGAATGGGCAGAGGCTTGCGGTTGGTTCCACGGGTTTCCTGACCGCGATGCTGGCACCGTCCCTTTCTCGGGTACACTCGGGCAGAATCTATACTTCGCAAGCGGGGATCTGAACATTGTATCTGGTGTTAAGGCATGGTATGATGAGATCGCATTCTACGACTTTTCATCCAGAACATGCCAGACTGGTAAACCTTGTGGCCATTATACCCAAGTAAGTACAGTATGATATACGTCCATGATATGACAAATCACTTTTCCGTGTTTCTTCACTTCTCAATGCATTTGTCTATTAGAATCGCTCTCTGATAGAATTCACTGCATGCCCATCGGACATCGGAACGCAGCCTCAGTTTAGTGTAGCTGCATCTACCAAGATGTTACAAAATGTCATCTCCTCGTTACAATTACAAAATATATACATTATGTATTGAACGGAATATTTAAATCAAATAATTGCGATTTTTCATCATATGTGATCCATCAGATCAAAAGTCGAAGTAAGTGATGTTTCAATATGATTCTGTACATTTTAAATTTCTTTAGGTGATAGGGCACAGTGACCATTTATGATATATATTATATATATATATATTAAATTCTTAAAATCGCGGATTCGGTAGTATTGAATCTCTAATAAAGATGGCGCGAAAGTTTTTCCTTATAAGGTCAAAATATTTCCCATGATGCAGTTCGCGGGGGAACAAAATTTTTCTACCTTGTTTTTCCCCGTTGGTTTAACATGGGGATTTTCATACCCATTTTTCAAGCGATATTTTCGATCGAATCTCCATGCGATCGGAGAAAACAAACTATCAGAAACAATTAGTCTTTTAATAATCTTTATATAACATATATTTTTTTTCATTTTATTGGCTCCTAACGGGGTGAAAACAATGATTGAAAATGGGAGTATATTCCGGAAGAGAAGAAGTCACGTGACTAGTCGCCATATTGGAAAAAGCAATTCCATTCGACTTTCAACACGTTCATGCCAATATTACCGCACTACAAACTGTAACATCGATGCAACAACTGAATAAAAGTACTCATCTTCATATTACATTATAGAGTTACGTTGAAAACCCACAAACAACTGAGCATTTGACCAAAGAAGACACGTCGCTATTATCTAGGTCAAGTTTAGTGGTTCGAAAGCAAATCTTACATACTCGTTTCCGAATTTTGTTGTTAATTGTATAATCTTTTATTGATTAAATCTGGTATACTGACTATTAATTCAATGACAAAGAAGAAGAATTCCGATGGTGTCATTTATTTATTTTACTTGCGGGTGTAAAAACAAAATTGCGTAATTAATTTGATTTAGAACTTTCGGGTCTCACAAATAGCTACACGAAATGCATCGTTGAAAAATATTGACCAATCAAATTTTGTCCTTTTTGAGTACATATATGCACCATATATGCGAACGTTCTGATTCAAAGAGCGAACAGCGAAATGGAGAATTGATGATAATGCGAATGAATAACTCCGCCTCTTACCATTTTGCAATCTAAGTTTCATGAGAAAAGCTGAACATATTGACATATTTTCTGATATTTATATTATAAGAGTTTGACTAATTGTCAACTGTCGGAATTCAATCTTTGCTTTAATGTTTAACATAGGTGGTGTGGGGAGACTCGAGAGAACTGGGTTGCGGATCATATAGGTGTCCAATCCTGTATGACGAAGCACCGTCCACAAAGACTTGGAGTGACGTCACTCTGCTTGTTTGTCACTACGGGCCTGCGTAAGTAGAGCGTTTCAACAGCTCCGATTATACTTTATAGTAGTTTATATTAGTGTGTCCGACGGTTACCATGGGAAACGTCCAGTTTTGTCTAGAATTGAGGAATATGTCCCAAATACGGAAATGTGTATAAATACATGTATGTTTTCCATATAATCAGCAACATTTAGAACTGAATAGTTTTGGACATTCTTGGTACATGTTGAGGCGGCTATTTTCCGTTTAAAATCTTCTCTATCGAGCCTTGTTTACAGGTTTCCAGCCAAACCGTTTCAGGGATTCACGTGAAAATTTCAAGAATATTTCTATCTATTAAAGTTCAGAACTGGTTAGTTTTTTGGGCAATCTGGTTCACTGATAAGATGGCAGTTTTGGATTTTACGTCCTAAAATCTTGTCTCTTGAGGCTTGTCTGCAGGTTTCCAGCCAAACCGTTTGAGGGATTCATCTGAAATTTTCGGGGATGTTTCTAAGTATGAAGGTAAAATAATGATTAATTTTGGGGAATTCTGGATAAATTCAATTCGAAGGGGGCTGTTTTTTCCATCCCGAAAACTCTTTATTCGATTCAACAGTCCACTACTGTTCACTCTGTGTCTTGTTAAATGCTAAATAGTCTCAGATGACAACACAAAACACACAAACCCAAAAGGCGATCCCTTGCATAGATCCACACCCGATGTAAGAATAGTGATTAAAGAACACATTTACATCTGCTACAGAAGAATTTTAATGTGGGTATTCGTTAAACATGGCGAGCACAAGCATATATTTGTTTTTATTGCAGTGGTAACTACCCAACCGATCCATACAAAGTGGGTGAACCATGCACAGCATGTAACCTTGGACAATACTTCTGTATCGACGGCCTTTGTGGTAGGTAAACAGATGGCCGCGTGAGTTTGTCATTTATATTACACGTGGATTCAAAAATAACTTCAATAAAAACCATATTTTCTTATTTTGCGAGAATATTCCGTTACCCTACTATCACACCAAACTAGTTTTCACTACGTTCTCGAAAACGGGCTTCAACTGTGTACGAACGGACTGGACGTACTTTGAACCGTTTGGGGTCTATTTACAAACTTCATCGAACGTACTCGAACGGGTAGGTCCTCTAGAACTTAGAACATGCTCAAAATGTTCTCGTGGTCGATACGTTCTACAATTAGAACGAGTGACAACGTACTAATGACGAGCTGGACGTACTACGAACGGAACCGTCGTACTTCAATCCTACTAGGGACGTTTTAACAACGAGCTGCACTGTCTGAGGATGTATTGAGAACGAGGTAGAACTAATTGCAAACGGGTTTAAACTGATTAAGAACGTATTTAAGACTGCTTATGAACGAGTTAGCAAAAATATAGCTATCACACCAAACACGTTGCCACTGCATTCATCAAAACTGGTTTTAAACTGTTTGCGAACGGAATGAACGTAGCTTCAACGTTCTACGGTCTGTTTACGAACTTCATGGACTTTCCCGGACGGGGAATGTGATTTAGAATAATTCGATGGCGACCATACCGTTCTGTAATCAGGTCATGATGACCTTCTAGACTAAGGGACGCGTTATACGACGTTGCACACCGACGTGGTGCGACCTGAACGAACTGCGAATGAGATGGACGTATTGAAGACTGTTTATGAACGAAGTATCTAATTATTTTAGACATATTTCCCGACCACAGCCAGATTGAGCCAGTTTTACGACGTTTTCATGGGACTGGCAAGAACGGGTAAGAACGAGTTTGGTGTGATAGGGGGGTTAAGGATAAACTATGAGTGTTGGGTTTTAGATAAAATAATAGCCGAAGCCTCCAGGCCGAGGCTGTTAATTCTCCTAAGACCCAATAAGAATGGTTTATCTAACTTAAACCACACACTGGGCACCGACTCTTATGATTTCTTTTGTATTGACTATGAGGTAAGTGTGTATTGAGATGTGAGTGACCGGGTGTAAGTAGTTCAGCTTCTGTTCAACGTATGCTGAATTTCACCATATTGAATGGGCTAGCATTATTTACTCCTTAAACATGCAATTTTTCTTATTTTTATCATTTTAATATTGAAACAAATTAAAGACCTGGACACCTTCAGACCATATATTATTCAATTTCGTTCTGTCTCTTTACATTCTATTTGAACTTAGGATAAGAAAAACATGAACATGACACTGCCATGTGTAAATAATGATACAGAAATGTAAGGGATGTATTATTTTAATTGCAGCCATCGAATCGGAATGTACCAAATGCAACTCTGGATGTGGTGAGTAAAAATATATTCTTGGGAGATGAAATCTTATGTCATTGTATTGTGATGTGATGCGAAAGACATTAATCAGAAAATCCATATCGATGTTTTGTAATTAGTAACAAGGTGAAGATTCATTGAGCACCTGACGTTATGATGTCCACCAAGACATTAGAAAAGTGTGTTACGTAAATCTAAAATTTACCTTCAATATGTGCAGAACATATTTTTAATTCAATTACTTCTTGTTTCCTTAGAATGCAAATCGAACGCGGTGTGCCAGAACTGTGCTTCTCTAAGTACAGACTGTACGTGTCAGTGTCAAGATGGATGGAAGGGTGATCGTTGTGACGGTACGTAATAAATATCTTAGTTCTTTGACTTTCTCAATAAAGGAAGAATACAAGTGTCATTCGATATTTTGACTTCAACTACAAACAAAATACTTCTAAATAATAAAATAATCTAAATAACGAGAATCTTTATGATGTCTCCATGCTTATAATAATCTATTGATAAAACACATGTGTTGAACTTCACCTGTTAGCAGTTCAGAAGATAAATGTTTTGATTACAAAATTATTTGTTTTTCAAATTTTTATGAATTTGTCGACCTACCTGACAATGATCCTCTTTCCGATCATTCTCAAGTTGAAATTTACTGTTACATGATGTATAATTGTCTTCATTTCAGTCGAGTGTGTAAACGCTTTGGGGAACTGCAACCTTTATCCTAATAGTTACTGTGAAGATGGAAGCCCCTATCAAGCCTGGATGCGTATTAACTGTATGGTTGATTGCGCCCTTTGCAGTAAGATAGATACAGTTTTTACTCTAACGTTTCAGAGAAAAAAATGGTCATAGAATTGTTATTTGATAGACTTAGTATAGTCTGGTGATCACAGGTAGAGGCTAAACTAATAAAGACTCAATTTCATTATATTCATCATAACTTAGAATACGTTCATATCTTTACTTTAAACATCCAGTAATCTCAAAACGAAATTAATATCTGATTATTAAAGTTAAGATTATATCCTGCATCTCCACCCAACCAAAACACCCAACTCAACCCTTCCACCAATGGCCCCTCTCAAACCATATCCTATCGTTCTTTTGTATTCGAATGTTCTGGTCATGACTCACGGTATGTACAAAAAATATCTAAGTCACTATCGGTGCGTTTGTATATATTTTAGCTCCTGCTGGTTCGGACCCATTAACATGCTCCGCATATACCCAAGTCCCCGTTGATGACACGAGTTCGTGTCCAACCACCACGTCAGAAACAACACAGAGTGGAGTTACACCCACGACAACAACTCAAAGTGAGATTACATCAACAACAACACAAAGTGGGGCTACCCCTACAACAACAACACAAAGCGGAGTTACAACCACAACTACGGCACAAAGCGGAGTTCCAACTACAACAACGACTCGAAGTGAAGTTACACCCACGACAACAACTCAAAGTGAGATTACACCTACAACAACACAAAGTGGGGTTACCCCTACAACAACAACACAAAGCGGAGTTACAACCACAACAACGACTCAAAGTGGTGAAACCAATGCGTGCAGACATCACGTCTGTCAGAATGGAGGATCTGTAAGAACTTTCAACGCAAAATGCATATGTACTTGCACTAGCAAATGGTACGGAGACACCTGCCAGCGTAAGTTGATGCGTTAATAGTATTCCTGAAATAGTATTTCAAGTTCAATCGATTGTAATGGCGAATGGTGCAGAATCTATTATGTCTGTTCGTAAATATATTATTGGCTTTTAACACTATTCAATGAGGTCATAAATATATCATTATTGACTACATAATTGATTTTGGACTGTAAGATTTTTGACTGTAAGATTTTTGACTGCAGGCTGACTTCATGGCCATAAATTCCTTTGGTCGTTTCAGATAGTTTGGTAGTTTCAAAGTGATCAAGCAATGTGTCATAAAAACTATAGTAACATGCATGCACGATATCACATTATGTTTTGTAGATAATGTGAGAGAAAGAAATTACGGAGTTTTTGTAAAAGTTGCTGCACCAAAAGAAAAGGTATAATCAAACAAGTGATGCGACTGTCAAATATATACCGCACTGGCTTAAATGTATATACTACATACTTCATTATCTTATTATCATTATTAGTTGGAACTTGTTATATGTTATTTATATCTGTAATCTGATATAAGGAGTATATAAAGCCTGACCTGCTATCTATTATAACTCGCCAAGTTCATTGTTCATTGGATGGAATGCTTTCATATAAAAGTTCGGTCTTTAACAATGATCAGAAATCGGCATCCATAATACTGTAGTAGGAAATATTGGTATATACTGTTTTATACTTTTAACACCCTTTATATCCCTTTATTTTAGTGGCCACAGTTGTGGGAAAGGGTCGGTCCGTTGGTGGCGAATTTTTTAAATAGTTACTGCAATGTCGATAGCCGTTTCTCTTCCTGCTGTCCAGACTTGGGCACAAAATCATCGTAAGTTTAAAAGAACATTTAATAGCTGAACAAACGAGCCTTTCAAAGAAAGTATTCAAATTCATGATTGTTTACAAAATATCTTACAAACTTCTCAATTAATTTGTTCCATAGTTTATTAATTTTATATCTGAAAGGCATTCACTGAAGGTTACAAAGAAATGTTCTCAAGTGCGTCAAGTTTAACCATAATGTCGATGATTATTTTTGCTTATTAGTGATGGAATCCTCATCTATGCCACTGATTCTGACATACGAATGGGCAAAGGGTTTCCTGTGGAGAGGCTTGAGACGTCAAAAACAGTCACAGTTGCGTTGATATACTCTCTCATTCCAATAGATACACCCCTTTGCCTTTCTGGCACTGGGAATTCTGCAAGAAAAAGACGATACGCTGAGTTAGTCAGGAACAGACAACGTAGGAATGACGATACATGTAAGTTTTGAGCGAATAATGATATGAGAACAAGTTTTGTCACCCATAAAGCATGGACACACCCTATCCCATACGATGCACATGATACGGAAAATCTGAATGAAGGGAATTTTGTTCCAAGGGTCTTGATTATTAATAACCGATCAATTGGATTATAGTTAGGTCAACTAAGATAAATAAATGACAACTATTTTAAGAAAAACCTGTTCCTTCAACATTGAGGTGCCATCTTTCAAAAAAACATTAACAATAAAGACTTTTTATCATGGATCGTACTATATTAACATGATCTATTCCAACTCATGATGGCATAGCCTATAATTATAGCGACAAAGTAGAAATACATAGGTTAAGAGGGGATCATACTTTCTTTCACATTTAAATCTCGTATCTACAAAGACTAAGGATAATCGGCTAAGAGTCTGAAAACTGTGTGTGTATGACTGCTGTTCAGATTTTGTCAGATTAATTAAAATATTTTTTAGTAATTATTTCGATATTAATTTTCTCATGCACCCTCCATTCTTTCTACTAAAATAACATTTTGTTCAAATAAAACAATTGTTGTGCCAACAATTCCAGTGGAACTATTACCCCAGCAAGTTATATACGAAGCTCTCAAAGGATTAGAGGCCAACCTCACCTCTGCAATGGATGAATGCTGTGAAGTGGAATTCCTCTCCATCTCCAAACCATCGCCACTTGACACCAACACTTATGTGGAATCGAATACACTGCCTGAATGGTCGCTGTACGTCATCGGTGTTGCAGCGTTGGCAGTCATGACTGTGCTGGTTGCTCTCGTTCTTAACATTGTATCAAAGAAGTAAGTGTAGTCGTCATAGATGGGAATAGGTTTACAAGTTGCCAATCTCAAACTACACCAAACAGTGCTGCTTATGAAACAGTGCTGGACAGCGCTGTAAAAACAGTACTGTACATTGTTGTATTGTACTACGCTGTTCAAAACAGATGATATTAGAAAAGCACTGTACAAGTACAGTGCAGTGCTCGAACTGCACTGTTCAATACTGTTTACAGCGCTGCAAGATGTTGCGGATTGGGGGGAAGGTCAAAAGACGTAATTCTCATTGAAATTTGAATAATTGTGATTTTTTATTTCGTGCAATTCTTATGTTGCCTTTGTCGCTATTTTGGCAAGATTCGTGCTTAACTTCATTGTCAAGTTGCAAAACTCAAAACCTGAATCCGCTGGCGTCTTTGCATCCAACTGTTTAAGAATATAACATAAAACTGGATCTGGATCGAAGAAAACAAGGAGCTACATGGAGTAGTGGGTATTGGGTTTGTAAAAAATATTAAATGCAAATAAGTTATTTTGTTTCTTTAATTGCTTCAAATCGGAGAGATCACATTCACACATATGAAAAGAAATACAATTTTGTGGAAATCTCAATCAACACCTGAAAAAATTGTTAACACACAGCGTAAAATGTGACGACATACCATTTTGTATACAAGTAATTAAAATAAAATTCATATTAATTGTTTTCTCATTTAGATTAATAGAAGTAGTAATTTTCCACTGACAAATGATTTACAATTATGTTTTAATGAACTGGAAATGTTTCAGTAATCGATCATCATAAATATGATAGATAACAAAATTGTATTGCTGTAGTTATTGTGGATTGTTATTAATGAAAAACTTTTAAAATGATGCATGCGCAATGATTTAACCATATTCTAATGATGCAACTTTTCATATTCAGATGTGGTCCAAATAAATCACGTGGTGCAGTTGCAGACGACGATGACGCATTACGCGAAGTACAGCGACCTGTATCAGTTGCCCGGAAATACTCAATGGCACCTGGAAGCTCGACAATAACCACTCCAGAAATTTTCGAGGCCCCAAATACCGACTATGATCAAATTCACCCCGTTAGCCTTCCTCCACTTTCCCACCGAAATAGTTTGATTATCGCAAGACAAGAACTTTATTTCCCTCCGAAACGGCTTTCGAATGCTGCTCGTGTGAACGGACTCGCATTTACAGATGACAGCGCATTTGGGGCTATCCAAGAGGACAGTGAAATTGATAAGAACGTACAACAAAAGACTCCAGTTCCCTACACATAGTTTTCATAAAGACACGTAAAACATATTAATTCTGTGATACCGGTGTGAAAGAAATTATGGTCCCTTGGGGATTATGGTCCCCTTTCCTTACGGCCCTTACTGGCCCTGACTGTGTATGAATGATAAGGAAGATAATTGTAATTAGGTCACCATATAAATCAATAGAGAGTATACCAAAATTTGATAGCACTACCTACCCTTTTACACCTGTGTAAAATAAATGATGGTCCTCCTTATCTGAACGTTTCTGGCCCCGATTCTTTATATCAAATAAACTAAATAAGGTTGGTATTTGTACACAGTAAACACATAGAGACGGTAACCATGTCGGTTCATGCTCCTAATAAAGATGACCGTTATTCTCCAATACAGAGCAATCGCTGCTTTTTTGCATGTCTGTTCAAAAGGTTGGGTGTTCATCGGAATAGTAATTATAATGCACTTAAACCTGAAGAAGAACACAACTGCATATAAAGATGCTGCTATTAAAAGGGAAACGACCTCTAAAATCAGTACAATTTCATGAATTTGGGGAGGATGGTAAATTGAATTTCTAGGTTTTTATAATAACATGTGAGAGAAATGTAAACAGTTTAGATTCTCGATATTTCAGTGAGTGTCCAGATAATGCAGTAATTGCATTTGGTGAGCAATTAAAGTTCGTCAGAACTCAGAACCAAGTTGTGTTTGAATATCATCATCGTACACTGGTTCACTGCGACACTCACTTGGGAACATATCATGAAACATTCAAAATTTAAACTCATGCCATTATTCCAATCAACATATATAAATATATGTTATCCCATAAAAGATAACTAAAAGATCGACCAATATTGTAAGGGAATTGATTTGTCAAAATGCCCTGCTTTGTCATGGCTGGCGATTTAAATGTATCGTGTATGCTTCCTATAGCTTGATAGATCGCAAAACAAAGACTTCAAATGAGGCAATAAACTTTCGAAGTCTACGTCGAACGTACAATTAAAGGACAGTCAATAGACTATTGATTTCTCTAGACTCCACCAGTATTCATTATCGTGTGCTCTTTGATATATAAATGATATTATATTCATGCTAAAAACGGGTATTAGGGACTGGAGTTTAGATTGCCATTGCATGTATCCTAGATTACCTTTGTTTACTACAAAACGTATATTTTTGCGTTCTTTGGGGATACGTGAACCTATTACATAAACCTATTGTTATTCATGTTTAGACATTTTGCCAAACCATGAAAGTTGAACCTACTGCAGACTCGTACTGTACTAACTGTAAATATGTATTGTTGCTATTTTGTGAAGCTTATTAATAAACAAAATAACGCAAAGCTCATTGCCAAGAGTTCAATGGATTTTTAAAACAAATTCTGAAACAAGAGTCAAAGAGAAGGTATCAAATCTAGGAAGGTATACTGTGTGCCGTAACCCGGGTGACCAAGAGAGAATTCTTATAATTCTTTTATTTGAGATGAGAAACCTCACACTTTGTTTTGTTCTCTACTACACAACTTTTGATGAAGTCATTCTCAAGTTGGGATTCCCCCTCAGTTCCTTTTCTGGTTTTGACAATTTGATATTCATATTTTAAGATCACGGGACATATAGCCTAATTAGCCTTACCATCCAAAGCCAGGGGTTGGAAAGGGAGGATCTGTTGTCTATATTAAAATCAAAGGCATTGCTGCAAGACTAGGATTGGAGATTTCCAATTTTCTTTCTTTTAAGGCAGGTAAGAAGCAGGTATTCTAACCTAGAGAGTAATTATAATTCTTATTCTATAACACACCCAGGCATTGTAGGTATTTATTTATTACCCAGTGATTGATTCAGTGATTTAAAGGTAGAAATCTTGGGCATCTTTTCACTCATTGCAAAATATCTATTATTACCTATGAAATTACGTAAAATGATACATACGAGGGGTGATCAATAAGTAATGGACGCTTTTTTACACAGATACTTTTTATAGACCAATCCCTTTGATTTTCCTACCAGTGATACATCATTCAATTATCTATCATTTCTGAGGATTTGAAGACAAAATATATAATACATGTTGATATATCCTTATTTCCGTGAAGGAGGTACAGGTACCCCGGGACCGACATTTACGTCACATATTCAGTTTTCAGCCAGTTTGGCAAATTTCAGTTAGATTTAAACTTTTCCTATGCAACATGTGTTTTGTTGTTTGAAATACTTTGCTGACTGGTCAACACATAAACAGAAAATTTTGTGATGTCCGAGTGTTGTATAGAAGGGGTTTGCAGGTCAATTTGAGAAAGCATTGTGGAAGAAAGGGGTGGTGAGAGAAGGGAACACCCTACTCCATATGGACATTGCACCTGCCCACAGATCTCAAAATGTTCAGAAAACAATATCCATGGACCTCAAAATTGAGCCCTTGGCCAATGCACCATATTGTCCAGATCTGCTCACATGTGACTTATTTATTTCTATTACTACTTATTTCTATAGAGAAAGGATGCATGTTTATTGATATTGATGAAATAAAACAACCCGTGCAAGTGCATCTTGCTACCATGTCAGAGAATGGATTCAGCAGCCTTGCCTCACAATCTTGAATTAAGAGGATGAGGAATTGTGTACATGTATCGGTTGGTAGAACCTATGTAGAGGGCTCTGTGGAATGAATTTGGCATGAATACCACATAGTTATGATAAAATATTCAAAATCAACTATTGCATAACAAAATGGGGTAATTCATGACCACTATGGTTTGTTTTGTTCAGCCTGCATTCAACTGCATTGCATATTAAACAAGCTAAAATAGCTTCAGAATGTTTCATGTAAATGTCGGTCCCGGGGTACCCATACATCCTTCACAGAAATAAAGATATATCAAAAGATATTACATGTTTTGTTTTCAAATCTTCAGAGTTGATAGATAATTGAATGATGTATCACTGGTAAGAAAATCAAAGGGATTGGCCTAGAAAAAGCATCTGTGTAAAAAAGCGTCCATTACTTATTGATCACCCTTCGTATTCAAGGAAACATTTTGCAATCTTGAATCATTTTGTCACCTTGACAGCCATTCAACACTTACAACACTTACAACACAACAATTTGCACAACCAAGCGTTTGGCTTATCATTCCCTTATATGTTATTTTATATGGGCAAAGGATTGGTATCAATATGGAGAACTGAATATCAACAACGTTTTCTCTTAAACCAATCATTGAAAACATTCTGTAAAAAACACGGTATTTTATGTAATGTTGACTGATTGACAACGATTTAATGCGAAAATGATTTAGAAATATTTTATATAACTTTTTTTGTTAACATTTTTTAGTGCAATTGTTTTTGCTCCTTTCTACCAATTCTTGAGAATGAAATAAAATGTCTTTCCGAACCTTGTTGGAACAAAATAGCATATACAACATGTTTTTAGACCTCTTAATATTATAATTATACAAAGGAATTTTTGGTTGATTTTAAAAAAGTATTCAAAAAATTAAAACAAAATCCCTCCAAAATAGATAAAAATCAAGATAAACCTTTTATTTCATTAACAAGATACTTTTTAAAATTAATCAAAATTTCCTTTGTACAATTACAATATTGAGAGACCTAAACATGTTGTGTTTATGTCGTTTTGTTCCAATGAGGTTCGGAAAGATGTTTTATTTCACTCTGGAAACATGATACCAAGAAAAAACAAGTGTTAGATGTGTTTTCTAAAACAATATAGATGGAAGTATATATATATATTTCAAAGTATATTGTTACCATTCAAAAGATGACCATTAAATTGACGATGTGTTAAATTTTTAGATTTTGTTTTAGATTGGTTTAAGAGAAACGTGTGTTCAAAAAGTTCTCCATATCAATACCAATCCTTTACCATAATTGATATTTTCAAAATCACTTGTTTTACTGAAGCCTGTGCTATGTGTGTTGATACCAGGTACATTTGATGTGCGCTATTTCAAAGTCATCACAACTAGTTATCATAATCATGCGATATATACTGAAAATATTGCTTATTATTTTTCAAAAACAGCTTAAATGATGATTTTTGTCAGAAAACAAAGTTTTGTTTTGTTTTGTTTTGTTTGTAGTGATACAAAACCGGATTACAGCACATACAGAGCATCAATTGCGTTGATATTTTTCATACTACATAAAGAATATGTTTGACAACAGGTCTTAAGAGGGCGATGTTAGATGTTTGTTAACCATGCAATGAAATGCTTTGTATATGCATATATCATTTGTCTAATATTCTGTATCCTCCAACACACTGTTTAAATTAATATTGCTGATGCATCATTTGTTTGAGATTTCGCCAGAAAGTGCCATTTAGTGTTACCTCTTAAATGACAGACAATGAAAACATCAGACAAAATATTGTTGTTTTTGTGGTGGATTTAAGTTCTGCTGTCCAATATTTTGTATCCTCCAAACATTAAGATTTAATCAATCCACATAAATTATTTCAAACAATTATTTTCAGAAATTAGACCAATCCAATGTAGTATTTAAATGATAGTTATATATATTCTGAATTAATTCAAACTTCTTAGTAAATTGAATATGTTGAGTATGTGTTGGAGGATACAAAGCAAATGGACATTATAAAACGTGTTGGTTTTTAATGAGTACGACATATCAAACAACCCCTTTTGAGAGATGGTTGGAAACATATTTTATTAACCAGTTAGAAATCATCGATGGACTTGAAGCATAATCTGTTATGTTGTCCGAGTTTCCATAGCAAAATTTGATTTTTGTCAAAAATCACCATTAAGCTGTTTTAAAAGATAACAAGCAATATTTCCAATGTATATTGCATGGTCATGGTAAACAGTTGTGTTGAAAGCACAATAGCACATACTGTATATAGTGTCGTTGACCTCAATACACATGGCGCAGGATGCGGTAGAATAGCAGAATTCATGGAATTTAAAAAATATCAATTATCGTTGCCCATATAGATTTTTACTCAACTATAAAATTGATCACTTTTGACGGTTTTATTAGTTTCACTAAAGAAGGTATGATTCAGCAAGCAATGCACTGAGTCCTAAATTGTAGGAAGTAACTATGACCTGAAATAGAGAATATCATCTAACTGGATATCATTTATACTAGCCGTCAACCATTTGCCATAGAATATTGCAAAGCTATAAATCGTTTTATTGATAATGATGACATTCTTTCCGAATGAAAAACAAATGTAAATCCGAAAGTTAGTTTCATCTTTGATCTTCTCTATTTAGTTCTGCTTGTATTTTATATAAGAAACAATAATTATGTCCAATAATTGATTACTAGGATTATACATGTATTGTTGAGTTATTTGGGCATAAACAATGGCTTCTAAAACATTGCTGACACTTAAAATCCCAAACCCACTGCACAAACTCGCTGTGATAATTCTTGGATGAACGGCAGTAGTTCGTCAAATTTGTCAAATTCCTTAAAATGAGTTTCTTTCGGTTCAGATGGAATTTCATTCCATTCTTTTCTCTGAACATCAAGATTTTTAGCCCGTGCACCCGGTAGTCCGAGTAAAAAGATTCCAACTTCATCATCTCCCGTTCTGCCCTTTAAAGCGTTAGCTGCTCTAAACGTAAATTTCTGATATTTAGCCTTCATTGTTCGCCCATCTGTCACTAGAACAATCATGTTGTAGGCAAACTTTCGGTCACCCGCTTCTGGTGTAAAAACAACACTATTTGCAAATTCAAGAGCTAAATCGGTACGAGTGTTTTTCCTACGTGCCATCGTCTGGTCTTCGATGGCCTTCAGTGTCCCCTCTCTTGTGCTGGACGCGGTGTCGTTAAACAGCATCTCGGGTGTTACTTTATTGTTGTACGTTAGAAGTGCGAATTTCACGGAGGTATCGCCATCTCCGACATTTTTGAATGTATTAACTAATGCTTTCATAGCATCACGGACATCAATAATGTTCTCTGGTTTAACGCTGTTGGAATGATCGAGAATAAGAAGAATGTCCAGAGGTGATTCATCACAAGTTATTTCATCGCCTAAAACAAAGTATCTAATAGTTAAATAAAAAGCGTCAGGGGTTACGAACGCGACATATTGTACACACGATTGGAGAAACCAAAGAGTAATATGCCATTCAAAAACAGCAACATTGAAACTTCTAATATGTGATATACTGTTTCAAAACAACATTTTAGAAACTGAGCAACTTTATAACATTCAAAAACAAAAAACAAACAACCAATGATTGTTTTCATTCAAAATGGCGGAAATGATTCATACAATTCTAGAGCAACATTTACAATTTACAAAGAAAGATTGATATATACCATTGAAAAAACATATTCAACTGAGTTAACCAATGTGTTTACCATTCCAAAAGAAAGTTGAGAATATTCAGAACTAATTTACATTGGCCAAATACTATATTTGATTTTTCATGACACTAAAAACTATTTTGATAATGAACTATGTGTTTTCTGTAAAACTTTGCAACTATCTATTCAAAAATTTGGAAAATATGCCCATTTCATAAGATGAAATAATTTTGATAATAACATGAATACTCATCGTGCAGATCAACCTTAAACAAAATAGGTAAGAGCTAATGTCTCGTCTATACCTGGACATGTGAGTTCCCCAATGTTTGCCATACGACCGTAAACAGATTCGGCTAGTTGCTTCGTGTCCTCTGAATATTGAAATATGTTTTCTGGTTCAGCGAGAACATTGACCTGCTCAATCGTGTCTTCAAAGTCAGTTTTCTCGTTAGCGTTTGGGAGCTGGAGTAGGAAGACATATGTATTGTTTTTGGCGCGGAGACGATTTATAGAGACTATTGTTTCGTCTCTAAACTTTTGCGGCTGAGTACGAGCATCAGTCAAAAGAACCAAGACATTTGGGCTTTTATCGTCTTGGTCGCCAGATTCAAAGAAATCCTCAATTGCCATGTCAATAGCTTCATTTGTGATTGTTTTACAATCCACGTGTGAAGTATCAAATTCCTCTTGGATTGTATTGATGACGTCATCTTTAGAAGGTGCTTCGCCGAAACCGAACACCTTGCGGGAATTAATGTCGAAGGCAAGTAGGCCAAATTGGGTAAACCGTCCAGTGCTGCTGGTACTGGGATCACCGATTGAATCAAACAGCCCTACGAAGTCATCCATGAATTCGACTGCGCCCTCTTTCGTCTCCTCTGATATGCTGCATGATGTATCGAAGGCAAAAACAATGTTAGCACAAACTGAAAGAAAATATGTCAAGTTCAAAAACTCAAAATCTTAGATAGCATATAATGCACATGACCAACATCATAAAATAAAAAGAGAATATTTTGTCGTGGTATTGTCCAATGCATTGATGGGCATTTACCCAACTGGTTTTTCGCAAAATATAAACTTTCTCCGGTACAATATTATGTTATTTGTATTTCACTCGAATTTTAAATAACTTCACCAAATCACTGAAGAAAATGTAACTACTATGCGGCTGTTTTGGGTTGGTCTGGACTTGTTTGCGCAGAACATTATCCTAAAGGTTCATTACTGTTAAGAAACGTATTAGATTATACCCAGCGTCGTTTTTTGTTTTAGTTTTATATTTTCAAGGGTTAATTCTTATAATTAAGCTTTACAATTTAAAAATCTCTTGCTTTAACTTAAAGACATGATTTCATGATTTCATGATTTTATGTTGAAAAGCTCAAGCATGAATAATTCTTTGATTATGATGCCTATTGTCCATTGCCCACTGATTGGATAGTACAAGAAGTGAGAAAGTGTCGTCAACGATGAGATAAAATCCTTATAAATATCAACCAATGCCAAATATATAATTTTTATATTCTTACATCTCCATAAAAAGGAAAATATTCCAATTTGGAATACGTTTTGAATAGTATTTGAATAGTATTTGCAATTTAAAGATTGAAACAATCTTAATTAAATCTAAATGGTGCAATGATTACTTACGTCGCGCACCCTGTCCTCGGACTGCAGTAGTTCCCAGAAAGACCGCCAAAACGATTCTAATGTAGACCTCACCGTCCATTATGTGTAAGCGTTTCGAAGTGCCTTAGTTGGTTTGTCTGAGAATAATATAATGCTTCATTGTGATGCAATCATTTAAACGGATGTCAAGTCAGTTTGATGCACAGATCTATAAATTGCTATAACATTCGACCCGTTTACATCAGCCTATAGCCGAATTAGTCATGTTTCGTGGGACCGTGTGCAAATCTGATATGATTAAATTAAATTTTGATTATGATTAATTACAATATAATAGAAAATCATTGGAGTGCCTGTCAGAATGCAATCATAGGCGTCGTGTGATTGTGTCTGCATCCGTGAACATTAACGCCATACAATAAAAATATAATTGAAAATGTAAACAAGAAAATTGGAAGCTCGATTGGGAATCACTACATATACCCGATATCATCACCAAAAGACAACCAAATGCTCTAACAAAAACCATAGGCAACACTGTGCATTAAGGCCAAATATAGTAGAGTATAAGTGGCAAAATATTTGTGAATATAGTTAAGTATGTAAAGTTAAATAATTTGGACCCCGTTCCAAATCGGGCCATAACCCCCCTATCACACCAAACTTGTTCTTACCCGTTCTTGCCAGTCCTACGAAAACGTCGTAAAACGGGCTCAATCTGACTGTGGTCGGGAAATATGTCTAAAATAATTAGCTACTTCGTTCATAAACAGTCTTCAATACGTCCATCTCATTCGCAGTGCGTTCAGGTCGCACCACGTCGGTGTGCCACGTCGTATAACGCGTCCCTTGGTCTAGAAGGTCATCATGACCTGATTACAGAACGGTATGGTCGCCATCGAATTTTGAATCGATTCAAAATTCTAAATCACGTTCCCCGTCCGGGAAAGTCCATGAAGTTCGTGAACAGACCGTAGAACGTTGTAGCTACGTTCATTCAGTTCGCACAGTTTACAGCCAATTTGGCACCGTTTGACGATCACCAGAAAATCTTGAGCATGCTCTAAGTTCTGGAGGACCTACTCGCTCTAGTTGTTTCATGAAGTTCGTAAACAGATTCCCAAACGGTTCTTAGTGGGTTCTCAGTACGTCAAATCCGTTCGTGCACAGTTTAAGCCCGTTTTCGAGAACGTAGTGAGAACTAGTTTGGTGTGATAGTAGGGTTACAATACCCAACTAGAATTGTTGATTACTATAAGTCATTTTATTTAGTTGAACAATGGCAAATACTGGAAATTCGAAAGAGCTGAAATCCTCATATTTATAGTCCGATTTCAACAAGTTTACAATATTCATCAAAGTGCATCATTCAAGACCAGACTTCACTGCTGTAGCAGCTTTGGAAAAAAGTGAAATACTCTTGGACCAATGATGATCAAGTGTTGCATTTTCAAATTCATAATGGTATGTAACTTACACAATCTTGGACACTTAAGCCTTCTTCTTTGTAATTATTGAAGCTGGAATAAAATTGTTATGTTATTCATTCAACGCATTTATAAAAAGTGGAAGTATAACCAATACTAATTATATATTCTAAACATTCGCTCCAAAGTTGTCAATGTGAAAATTAGTCGGTGAATAAATAGTAAGGGGTTATGCTGGATACAAGGAATATCTCGAGGTATATATCTTCCGTGAGGGCCCGAAGGGACCAAGGGAAGATAAATTGTATATTCCAAGGGATATGTCCTGTATCAAAACCGACCGTGCATAACTGAGATGTATTCCATACCTGATAAGGTTTGAAATCATAAGCAGGTCGCCAACGACCCGGAGTTCCCTCTTAATGGCCAAGTACTCCTTCGCGGTGTGTTCATTTTCAATCCGTGCATTTACTTAGAAGTCATCCACATAACTTGTTTTAAATTATAAATTTTGTTCACTCCGTTCGAAAAAATTATTCGTCCGGATATGGAATATATATTCTCGGTCGTCCCTGAAATCAGGTATGGAATACTATATATTAGAGGCAACCAACATTTTCAGAAAGGCTTAAGTTAAGCTAAAACTTCTTGTTTTAAGAATCTCTATTCCGACCAATGATAATTTAAAATACATAGACACAGTAACATGATTTTAATGGTTGAGACTCAAACATTCAAAAAGTTCTTCTGAGATTGTGAGGATTTGATGGTTTGATGGATGCATATCCCAAATACGCCCTTGCTGAAATTCTCGATCATTTTTCTCAGAAGAACTTTGGATGATTGAGTCAACCAGGCAGACATATGATGCGTTTAACTAAAATCAAACCCAATTGGTTAGAATAGGGGTCCTTAAACAGGATGTTTCACCTGGTTTTCAAAGCCTTTGTCTACCTTTATTTACAAATTAAACTTCCTGAAATATAGTCGAATTTTGTAAATGAAGAGGATTAACATGTAGGTCTTGCATTAAGTTTATTTGAAATGTAGTGTAAAACATTTGAAACGGAACCTTGCACCTATTTTGTACACTATGTGTACATTTAAAATTATACCCAACCAATCATCACCCCTTGGCCCTTGTCAAACATGGCATCGTGACTGTAATAATGATAATAATAATGATAAAAATATCGATAACCTTAGAAATGATTAGGAATATTCCATGGCTTTAAAAAAATATCGCTTATAGCCATGAGTGGATAAAGATATCTTCGCGAGTGAGCGCAGCGAATGAGTGAACATACTGATATCCATGAGTTTATCCAATGGGCAATTATAATCCAGCGAACATTGAATAGTCATATAAATTTCAACAAGATTCATTTCAACATTGATATTCACAGCAATAAAATACTATAAGTTATTCAATGATTCGAGTGAAATACAGAAAATATTCTTCCCGAGAAGGTTGTATTTCACGATGCGCTAGCAGAGTGAAATACAGACGTTCAAGGGAAGAATATTTTCTGTATTTCACGAGAAATCATTGAATAACGTTTTTATTCCATGATTACCCATATAAAACTCGCCTAAATCAAGTCCCTTGGCTTGGGGCCGGAGAAACAGATCAACCTTCTCAAGATATTTTACATCGATATTCCTTCAAAATCTTTATGGCCTTGTTGTTTGCTTTTTATTGTATTATACGAGACGTTTGATTTTCTTTCTTTTTCTTCAATTTCATCAGCTGGAAGTGCAGTGTAGCGAAACGATTTTTCGACTTTCGTCTACCATATTGGATTTTAACATTTTTTACAAGTTCATGAAAACATTGTGCATGCTTCATATTGATCTTTTTATATTCACAGATGTGTGTTTTTTATCCTAAAATTATAAATTGTATTGATCACCGTATCATTTCCTGATATTCAAATCAGATATTTCTAGCAAAAATGCAAATATTAGCATGCGTTGGTGTAAACTGATCACCATTGATTTTTTTCAGTAATAGTCATACCTGGATGGAAATCTGGGGCGTTGGGATACCGTATCCCAACGCTGGCGTCTTTTTCACTCTGTATCCAACGCTTAGTGGAATGTGCGTGTAAATACAGGATATATTTAAGTCACTTGCACCAATCAGATTGCAGGGAATTTCACCATCATGGAATAAATGTACGCCTTCCATTTCGACATTTTGATTGCAATATTTCAACGAACGTCATAAACGTGACGTAACAAGGTGGTTTGTATTTAATGCGAACGCTGTAAAAACTAGATTCAAAAAATAAAAAAATATAAAGAATCGTTTTGCTGAATTAATATAAAAAATGGAAAAAATCAAAACCATCGAATATCACTTTTGAAACCATCGAATATCACTTTTAAAACCATCGAATATACCTTTCAAAAAGTGATGTTCGATGGTTTCAAAAGTGATATTCGATGATTTGGGAAATTGTTTGCTAGAATATGATATCTCCATCCACGTATCAATTATATCTTCACGTGATATTCGATCTATATCCTTGTAACCATGGTTTTGAAAAATAGCATCTGAGTTATCAATAAAACCATGGAGTATTAAATTTGAAACCATCGAATAACACTTATAATACGCATTTACATGAATTATATCTCGATGACCACAATGACCCGTGATACATTTATTTGTAAGAGCAATCAGTTCTTTAATCATTGCAAGTCAATTATCGTCCGCTAGCGCATACCCTAAGAGAGAGCTCTTTTATGAATGGCAGTAAATCGTCGAAATGATCGAAATTCTGGAAATGTGTACTCTTTGGAGCCGTTGGAATTTCATTCCATTCTTGTTGTTGGATATCACGATTTTTTGCACGCCCACCAGGGAGCCCGAGTAGAAAAATGGCAACTTCCTTTGTCCCATTTCTCGCTTTTATGGAAGCGGCGTTCCTGATTGTATGCTTTTGGTATTTTGCTTTCATTGTCCGTCCGTCCGTTACGAGGATAAGTACATTGAATGCAAAATCTCGATCGCCTGCCTCCGGAGTGAATACAACATTATCTGCGAATTCAAGGGCGAGATCAGTACGCGTGTTTTTTCTGCGTATCATCGACTGGTTGTTAATTGCCGCCAGTGTTCCCTCTCTTGTGCTGGACGCGGTGTCGTTAAACAGCATCTCGGGTTTTACTTTATCATTATACGTCAGAAGTGCGAACTTTACGGAGTAGTCTCCATCACCGACATTATCAAATTCGTTAACTAATTCCCCCATGGCATTTCGGACATCAATGATGTTTTCAGGTTTAATGCTGTTTGAATGGTCGAGAATAATGAGAACATCTAGTGGGCCGTTTTCATCGCATGGAACCGTACTTCCGGTTGGTGCTGAAATGAAATACAACTCGGTTTCTTAAAAGCCAAAACCGATTCAATGGTAAATCGTTAAAATAGTGAAGAACTAGACAGATTTCATTAGATCCTCATAGCCTTATAAAATGTGTGGTATTGATTTTCCGGAGTCGTGTGTTATTTATTAAGACAACTACACTACATGTACTACATGTTCAGTACCGACCTTGACATTGCAGATCTCGCGATATTACGTTGAAACGATCATACATATTGAAATATATTATCTTGATCAGCTAGCATATTTACTTGTTTTATCGTGTCCTCGAATTCAGTTTTGTCGTTCTTGTTGGGTGATTGTACCAAAAAGACATACGTATTGGGTTTGGCATGGAGTCGATTAATTGAGGCAGTTGTGTTCTCTATAAACTTTTGCGGCTGAGTACGAGCATCAGTCAAAAGAACCAAAACATTTGGACTTTCATCGTCTTGGTCGCCAGAGTCGAAAAACTCCTCAATTGCCATGTCAATACCTTCACCGATGATGGTTTTGCAATCTAAAGCGGCATGATCAAATTCAGTTATGTCGTCGATCACTTCCTGTTGAGTATTTGCATCACCAAATTCCAAAACGTTGCGGCTATCTCTGTCGAATGCAATCAGTCCGAACTGACTCGACCGTTTCCCATTTAAATTTGGAGCGGCAATTGAATCAAACAATCGGACGAATTCATTCATGAATTACTTGTTGCCTTCTTTAACATCGTCTGAGATACTACACGACGTATCAAAGCCAAATACTATATTAGCACAAACTGAAATAAGAAAAATGCAAGTGACAATCGCCACTCGCGATTTTTTGTCCTTTTACATGTTTTATTAGAATAAGTGTATTTTCAGTCGAGGGACATGGGGCAAAACGGCCCTCAACATTATATTTTAAGTTGTTCCATATGTGGTATTTTCTTATCTCTCAATTATTGCGCACTTTGATATTCAACTTTATCAATGGCCGGGCTATGGTTTACATTTTTCGAGTGTTTTATACTTGCCTAGAACTATCTTCTGTGATTTTTCAGTGGTCAAAAGTAATGTTGAAAGTGGGGCAAAACGGACCATTGGTGGGGCAAAACGGCACACCCTCTAAAGAGGGTAGCTATTACATGAGTTTGAAAACCAAGATTAATCAATTACAGGACTCGTCCACACACGTCTTATCTCAGACGTTCAAACTTTAGACAGATAAAGTATTCTCAACCCCTACCATAATTCTAGTCATTCGATATGTGTTGGGAGGAAATAAGGTAGAAACCGACTGCTACAAACGTTATATTTGAAATTCATTGTTCTTGTATTTTTGTATGTTATACCCTTTGTGGGCCGTTTTGCCCCACAATCATCACAGCAAAAGAAGTGAACCAGACCCCTGAATCCTGGAGGCAGAATTCATACAGGATTGATATTTTGCTGTGCATGTGCATTTTCAAATAGACGACATTTTTAGTTTCCCTAATATTTGAAGCTCGAAGGACAAATAAAGAATAAATATGCATGTAAAATGTTAATTCAAAACGATATTCTATTATTGCTGGATTTTTTAGAGATTCTCGAGGGAGGGGTATTTTGCCAAAAAAAGAGGGTGAAAAGTAGAATTAACTCTTACGTAAGGCGAGACGCTACAAGGGCGGTCGCGCAAGAAGGTGGCGGAAATTTCAAAATTTGATTATGTGACTTTTGAAGAACCAACTTTTTATGTTTCAAAATACATTTCGATGGGACACTTTGCCCCACGGGGCCGTTTTCCCCATGTTCCCCTAAACAACATCGTTTTATTCTGTTTTATGTTTAGCTATAAACAATCAATTCATACTCCCTTATATACAAATAGCCTGAAAATCTAATAAATGACAGTTTTAAGAGTCCCTTACTTTCTCCTTGAGTTGTTGCTGCTCCAAGCATCACGGCGATAGCAACTCTGAGACATAATTCCGCTTCCATTATTCTCGTTTTGCTTCCTCGGTAATAGTTAGCTAAAATTCTATGTTGTTGAGTTGTTTCACTCTTTTACACAATCATCTTGTTTTTGATTTTTTGAGATTTTTATGATGATTAATTGCATAACCATAGAAAATTATTGGAAACGCTATGTCAGTCAGGATATGCGTTTACATAGAGTACGCTTTATGTAAGCATTGATTTTGTGCATTGCAAAAACACAGTTGTGTTCTAGAAAAGTAAAACATAAAACATATAAGTTGCTGGCTTTAAGACAAGCGAAGCAAGTCTCATTAGATTGAAGGAAAAGCATATTCCATAGCCGCCTTTAAGACTAAAACTGTTTGTTTTTGTTTTTTTACTAAAACTGTGAAAATTACGTTCATTAGACTTTCAACCTTTGGGGAATACAAACACCTATAAGGTATTTTATTTTTGAGATTTTAACATAATTTCATGTTTGAGAGGTGACGTTATTGTATTTTACTTACTCCTTATATTGTTTATAAGGTATCCTTGTAGTATATACACTCTTAAAAATGAACTACTTGAGTATTTCCCAAGTATTTCTCAAGTATAAAAATTACTTAAAGTTAAATACTTAGTTTTACTTCATTTTACTTAGGTTTAACTTATATTGTCATTTTGAGTTTTTTAATTGCTTAATTATGTAAATGAGTATTACAATTACTACAGTAAGTATTTCAAGTTCTCTCCTTGCATTAGTAAATTCACCATAAATGAATTACTTAAAAATTACTTAAAAATTATTCAGTAGTTCAAGATTATTTAAGTAATTTTTGACTTAAAATGAGTAATACAATTTCTCAATATAAGGAAATCCAAGTAATAATTTTTAAGAGTGTATAGTTCTCCTTATATTATTATCATTATATATGTAAGTTCTCTGTATAGAGGATATTAGTTCTGGAGTATACGTTAACCGTTTATATGATTCACTATATCATGTTCATTACATTTAACTTATAGATTATATTTTAGCCTTACCATGAGGAGAAATTATATTGTCTTCACTTCGCAAACGGGTTCTGTAGCTAATGCCCTGGTGGATGTATTCCCTTTGCCAAACATGTTTATTTGTAGGTTATTTGTGTTTTCGAATACAGTAATAAATTTTAATATTGCAAACGTTCTGTTGTGTAGTTCTTTGCCGATATAAATTAGAAATATAGAATTCTCTTTAGCTTATAATTATTGCCTTGTGTCTTACAGTGCCTCGCCCATTTTCAATCCTATCCACGCCCGCGTATACCGTACACAATAAGGACCAATGTTGAAAGGACGTTCGAAATTATTCAATCGATGTCCTTTAAATGTAATTGATCAGAGCTCATTGAAACAATTGAAACAAATTAAAAGTTGACGTGTTAATTTTTTATAAATATGAAAAATGTTCATATTTGAAAACTTTCATCGTCATTGAAAGCCCTCACAAAAACATATATTTGCACATCAATAATGATCATTATACAGTCTGACATGCTGAGACTAATGCTATTGCACTTCTCGTACATGCATTACACGCATCTAATGTTCAGTATGCTTATCAACGTAAGTACAAATGATAGAAATACGGGTCGTGGGCAGAGAGTTTAGGAGAGGGCAAATGTAACATAGTTCATGCAATCAAAGGTCAAAAAATATATGCAATTAAATTCAATTGAAAAGCATTCTATTGTCAAATTCCGTTAGATCTTGAATTTTTGAATTGATGATTGCTCTGAAATAATAACAGATAATTCAGTTTCAACAGAGATAAGTATCTCACCTTCAACAAAAAAATTGTTGCGAGCAAAATTGGTCAGTGAAGTAATATTCTGATTCCATTTACAGCTTTATATAAATTCTTCGGGTATGTAAAATTTTATTTTTTATTTTTCTATACATCAAAAGAAGCAATAAATCGTTTCTGGTCTTCACAGATAAAAGATTTCAGTTGAGATATATAAGGTTCAATGTCGGTAAAAAACTCGAATTTCTTGAAGTGATCCTTAACTGGTTTTGATGGAATTGAGTCCCATTCACGAATCTGTACATCTAGGTTTTTCTTTCGACGTGTGGGTAGGCCTAACAAGAAAATGTCGACGCTCTCGCCGCGACTTTTAAGTTCGTCCGCTGCAGTAATTGTATTTTTCTGAAACTTTTTCTTCATTGTTTTGCCGTCTGTAGCTAATATTATGATGTTTGCAGCACCAAGACGGTCGCCGAAAGCAGCATTGAAAATCTTGCTATTTGCGAGCTGCAGGGCAAGGTCAGTGCGGGTGTCTTTTCCTTGTTTCAAAGACATTGTCTTAAGAATGCCAAGGGTTCCTTCTTTTGAACTGGCTTCTGTACTATTAAAATATAACAATATTTCTGCTTTTTTGTTGTACGTGATAATGGAGAACTTAACCCCGTGTGCTTCATCACCAACGATTTCAAACGCGTTGACAAGTTCGATCATCGCTTCCTGTAGCACTTTCAAATTGTCAGGTTTGATACTCTTAGAATGGTCGATGATAAGCAGAATGTCGAGAGGTGTCTCGGGTATGCACGCTTGTCCCTCGTCACCTGGGTTTAAAACATAAAGTCCTTGTAAACCATGAAAGGTCCAACGAGAGGGCGATAACATAGGCTTAATATAAAACAAAAGTTTTAGAATGCAAGAGCTCCATAAATTATCATATAAACATCATTGGCCTAAAGGATGACAAACAGATAATATGCTAAATGGTACATTTGCGAAGGATATTTTATTATGTAAAAGGTACTTACTGACGCATACGGGGCAAGGGTCAAATCCGCCTATCCTCTGTCGGACCTCCTTAGCCAAGCTGAGGTTACTTTCTGCGTTCAAATAGCTGAATCGGTTCCCCTCTGGAGCCAACATGTTGAGTTGTTTCAACGTATCATTTTCGTCATCCTTATCGAATTTATTAGGCAAAACAACCACAAAAACATATGTGTTGTTCAGCTCCAGCAGGACATTCATTGTTTTATTTACCTGGGGTATAAATTTCTTGGGCTGAGTTCGTCCATCTGTTAACAGTATGAGAATGTTGGGTGTGCGGTCATCTTGAGTACCAGAATCAAAGAATTCCTCTTTGGCCATTTTAAGCGCCCTATGAATGCCAGTTTTACAAGTAACTGGCGTATGGTCGAACTCATCAATTTTTCCCTGGACGAAATCTTTTGACGGCTGATCTCCGAATCCGAATATTTTACGAGCCTCTAAGTCGTATGCTAATAAACCAAATTGAGTAAAGGTAAAATCAGTTGAGTTCGCCGGAAGATTTGGTTTACCTACGGAGTTGAATAAACTAACAAAATCATCCATGAATACCTTTGCGCCATCTTTAGTTGCATCTGAGACACTGCACGATGTGTCAAACGCAAGTACGATATCGGCACATACTGGAATATAAAAATTTAATCAAACAACAAATCCATTGTAACAAATTGCATATCAATCCTTTTCGATCATTTCATTCAGATCATATGACAATATTTTGCTACAAAGGGACTTGATAACACTGGTAACATTTTCACACGATCGACCCATACTTGTACATATTTAAGAAATAAAGACCAAGATTTTATGATTTATGCCCGGGTATATATTAGCTATATGGGGACGTGCCGCTAAAGTGGGTCACTTTTTCGCCGAAAAATCCCTAGATGGGGGGCCTAAATCTTAATTTTTGGAAAAAAATCGACGAAAGGGTGTCATGTTTCTTAAAAATTATCTTGAAGTGGGTCTATTTTTGAAAGAAAACCCCTAGATGTGGGTCCATTTTTCGAGAAAAAATCCGTAGATGTGGGTATCTTGAGTCTCAGCGGCACTCCCCTATACAAAAATTTGACCGGAGTACCCCCCAGGGATTTATGGCGTAATATATGACCGAAAATCTTATTCTGTTCATTGATAAAAGACCGAAATCGCGTAGCGATTGAGGTATTTGGCAATGGCCAGAATAGAATTTGAGGTCATATATTTGACATAAATCATAGAATCGAGGTCTCCTTGTTACGATTCTAATATGATAAACAGACGAGAAACACAACCATTTGCATTTATGAATTTTAGCGGTCATACATACTCCAATATAGACCAGTTTATCAATTGTTCTAGCTATTGTGTATCTATCATATTAGAATTCGAGATATGTTTCATGAGTCATAAGTCATTTCAAATATGTATATAATTGTATCCTATGCCTACTTCATTCTCAAAATCAAATAAATCCCAAAACTGTACAGGCTGTCAAAAAACAACGGCATCCCCCTCTACAGCAAAATCCTTAATGTTACATATCCTGTCATACCTCATTTGAAGGATATTTTAACTCTGGAGTTACTCACCAAATTTAATTTAATAAAACTTTATATTAAAAAAGCTAAATAGTTTCAAAGTTTGCTACTTCAGTACTTTGTTTGCTGCTCTGTTACTGGTTAAAGGTCAAATCTTCAGAAAGTGGAATATGAAAGAATTAGTCAAGATTTCAACTGCACTGAATATATGGGTTTAGTTCTGAAAAACGGAAAATAGGAATTGATGGACAAAGAGCCTCTTAAAAATTGATATAGTAAGGGTGTAATTCTGAAGATTGTGAAGAAAGTGCTTAGAGGATTATGCACTGCTGTGCCCTTTTCTGAATTTTTATTGAAATCATATCCATCCAGATAAGCTGCAGTTCGAGCAGCAACATGTGGTCATACCAACTACTAAGAATCAGCAGTAAATCTGTTAAATTATGTGATATAAAGCTGAAAATGAGACTTAAAATGAGATATGACACCATGTAACATTAAGTACTTTTTGCTGTAGAGGGTGATTATTGCCGTTGTTTTGGACACCCTGTATAGGCTTGCATTGCTTTTTGGTACATGCATATAATACGCATATCTCCTATTGATCGTTTTATAAAATATCTAGTTTGGGTCGAAATAGAAAATGGAAAAAGGGAGTGTCAGAAAATTAAACTACAAAATTCTTTACAGTATAATTATGTACTTACATTTTGCTTCATCGACAGCATTGCATTTTGCGGCATAAGTCACGCTGTGCGCAAATATTGTTACACTGAACAAAACTGTTAGCATCATCATAATCGAGTGTCACAATGTTGAATCGAAATTATTCCTATGAGTGAAGTTTAGAGTATCATCACCAATGTAGTCATTTGACATACCGTTAAATACATTACGTACAAAATAACAAATGATGACAAATGTGTGTCAAATTATGACAAATATGTGTCAAAAGCTCAATTAAAAACTTTCTAGAAAATATGATAGTGAATGGTGTCACATGTTGAAAAATATGGAGACAAGTCGATCATACTTAAAATTAAATTCAGTTAAATCCCTTAATCAATGAGCTTTAGGTGAAAACATATTTTACATTAAATCATTGGCATAATTTAAAGTGTTAATAGCATATCTTTTCTCTATTCGTATACAAATAATACTCCTGCATTATGTGTCCCTTTAAAGGCGTTCACCTGACAACGGGCTAAAACTACAAGAGTTGCAATGTAATCTAGCAAGCATTCCAGAAGAATTATCATGATTGAGAGCACTGTACAAAGGATTGGTAGCGATATTGTGAACTAAATTCTGTAAAAACATATCCTGTATGTAATTGGTTAACATAAGAATGTCGATTTTCAAAAATTCATCAAATTTATCATCAATTTTCCACCTTTGGTAATTGAGGAAAAAATTGAGAAAATTTGGAAGTACTGGAAATATAGTCAAATTACGTTTCCATCAATAGTATGTATTTTCATCGCAGGTAAAGTAAATAAAAATTCAAAGGTAAAGAGACTTTAACACGTCCAATTAATGGGGGAGCTAAGGTTGCCAAACTTATGGAGGGGACTGTAAACATAAAAATACGATTACGACTAACTTTTGATTTTAAAGTAATATTGTATCCAATGACACATGCTTAATAAGGTTTTCCCAAGATAATTGAAATAATTCAGAAATTAAACAACAATGATCTAAACGCTTCTATTATGTACTTTCATTTCTCAAAAATAGATAAATTTCCTCCAAAATAGATAGAATTAAAGTATACCATTTATTTCATTTATTAAAGACAATCATTTTAAAATAATATAAACTTTCCTTTGTATTATTACAATATTGAGAACATGTTGTGTAAAGTTCATTTTGTTCCAACGACATTTGGATAGATGTTCCATTTCATTCTAAACATCTTGTACCAAGAACAAAAGAAGTGTCTGGTGTGTTTTCTAAAACAATATATGAAAAGGTAGATTAATATTTGCAAATTAAATTGTAACCATTAAAAAGATGACCATTATTTTTGATGATGTTTCAATTTTCAGAATATGTGATAACTGGTTTAAGAGAAGCGTATGTTCACTTAGTTCACCACATTGCTACCAATCCTTTAAAACCAATCTCGCAAGGAGTTTGACTGGAAATGTGTTGACAGTATTGCAGACGGGTTAAAAATAAACTCATTCGACTTCATAAAATAGAGCTTTTATTCGGATTGGGACACACTTTATAAGGTTATTCTTTCCAAACAACATTTTTGAAAAAATGCTATCCTCCCCATGTTATTTTCTGGTACCAAATAAAGTATGAAGGCATGTGTGTATTTCCTTGCTTTTTTCAGGAAAACACTCTTACAATAACTTCTCTAAGTTAGCCTAGTAAGTGGCCAATGGAAATCCAGTGTTATTGAGAAACTTGGAAAAGAAATTTGGAAAATTGAAAAGGCGCCCATTTTGAATGTTTTTTCTTGAAATATCAGCATTTCCTGGAGTTGCCATTGACTTGTTACCACCTGGTTTACTAAAAGAAGACATTGCATTGCATGATGATAAGGATTTGTGAAGAGATTTAGCCGGGTTGGACAAAAAGTTAGTTTGGAAAAAATAATATAGGCTAATTGGCGAGGTCATTAATGAAATATTGATTGGTTTCGATATCTTGAAAAGTAAGAATGATAGCAGCATAATTATGTTTTTGTGTTTTCAGGGTTAATGATACTGTTAAAATATACAAGTATATCTTATTAGATATTGTGGATAATTGCAACTTAGCATATTTTATGATTGAAATGTCGCATTTATTCAAAATTTTCTGTATCAAGCTTGCAATACAATGAACATTACTGACTAATTAAGTAATTAAGGATTTCCTCGTTGATTTAATTGGGTGGCCAAAAAGTAACTAATTTCAGGGAAAATTTTATATGCAAATTAGGGTGTGGCCATTATTAAAATATTGATCAATTTCTTACATAATCTAAAAAGTACTAATGATAGCATTACACATGTTGTGCCTCTATCCATGTTGTATTCATCAGGCTTACAGTGCAATTGAAAGTATTGCCTAATATAGTAGTCCATGGTATGACTCCGGGTCCGAATATGAAGAATCCGTAACACAATATAGTGCAGCAACAAAAATAACATGTGCAGGTAAAGGAATGTTTTTCAAAAATGTTGTTTGGAAAGAATAACCTTAAGGATATTTGAAAACTTTTGTTTTGGGCATGTGTTATTTATTGCATTTCAAAGTAAGTCCCTCTCAACAATAATGCTTCTTTTATAAAACTATGATTAATATGATGGCAATTTAAAGTTGTTTTTATCGATCTATATCACATCAGTTATATGCTCTAATGTCATACAGGGCATATGCCAGGCTTTCAAAAATATACTTTCATAAATTCATAATGGTGAGGCGTACTCACAATGAATGAAACTTGTAGTTGACAACAAAAATACATTTTGTGTTTTATTTTTTACTTTTTCTTGTAATTTTTCCAGCCTTTAAATCATCTGGAATCAGCATACGCACGATATGCCCGCTCAAATTCTGTCTGGTCAGCGCAGACGCTCAATTGCAATTGAGAGATGTACGGTATGATTTCAGTGAAATTTCCAAATTCTTTAAAATGGGTAGCCTTTGGTTTGGACGGAATCTCGTTCCATTCGGTATTCTGTACGTCGAGGTTCTTCTGTCTATGCGCTGGAAGACCTAAAAGAAATATGTCCACACTGTCATGAGCTTTGCGAGCTTTAAGTGCAGCTGCTGCCTTTAGAGTATTGTTTTGGAATTTTTTCTTCATCGTTCGGCCATCGGTTGCAAGTACCAAAATATTAGCAGCATTGGGTCGATCTCCAAAGGCCTCGGTGAATATTTGAGCGTTTGCCAGTTCTAATGTCAGATCGGTGCGGGTATCCTTAGCTTGTTCTAAACTCATCTCTTCCAGAATTCCAAGTGTTCCATTCAATGAACTAGATTCCGTACTGTTTAAATACGACAGTATTTCTGCCTTGAAATTATACGTCATAATGGAGAATTTTACGAGATCACCCACACCCACACCTTTAAACGCATTTACAAGCTCAACCATCGCCCTTCGGAGTTCTCTAAGATCCTCAGGTCCGATACTGTTGGAGTGGTCCAAAATAAGAAGAATGTCAAGTGGTTCTTCTCGTGGGCAAGGGGGTGGAATAATTACATCACCTAATTTTAAAAATGGAATGAATCATACATATGTTAACCAAAACGTACCTGACGTAACATATTTCAAAGTGTCAGGTCCGTATGTCCGGCAAGGAATTTTTCACTTTAGAAATACCCTGTGGATAAACAGCTCTGTATCCAATATAATCCAAAATATCCATTGAGACACGTGTGAAGATTGAGGAAACATGACAATTCAATCTCGCCAATAAGTAAATTATATGTAAGAACAGGCGACAAATATATTCCATCAGACCTATTCTAATGTGCAATCGGTATCAACATTTATATCACTACTTGGTATAGTATTACTCAAATGTACTGATGAAATTACGATGGGGTATGATTTCATCTCATATTAGATCAAACATACAAGTATAGTAATTCATGAAAAACCAATGCACCCAAAGGTGACCAATAAAGATTAAACATTTCCTTTGAAAAGATGAAAAGATCGTTCTTAATCAAGGGTGATAATTACACCCCGAGTGTACCTTGAGCTCGAGCAGCTCATGGTATAGAAGGGGCGTTCATAGTACCTGCATTTACAAATATAATAGTGTTCATGTATTGACTCACCTAGACATAGAGGACAAGGGTCAAATCCAGAAATTCTTGCGCGAACCTCGACAGCTAATGCCTTAGTACTTTCAGCCTCGAGATAGCTAAATCGATTATTTGAGGGCGCCAGCATCTCAAGTTGCTCCAATGTATCGGCAAATTCCGTTTTATTGTTCTTATTAGGCAAAACAGTCACAAACAAATACGTATTATTCATCATATTGAATTTTTCCAATTCGAGTTCCGTATCATCAATAAATTTCTGCGGCTGTGTTCTTCCGTCCGTTAGAAGCACGAGGATATTAGGTGTACGATCATCTTGGGCACCTGACGTAAAGAATTCCTCCCTGGCCATAATAAGGGCATCTTGTGTGGTAGTTTTGCAATCTACATGTGCGTGGTCGAACTCATCAATTGCTCCCTGGACAGCATCCTTTGTTGGTTGATCACCAAAACCAAATATTTTACGTGCCCCTAAGTCATAAGCCAACATTCCAAACTGAGTAAAGGTTGGATCATCTGTGTTTACCACTGGAAGGTTTGGTTTACCAACCGAGTCGAACAAGCCAACGAAATCATCAAGGAAACTCTTAACACCATCCTTTGTTTCATCTGAGACACTGCATGATGTATCAAAGGCAAAGAGGATGTCGGCACATACTGGAAAGAGTGGTGGGATATGTTACATATAACATATTTTGAGTGTCTTCTCACAAGTAAATAATTAACTATGAGGAATAGTTATACTTATTAAGTGAATAGTTTACATGATAGACACAATCACTCTGTAAAGAGGCATAAGCATCAAGTATATGTATGTGTTAGTTAAAGTGCAACCAGGACCAGCATGTAGAATAATATGAGACCTTCATGTATTTGACCATGGGTATTTTCACACCATAAATACGACAATTCGCTTCATAAAAATGACCTTTCCTCCCGGTAAAGTCTACAAATAGCATAACTATTCACCCAACTTCCCGAAACTATGGATTAAAGGACCCTACATGAACAATATCGGACATATTTTCTATGATGTTTTTAAGGAATCGTATTTCACCGCCGTTCTCACTTTCAGAAAGTGCATGCTGACGAAGTGCAAATGAAACCTTTGGTATGGTAAATGAAAAAGAAGGTCATCTTGGAAGAATGTAAGCTGGACATTTTGAAATGGGGTCATAATCAATGGCTTTTCGGAGATTTAAATCCGTAGTTTTATCGTTAAAAATGGTCAAATATATGACTGTTTTCAATAATGCCCCACACCATATCAACATGTAGTCTTAATTTGTTAACAAAACGTAGACCAGAATGTATGGTAATCATTGGTGCAATTATTACTTTATGATAGATACGTGTGTCAACTAAAACTTTACAGTATTCTAAATAAATTCACATTTTTTACATTTGTCCAAATTAATACTGTAAAATCATTAATAATCTCCATTGATCATATAATGAAAATACGATGTCATTGTATTTGACATAAAATACGTGTACTCACATTTCACACCTTCACCAGTTGGACATATCGCAAAGGTTGTAGTTCCAAAAATACTTATACAAATCAGAGCCCTAAGAGCCCTTAGCATTTGCATGATACCTTATTCTGTATGCAGTTGCCCCGAGTGGTTACTTGAATTATTGTCAACTATATATCACATATGTATAATTTAACCGATTTGCAATTAACTGATGTAAGCTTTGATATGAAGAATGTAAGATCGTTTAAAAGCAATTAAATGTTATTTGTCATTGTCGTGCATTCATGACAAGAACTGGTGACACTAATATGACTTAATTACCAGGCTTATGCCTATTACATTAAACACTCTTCAGAAACAAAGTTTATACATAATTAGGATCGATCCATATTGCATACGTAATACAAATTAATTATATCTCCTTCATTGAATATTGATAATGAGCAATATACGTACAGTATATGAAATAGTTTAAATTCATCATACTTTATGTTGCGTTTTAAACCGGAAAACCATGACTTTACATGGAGTTCATCCATTCTTGCTCAATATATTTTGATTAATTACGGTATAATCATCAGTTTCAAAGATACCAAGCTAAGCCCACTATCTAAATAAATAATGTGTGTTACTACCAACTACTACTAATGGGTGTTTCAATGTCAAACATAGGGTCAGCTTTGATTGACTGGAGCAAGAGACACTTACATGTACAACAAGTCCCACCATTGAGCAAGCCCAGTTAGATCTTTCATCCTGAACCCAATAGTAATCAGTAAAAGGAGACAGAATTTAAGAACAGAAAATCGAAATGGCCAACTTGGAATTTACTGAGCATATCCATTTTAACCAAAAGTACCCCAAAACATTTTCATATCAATAAAGGCCTAAATTCATGTTAAGTAGAAACCCAGGGTGTTTTAATCACAGAGCTACTTAACATACCCATTATAATTAAAGGCCCCATGTAAAGTTTAAACCACTTTAGCTTATATTGTAGTCTTACCCAATGTTATCAAAGTGTGATATGTGAAACCTTTTTTTTCAATTTCAAAAAGTGGTTTTTGATAGACTTTTTGTTCCAAAATTTGTAAAATTTATTTAAAACCAACTTTTAGAGGTCACTCATATCTACTAATTAGCCACAACTCATACCAATGAATAGCATTCATCCTCCCATGTTTTTTGCCGAAAAAGTTAAGAAAATCGGTTGATAAACAAGCGAGAAATGAACTTATCAGTGCATGAAAATGGTTCTGAGAAAAATGCATTTCAAAATTTTAGTTCTCATAGAAACCAATGGTACAATGATATCTAAAACATAATTTATTCTTCCTTTAAACCTGGTTAGACAATCAACATTGGTTTTTTATGAAAGTCTAGCATATTTAGATAAGATTGACATCGAAAAAAAAATTCAATGTTTTTCAAAAAGTTTTTGTTACCTTAGTGACATCACTAATGTTTCAAAATATTTTGATAAGCTAAAACATTGAAGTGGTCCATTAAATATGATATTTTATTATTGAAATAGTGTGTGCTTTGTTCAATCTTTGCATTGGTGTTAAAAATATAATCTTTTTTGAAATGCATTAAGAAATATTTGATGATTAAGAAATTTCAACTTTTTTTGAAAAATGGCGGGAAATTTGAATATTTGAGAAATGAAATGCTCACAACTATTTTTTCAAAAAAAATTTTTGTTCAAAAATCTCTAAAATCACTTTTTAAGTCCTGACAAATAGTAAATGAATGATAAAAAAAAACATTTTCAAACTTTAGACGGGGACTTTAAGAGTTGACCAATCAGCTAACAACAGAAACTGTTATTGTTTACTTGAACCCTTCTTGACCTGAAATTTGATCTTTGGCCTAAGCTTTGGATGACGTTATTGGTCAGATTCAAATGTTGCATTTTTCTACTGTAAATAATTTTAAAGTAGCATTAAACTTTAACTTGTTCTTATTCAAAATTGGAAGGATATTTTACCAAACTGATATGTCCTCCAAATGTTTATACATAACCACAAGTTTCACAACAAACAAAAGCCATTTTACCAAGAAAGACTCAAAACCAATTACAATTTACTGGTTTCTGTGGATAGAAAAATTTCAAACAGACGTTGACTGTTCTAAGCAACCCCCCTCTCCTGTTATACAGGAATTTGGTCTTTTAAATTGAGATATGTTTTCAAAATGACCACCTAAAATGTACCCAGAATGCGCATAGACTAATCAGTGACTTATGACCGGTCGTAAGTTGCTATTGTACCAAGAACGGCCCCCTGTGTTCCATTTCAGACTTTCAAAATATTGGCATTTGCTTGCAAGTTACTCACTTTTGATGCCTTCTCATCCAATTCTGGCAAATTTTCCACCATGAATCGTGGAGTCTTTTGCCTCCAAGGTTGGAGTTGTAATCAAGAGTCCAGTTATCATTTTTAAATCTCCTCTGCCACCACAAAAGTGTATGGTTGATATTTCTTCCACCATGGTAGCATGAGTTCGTAAGGCTGTGAGACCAAGCGAGGTATGAAACACGACAACTGAATGATTTCCTATCAGATTAGAGAATCGTAGCCCTATTGTAATTTCTTGACAGTGACCAAGTTTGAATTTGTGACTATTGAACTGAGGCAACAACATCAGAATGCTTAATGGCGTTCTTTGCTTGGTGGACTTTTAGCTGTATTGAAGAATATTCAAGAACATTAGAGCAAACATTTCAAAACGTTTTGGGTAACCCTCGTACAGTATGTAGCGATTTTGAAGAAGCGCCTTCAGACCTACAAATATAGACGGACGGACGGACGGACGGACGGACGGACGGACGGACGGACGGACGGACGGAAGCCTGACAGAAGCACCTAGGCTGAGAATATAGCTCCACGGATTGGTACACGATCTTCCTCGTGATCTAAAGCCTCTACCACACGTTACAGAACAGGTATATGTACTCCATGGTCCCCAGCCTTTGGATAACTTTGATTTAATATTTTTCTTATACACTTTTTGGATCCAATTTACATAGTGTGACACATTAACGTAGACTCCAGAAAACCGTCCACAACCATAGAAAAGTGCTGACGGGCCCCTGCTAACGATTCCGTACTGGACCGTTGCTTCCTTCCCCTTGTTCGTAATACTACGGCATACGAAGGGGCCACCAGAATCGCCCTTGCAGGCATCTCTATAATTTGAAACAAGACACGGTCGTGGGGGCGGGGCTACTAAACTGTGATATGGTCTCTGCTAGGCAGAGTGTAGTTTAACCAGACTCTGCACGCAGGGTACTTGGGATCTTGATAACTTCCTATTTTAAGTTTTGGGTTGAAAGCAATGAGTATATCGGACTTTCTCAAGTCCACATAATGAAACAATATTCCTTTATATTAGTCCAATCGGAATTTGCATAAACACACCAGTTTTATATTGCAAAAAGAACTGTAATTAATAGCCTACATAAAAGCATCATGATAAATAAAGCATTAAAGCATATATAAAGCCTATTGTTATCAAAATCCATAAATCCTCACCATATAAATATAGTTTTATTGATGACCAAAAAACAGATATCAAGGGCGTAGCCAGCTTTCAGTCAGGGGGGAGGGGTGCGATCGCCAAAAAGATTTCGGTTTTCAGTCAGGAGGGTATGATTGTGGCAGTTTAAAGCTCCTTTATCCTTCTTTCTCAGGGTTTTATTTTTATTGTTATTGGGGAGGTTGTGATCGCACCCCCCCCCCCCTCTCCCCTCCTGGCTACGCCTATGGATATTTTGGCAACTTTCACGTTTACCCCGCCCCCTAATAATTTTTGCGCCCCCTCTAAATATCAAGCTGTGCGACTTCTGGCAACTGCTACACCTATATTCCCGGGGAAAACGCTTTTAGAAAATATTTTCAAATATGGTCGTGTGTGGGCAAACACGGAGGAGGAGGAGAGGGGTGCGTGCATTGCGTGCGACCTTTCATCAGTTGTGTACCTTATTTTTGTATGAATTTCTTCCGAATAGTTATGCTGTTTTCAAATGAAATAATTTCACCCTTGCCCGACTGACTTGTAGATAATGCACGAACCAAATATAGCATGGAGATCAGATAATCAGATTGATTCGTATTTTCGCAATCAGATGAATTAACTTATTGTTTTCTCTGATTAAAAGGCGGTTTGAAGCTACTTTTACAGGATTTGTAAATTCGCAATCAGACTGGCTTATTTTAAGATTTAGTCAGTGCAAGAGGAGGGGACTATAATGTAGAAAATTGTTTTGATTTCGACACTAACTGAATAATTTATCACAATTGTTAAATACGCAAACAGAAACAGGTTTAAAAATGAGAATAGAGGCAAAAAAGTCTATTCATAAAATGTAATTAAAACAAGGGAATTAAAAGTAATTTTAGACTGTTAGATGATCTCTTCTGTAATCAAGGTGATGTTGGTACACTTCCGCCGTTAGAAAAACAAAGTCTATATGCAATTAATCGTTTTGTAATCATTAAATGTTAGATTCTTATTATTTTGTTGGACAATGATCAGACTTCTGACCAAGATTAAATCATTTATGTTTGTATTAAAAATAGTATTTCAATCAGACAGACGTTCTAATGAGTTAGAAAAATACATTTGTCCATCACCTCTCAAGAAGTTTTCAAAGGTAATCAAGTCGATTTGTTTGAGTGTTTAGCATTGTTTTTCATAACTTGACGCTTCCATGAACAGAATGACTTTGAAATGAGTTTTTTATAATTTTAGCTTTTATACGGACATGCTTATTGTATATTTCTCTATGAACGTTGAAGTAATGTGATGTAACATCGCCCCCCCCCCCCCACAAAAAAATACAGGTATACAAATTTTGGTCGGAATGCATTAACTTGCAATTAAAAGCAATTTTAGACTGTTAGATGATCTCTTATGTAATCTAGGTGATGTTGGTACACTTCCGCATTTAAGAAAACAAAGACTAAGACAAAGAGAACTAAGCAATTAATCCTTTTGTTATCATTAAATGTTAGATTTTTATTTTTTATTGGACAATATTAAGACTTCTGCCTCCGATTGTTATGCAGGTATGTGTATAAAATCATGTGAACAACATAATCGTGGAAACTCCCATATTCATTCTCATAATGTCTTACAGCTATTTCGCAAATGACATAATCCTAAACAACATGTGGACATAATATTGCAGAACTGAGCGAAAAGAAAGGTGGAACAAATCAGATTAAGATGTTTTATTTTTGAAATGCACAAAGGGCAACAGTTGAAGAACAAAAGTTAAAGGCGTTGTGAAATAGATCGTGCTTTTATATGATCCTTTGCATTTGTTCGACTTCACTTCTTAAATGAGTGTTTCGTCTTCTCGTAGTTTATAATTAGACTC